GCCACCCACACAGAACCACCGTCACAGAGCCACCGTCACAGAACCGCCCACACAGAACCACCGTCACAGAGCCACCGTCACAGAGCCGCCCACACAGAACCGCCCACACAGAGCCACCGACACAGAGCCGCCCACACAGAACCACCGTCACAGAGCCACCCACACAGAACCGCCGACACAGAGCCGCCCACACAGAGCCACCCACACAGAGCCGCCGACACAGAGCCGCCCACACAGAACCGCCCACACAGAGCCACCGTCACAGAGCCGCCCACACAGAGCCACCGTCACAGAGCCGCCCACACAGAACCACCGTCACAGAGCCACCGTCACAGAGCCGCCCACACAGAACCGCCCACACAGAGCCACCGACACAGAGCCGCCCACACAGAACCACCGTCACAGAACCACCCACACAGAGCCGCCCACACAGAGCCACCCACACAGAGCCGCCCACACAGAGCCGCCCACACAGAACCGCCCACACAGAACCACCGTCACAGAGCCACCGACACAGAGCCACCCACACAGAGCCGCCCACACAGAACCACCGTCACAGAGCCGCCCACACAGAGCCGCCCACACAGAACCGCCCACACAGAGCCACCGTCACAGAGCCGCCCACACAGAGCCGCCCACACAGAACCGCCCACACAGAACCACCGTCACAGAGCCGCCCACACAGAGCCGCCCACACAGAACCGCCCACACAGAACCACCGTCACAGAGCCGCCCACACAGAGCCGCCCACACAGAACCGCCCACACAGAGCCGCCCACACAGAGCCGCCCACACAGAGCCGCCCACACAGAACCGCCCACACAGAACCACCGTCACAGAGCCGCCCACACAGAGCCACCGTCACAGAGCCGCCCACACAGAGCCGCCCACACAGAGCCGCCCACACAGAGCCGCCCACACAGAGCCGCCCACACAGAGCCGCCCACACAGAGCCACCGTCACAGAGCCGCCCACACAGAACCACCGTCACAGAGCCGCCCACACAGAGCCGCCCACACAGAGCCACCGTCACAGAGCCACCGTCACAGAGCCGCCCACACAGAGCCGCCCACACAGAACCACCGTCACAGAGCCGCCCACACAGAGCCACCGTCACAGAGCCGCCCACACAGAGCCGCCCACACAGAGCCGCCCACACAGAACCACCGTCACAGAGCCACCGTCACAGAGCCACCGTCACAGAGCCGCCCACACAGAACCACCGTCACAGAGCCGCCCACACAGAGCCACCGTCACAGAACCACCGTCACAGAGCCACCCACACAGAGCCGCCCACACAGAGCCACCGTCACAGAGCCGCCCACACAGAGCCGCCCACACAGAACCACCGTCACAGAGCCACCGTCACAGAGCCGCCCACACAGAGCCACCGTCACAGAGCCACCGTCACAGAGCCGCCCACACAGAACCGCCCACACAGAGCCGCCCACACAGAACCACCGTCACAGAGCCACCCACACAGAACCGCCGACACAGAACCGCCCACACAGAACCACCGTCACAGAGCCACCGTCACAGAGCCACCGTCACAGAACCGCCCACACAGAACCGCCGACACAGAGCCGCCCACACAGAACCACCGTCACAGAGCCGCCCACACAGAGCCACCGTCACAGAGCCACCGTCACAGAGCCGCCCACACAGAGCCGCCCACACAGAACCACCGTCACAGAGCCACCGTCACAGAGCCGCCCACACAGAACCGCCCACACAGAGCCACCGACACAGAGCCGCCCACACAGAACCACCGTCACAGAGCCACCCACACAGAGCCGCCCACACAGAGCCGCCCACACAGAGCCGCCCACACAGAACCACCGTCACAGAGCCACCGACACAGAGCCGCCCACACAGAGCCGCCCACACAGAACCACCGTCACAGAGCCGCCCACACAGAGCCGCCCACACAGAACCACCGTCACAGAGCCGCCCACACAGAGCCGCCCACACAGAACCGCCCACACAGAGCCACCGTCACAGAGCCGCCCACACAGAGCCGCCCACACAGAACCGCCCACACAGAGCCACCGTCACAGAGCCGCCCACACAGAGCCGCCCACACAGAGCCGCCCACACAGAGCCACCCACACAGAGCCGCCCACACAGAACCGCCCACACAGAGCCACCGTCACAGAGCCGCCCACACAGAGCCGCCCACACAGAACCGCCCACACAGAGCCACCGTCACAGAGCCGCCCACACAGAGCCGCCCACACAGAGCCGCCCACACAGAGCCGCCCACACAGAGCCACCGTCACAGAGCCGCCCACACAGAACCGCCCACACAGAGCCACCGTCACAGAGCCGCCCACACAGAGCCGCCCACACAGAGCCACCGTCACAGAGCCGCCCACACAGAGCCGCCCACACAGAGCCGCCCACACAGAGCCACCGTCACAGAGCCGCCGTCACAGAGCCGCCCACACAGAGCCGCCCACACAGAGCCGCCCACACAGAGCCACCGTCACAGAGCCGCCCACACAGAGCCGCCCACACAGAGCCGCCCACACAGAACCGCCCACACAGAGCCACCGACACAGAGCCGCCCACACAGAGCCGCCCACACAGAGCCACCGTCACAGAGCCGCCCACACAGAGCCGCCCACACAGAGCCGCCCACACAGAGCCACCGTCACAGAGCCGCCCACACAGAGCCACCGTCACAGAGCCGCCCACACAGAGCCGCCCACACAGAACCGCCCACACAGAGCCACCGTCACAGAGCCGCCCACACAGAACCGCCCACACAGAGCCGCCCACACAGAGCCGCCCACACAGAACCACCGTCACAGAGCCGCCCACACAGAGCCGCCCACACAGAGCCGCCCACACAGAGCCACCCACACAGAGCCGCCCACACAGAGCCGCCCACACAGAGCCGCCCACACAGAGCCACCGTCACAGAGCCACCGTCACAGAGCCGCCCACACAGAGCCGCCCACACAGAGCCGCCCACACAGAGCCGCCCACACAGAGCCGCCCACACAGAGCCACCGTCACAGAGCCACCGTCACAGAGCCGCCCACACAGAGCCGCCCACACAGAGCCACCGTCACAGAGCCACCGTCACAGAGCCACCGTCACAGAGCCGCCCACACAGAACCGCCCACACAGAGCCGCCCACACAGAGCCGCCCACACAGAGCCGCCCACACAGAACCACCGTCACAGAGCCGCCCACACAGAGCCACCCACACAGAGCCGCCCACACAGAGCCGCCCACACAGAGCCACCCACACAGAGCCGCCCACACAGAGCCGCCCACACAGAGCCGCCCACACAGAGCCACCGTCACAGAGCCGCCCACACAGAGCCACCCACACAGAGCCGCCCACACAGAGCCGCCCACACAGAACCGCCCACACAGAGCCGCCCACACAGAGCCGCCCACACAGAGCCGCCCACACAGAGCCGCCCACACAGAGCCACCGTCACAGAGCCGCCCACACAGAGCCACCGTCACAGAGCCGCCCACACAGAGCCACCGTCACAGAGCCGCCCACACAGAGCCACCGTCACAGAGCCGCCCACACAGAGCCACCGTCACAGAGCCGCCCACACAGAACCGCCCACACAGAGCCACCGTCACAGAGCCGCCCACACAGAGCCACCGTCACAGAGCCGCCCACACAGAGCCACCGTCACAGAGCCGCCCACACAGAGCCGCCCACACAGAGCCGCCCACACAGAGCCACCGTCACAGAGCCGCCCACACAGAGCCACCGTCACAGAGCCGCCCACACAGAGCCACCGACACAGAGCCGCCCACACAGAACCACCGTCACAGAGCCGCCCACACAGAGCCACCCACACAGAGCCGCCCACACAGAGCCGCCCACACAGAGCCGCCCACACAGAACCGCCCACACAGAACCACCGTCACAGAGCCGCCCACACAGAGCCGCCCACACAGAACCGCCCACACAGAACCGCCCACACAGAGCCACCGTCACAGAGCCGCCGACACAGAGCCGCCCACACAGAGCCGCCCACACAGAGCCGCCCACACAGAGCCGCCCACACAGAGCCACCGTCACAGAGCCACCGTCACAGAGCCGCCCACACAGAACCACCGTCACAGAGCCACCCACACAGAGCCGCCCACACAGAGCCGCCCACACAGAACCGCCCACACAGAGCCGCCGTCACAGAGCCACCGTCACAGAGCCGCCCACACAGAGCCGCCCACACAGAGCCACCGTCACAGAGCCGCCGACACAGAGCCACCGTCACAGAGCCGCCCACACAGAGCCGCCCACACAGAACCACCGTCACAGAGCCGCCCACACAGAGCCACCGAGTCAACTGAGCCGCCCACACTAGGAGCCCCCACCGATCACAGAGGCTACCGTCACAGAACCTACCATCACATGATACCACCGTTTAAAGAGCCACCTTCACAGAGCCACGTACAAGAGCCGGCCACATAGATACCACCGTATCACAGACCGCCACACAGATGCACCACGGTCACAGAGCGCCCACATCAGAGCCGCGCCCACACAGAACCCACGTACAGAGCCGCCACACCTAGAGCCGCCCACGAGACAGGATACCACGTCCAGAGCCGCCCACACGAGAGCGCCACAAGACCGCCAGCACTGAACCACCGTCACAGAGCCGCACACAGAGCCACCGCCCACACAGAAGCCGCCCCACACAGAGCCACCGTGCATCAGAGCGCCCACACAGAACCGCCCTCACACGAGCCCACGTCACGAGAGCCGCCCACAACAGAACGCCCTCACATAGAGCCACGCGCATAGAGGCCGGACACACAGAGTCGCCACACAGAGCCGCACACACAGAGCCACCGTCACAGAGCCACAAAGTCTACAGCTAGCCGCCATACACAGAGTCGCGCCCACAGAAATCGCACCACACTGAGCCACGTTGTACAGAGTCGCGAGAACACGAACCGACCAGCACAGAGCCACCGACACAGAGCCCACTCAACCTCCCCACACCCCACCACTCCAGGCCTCGCTCCACACCGACCATCAACACTCACCAACAATCACACCCGACACCAGCCCAGCCACCGCCTCCACCAACGCCAACCAATCCCCTCTCCACCCCCAACAGCTACACCACCGACCGCGCCACACCATAACCTCCACCACCACCGCCCAGCCATGCCCCAACGGTCCACCACAAGCAGCACCCTCGTATATAATGATACTTGTATCGAACCATCACCCCCCCAGGCCAGCAGCACACCACCATCCACATCATCCGCTTCCCCTGGTCTTCGTGTCAAACTGTCATTTTAGTTTTTATTACTTTTAGTCACATTTAAACCCTTCTCGTTTAGTCGACTATAAAAGCATTTTAATCAGAATTAGGACTGGGTGATATGGCTAAAAAATAAAATCTCTATTTTTTATTTTTTGTCATCTTGCATGATTATGATTTTAATTGAAGTATTAAAATGTAAACTTAAATATTCATAACATTAATCTTGTGCAAGTTACACAAATGTTCACCCAACAATAATTTTATCAATAAAAAAATTTACATCTATATATTCAGTATAAGTTCAGTATATTAGTCTTTTTCCTGCTTCACAAAGGTAGGCAGCAGCTTGACAAAGTCGTGATAGCAATTATTTTACATCCAAGTAGTATAAAGTTCTTCATATAAAACACACAATTTCAAACAGAGGGTATCGGCCGATAATCCACAGCCAGGTATCAGGGCCAAAAAATGACATAGGCGCAACACTACTATTAGTAATATTATTCTTTTTAACACAATTAACATATTATGATTACCTATTATAGTATAGATGGAACCAAATTATTCCTTTAGTCACAGATCAGACAAGGTTATGATATAATAAGACTTAACCCCATAATGCCAAATGTATCATATTGGATACATACTGTTTCTGAAATGTTTTGCGTCTGACACCTTTTGCATAATTTAATGGTAAAAAACTTTGCTCAAAATCCTATTGTACACAATCAGATATACCTGATAACAGAGGGCACAAGACTACACAAAAAATAATCTTGACTTATCGCATAGTAATAAATTATTAATATCAAAAATCTATTTTTGTTTTTTCTTTTTACATATTTTGTTAAAAGGGCAAATAAGGAATTCGAACCAAAAAAAAGTAAATTTCTGTTTTGTTTTATTCTTGGATCAGGCTTTAAAGGCTTAAATAAAAACATCCATTCCTGACGTGGAAGATGCTCTGCTTTGACTGCTTAGTTTGTTTTACCAACCAAACATAAGTACACACATGCATTTAAATTAAACAGATAATGCCTGTAGAATCAACAAAAACTGGGCAACAAAAAAAAATTAATTCAAGTTAAAAATAAGGAAGTTCAGGGAGGCGATAAAGGGAGCAGTTTGAGTGACACACAGGAGAAGAAATAAAAATATAAACTTTATTAGGTGAATTTGTCTCGTCTTATTGTAGTTAACAGAAATCAATCATTATTTTAACAGTTTTTGTTTCAGGAAGTACATTAAGTTTCGATATTTTTTTGACAAAAATATCCTATTGTAGATTTTATTATAGTTCTCTCTATAATCTCTTATTTTTGTTTTTATATTTTCTATCTTGAGCTATGAAGGTGAGCTGAAGCTCCCAGCTACTGCTGGGAACCTCAGATGCTAGGCTAACTCTTCTGCAGTGTCATTCTGCACAGAAAGGTCAGATGTGACTTCTTCCGTGTTTTTTGCTAAATCAAAAGGTGTTGGATTTGTCTATTAACGGAGTCCGATTTGCAGCTTTGCAGGAAGAGCAGCAAAAACTGTAATTATTAATTTTTTCCCCCCAATGTTTAAATTATGCTGCAGAAAAATCTGGATAAACGTATTTAAAAAAAATGAATTGGTCTCCATCTCTATTGTTTAAGGTTCTGTTATTGTGACATCACCCCGTAGCAACCCCCATCCCTTTCTTGTTTTGGTTAAACGGCTCCCCTGGGGAGAGCGAGCCGCCCTGTGTTTACCCCGAAGCATTTAACATCTAATCAGTTCTCACTCCTTTTTTTGTTTTGTTATATTAGTTTACTTTCTACATTACAATGCAGATTTAAAAACACCTTTTCTGTTCAGAAGTTGAACTACATCAGGAGGTATTTGTAGAGAGCTGGGAGGTCCTTCACACATCCTGTGATTGTTATGTGCATCTTTTCGTGTTTGTCTGATAGACCCAGGGTGGGCCAGTATCAACCGAGGGGTCCTGATCTGTGACGAGTGCTGTTCGGTCCACCGCAGCCTCGGCCGCCATATTTCCATAGTAAAGCACCTGAGGCACAGCGGATGGCCTCCCACATTACTGCAGGTAATGGCTGAGAGGTGCAGAGCGCCTCCGAGGGGAACAGAACCTACCTGGACTGAATCTTTGATCCGTTTTCAGATGGTTCAGACTTTGGCCAGTAACGGGGCCAACTCTATATGGGAACACAGTCTCCTGGACCCTGCGCAGGTGCAGAGCGGTCGACGGAAACCAAATCCACAGGACAAGGTCCAGTAAGTATCCTACCTTAAACCACACAGATACATGGCTTTTTAATAATAACATTAATTAAAACTTGTTGCATTAGACATTTATAAAGCATATAGGAAAGCCCCCCATAAGCTCTGGTTCTTAAATAAATTTAATTTCTAAAGCCAGGCATACACTCTGCAATATTTTCAATCAATTTTACTCAGCTACAGCTCGCACTGTACGACGAAACCGCAGCGTTTAAAAGTTCAAAGCTCACGATGTTTGTTCTCACACTGTGCGTCTCGACTCTCTGATGTGATCTACCTGCTCTCACCGTCCGTCTAAAAACCATGTCAGACTTTGCTCCACAGGGAGATGGCGCTACTCGGACTCGTCTATCTGGAAGCGAGTAGAAGAGGAACATGAAGCTCACTAGAGTGAAACGCGCTGCCTTGGTAATGTGTGCAATTTTGTGCTGAAAGTCCTAAAAAGAAAAGGCGACGACGTATTTGGACAAAGACATGGCTGAGCTACGGCTACTACGGTCTGTCAGTCTGACAGAAATGACTCCATTTCTCTCGCACCCCCACCATGCTTCTGTGTTTTCCTCTGAGAGGAAGAAGAAGAAGAATCCTTGTTTGCCCTCTGAGCGATTTTTCTCTCGACCTCCTCATAAAGTAACCGGACTCCGCCAGATGGATTTGCTCCACATATCCATCTGGAAACCTTCCATTGGAGTAATTTTGGGAAGGGGCGAAAATACTGGTTAGCTGATTGGCCTATGTTGGTGATAGACGGGCCAAATAAACCAATCAGATCAACGAAGCATATGACGTACTAACAGAGCGACGACGAAGAGGAGCCAATTGATAGATCAAACTTTTGCCGAAACCAGTTGGGAGAAGAGCAAAAACATCTTTTCCTCTGAGAAAAGCCTCCAGAGCAGTGTTTTGCTCTTCTTTCAGTGAAGAAATACTCTGTAATTCCGATAAAACTTGCTCGATAGCCACGCTAACGCTAGTTTCATCGGCTGAAGCCGCCATGTTCTTTAGACTGAACTGTGGCGCTTCTCGTTGCGTCACACCTTAACCCTCCTCAAAGCCAACGCTGATTGGACGTTCGTTTGGTGAACGGTTCCAAATTTTCTTTAACGGAGAGTCTCCAGACTGATCTGCGAGTGAAACCTTGAAAGCTCGCGAGATCAGGATGGTCTCACGAGGCTACTCATAAAGGCCGACTGAATTTCCAACATGTTTGATTTTCTTCTGACATCAAGATTCCTGATCGGGAGGTCGTTGTTAGAGGCTGATCGCCCCTCGTTACCCCCTGTACACGACACAACGCATGATCAAGCTGAAAGTCGACCTGATTAAGAAATTTTCGCACGACTGTAGAATCGGCCCGAAAAGGGCAAAAAATCGTACAGGTTATGCCGGCTTAACCCAATAAGTTGGTTTAAAGGAGGAAATAACAAAACTATCAAATGTAGAGCTGCAGTAATCTGAAATTTCAGGTTTTATTTCGATTTTACCTGTTGGTGCTGATTCAGACATTCACAGGAATAGAAAGCGAACCAGTTTGTGTTAATATTTGTTTTAATTCAACAGACCATAATGTTTATTTGCTATTAGGATCCTCATTAGTTTTCCCAACAGGGTAGCAAATAATCTTCCTTGAATCCACCAGCACAGTGAATATATAAAAAGTGTTGGAAAAAAATATGCAAAGCGTGCAGGTGGTGCAGTGGTTAACGTGCGCGACCCATGTACGGAGGCCTTTAGTCCTCGACCCGGCCGCCAAAGGTTCAGTCCGACCTGTGGTCCTTTGCCGCATGTCTCTCCCCTGCTCTCATACTGTCTTTCCTGTCAGCCTGCTGTCGCCCGGCTTGCCACAGGTTTGCCTGCTGTGTCTAAAACCCAGCAACCCAGACTGAAAGCTCATTGGCTAATTTGGATCAGGTGTAGCCTGGTGCCAAATGCCCTGGAGGGCTTTAGCGTAAAAACAGGAGAAGCAGCGCAAGTGAAGTTAGACACTGCCGTTGGACACATGCAGTCATTTATAAATCTTTTAAATCAGGTTGGTCCGGACCGCTGTCCGCTAGGGTTGTCACGATACTAAACTTTTCAACTCGATACCGATACTTAGTAAAATATTCAATATTCAATACCATTTTCGATACCACAAGGATAAAAACAAAGACTCCAAAATTCTACAGAAATATTTTCATTAATAAATAAAATACAATAAATAAATACAATAAAGGTTGTATGCTGTGCACAATATTAAGCAAGCTTGAGGAAAAACTTTTTCCTTCCTTGGCTATGCTTTGCACACATAACAATGATGCTAGCCAAACCGGTTAAGAAACAAAAATAATTCTCAGCAGCTGCACCTCTTATAAAAAAAAAATTTGAAACTGAAAAGTGCAAAGAATTATTCAATCACACAATTTTCAGAAAGTGCATTGTCCTCTATTCTGCCCTTTAGATGAATAACTTGCTTATGCTTAGGTGCCACTGGTGGTAGCACTGTATCGATACTTTTAAAAACGAGTATCGTATCCGGATACAACGTTTCAGTATCAATGCTTTTGACAACCCTACTGTCCGCTAATCTGTGACCTCTTCTATAAAGTATAGCCATCTGCATACATTGATATAGAAGCACTCTGTAAGACCAGGGAAATGTCATTTTCAACAGTAGAAAGAATAGAGAAAAGCAGAGGACCAAAACAACTGCCTTGTTGGACACCACAACGTAATCTCCAGTAGGGGTGGGTATTGCCAAAGAAGTCACGATTCGATTCGAATCACGATTCACAGGCCACGATGCGATTCTATCACGATGCATCACGATACTTGAATTATTGCGATGCATTGCAATATTTTATCCTCCATGTTTTGTTTTTGAATGACTCGGCACAGTATCCCGCAGCCGGAAATGCTTGTGACACAAGGCAGCGTGCGTCAACACATTTGCAGCGACATCTACTGGACTGGAAGTTGTATTACACTTGTTTTTGGCTAATGTTCACCAACCATTCATGCAATTTTATTTATTCATTTTTTTAAATTAATAATCGATTCTTGACATCAAGAATCGATGCAGTAGATCACGAAAATTAGAATCACGATGCATCATCATCACGATTATTTTGCACACCCCTAATCTCCAGCTAGTAGAAAAATGCCAAACCACTGAGAAAAAGTGGAAAAATTATTGATAATTCATCAGAGAGAACGTCCTCAAACCTTAATGTATTAAACTGAAAGCAAAGTCTAACTAAAAACGATGCATTAAACACCAGAAGTAGTTTTTTTTTTTTTAGTTTTCTTGCTGTTGACGGAAAACTGCACAACTTCTGACTCAACTTTGGATGTATTAGATAATTGTTTTTGTGGCACTTCTAGTCATGTGACCCAAAGCGCTGCTCTACAGCAGTCTGAACTCCCCCTAAATATCAAAGTAAAAACAAAACGTTTTTTTTACAGCGGCATTAAAAATAATAACTTCTGAAGATTTTTGTTGTAGTGTTTGTCGAGCTGATCACAAGTCCAATTAAATAGACTTAGATTTATTTGCCATTCTGTTTACACGGGTGTAAAACAAAAAGAAAATTCACTTAGAACAGCTCTCTAGACATTTTCATTTTTAAATCCAAAGCAGATGGATGTAGTTTGGTTCTTGGCCCCCTGATTGGTGCATTTATTCGATCTTTCTTGTCATATTTCATCTTCACATTAACCCTTGTCGCTGTGAGAATGACCTCCTGGCCGATAACCTCCTCTTCTCCTCCTGTTCAGCACCACGAAGTCTGAGTTCATCAGAGCCAAATACCAGATGTTAGCTTTTGTGCACAAGCTACCTTGTCGGGACGATGATGGCGTCACTACGAAGGACCTCAGTAAGGTAAGAGCTTAGCGCTCCACTGCTGCTCACCTTCTGTTTAAACACAAGAGCTGTTACAGCAGAGAATCACCAGGATGTTGGGAAGTTATCGATATCTGGTAGATAAAAAGAAATGATTCAGACATTTAGCCTGATTTTTTTATGAGCAGGATATTCTCCAAAAATCCTTACAGTGTCACTGCTTTCTGAGGGTTTGCTTCTTTGGCGTGGTTTGGTCTGTTTAGATGTTTAAATCTCCCATCTTCACAGGGATTCATTGAATCTACTAAGATCCTGTGATTAGAATGTTTTCCCTTTAAGATTCTTTCCACTCGCCATACCCACACAATTCTCCACAACAACTGATTTTTTTCTGCTACACCCGGCTACGCTGCTTCGCTTCTTCTTCTTCTTGTTTACTACTGGTGGTTGGCTTTGGTCGCAGTACCGCCACCTTCTGCTCTGGAGTGGAAACGCTTCGCCTATGAGAAAAAGGAGCAGCGCATGAACCGAACGAAACACACGCGAATCGAACCGAGACAGTCGAACCGAACGGTTAGGACGGTTTTCATAAACCGTTCCATCCCTAATATATATATATATATATATATATATATATATATATATATATATATATATATATGTATATATAATATATAATATATATATATATATATATGTATATATATATATATATATATATATATATGTATATATAAATATATAAATATATATATATATATATATATATATATGTATATATATATATATATATGTATATATATATATATATATATATATATATGTATATATAAATATAAATATATATATATATATATATATATATATATACAGGTGCTGGTCATAAAATTAGAATATCATGAAAAAGTAGATTGATTTCAGTAATTCCATTTAAAAAGTGAAACTTGTATATTATGTTCATACATTACATACAAACTCATATATTTCAGATGTTTATTTTGTTTAATTTTGATGATTACAAATGACAACAAATGAAAATCTCAAATTCATCATATCAGAAAATTAGAATATTGTGAAAAGGTTCAAAATTGATGGCCCCTGGTGCCACACTCTAATCAGCTAATTAACTCAAACCACCTGCAAAAGCCTTTAAATGGTCTTTCAGTCTAGTTCTATAGGCTACACAATCATGGGGAAGACTGCTGACTTGACAGTTGTCCAAAAGACGACCATCGACACCTTGCACAAGGAGGGCAAGACACAAAAGGTCATCGCTAAAGAGGCTGGCTGTTCACAGAGCTCAGTGTCCAAGCACATTAATAGAGAGGCGAAGGGAAGGAAAAGATGTGGTCGAAAAAAGTGTACAAGCAAGAGAGATAACCGCACCCTGGAGAGGATTGTGAAACAAAACCCCTTCAAAAATGTGGGGGAGATTCACAAAGAGTGGACTGCAGCTGGAGTGAGTGCTTCAAGAACCACCACACACAGACGTATGAAAGACATGGGTTTCTGCTGTCGCATTCCTTGTGTCAAGCCACTCTTGAACCACAGACAGCGTCAGAAGCGTCTTGCCTGGGCTAAAGAGAAACAGGACTGGACTGCTGGTGAGTGGTCCAAAGTCATGTTCTCTGATGAAAGTAAATTTTGCATTTCCTTTGGAAATCAAGGTCCCAGAGTCTGGAGGAAAAGAAGAGAGGCACTTCATCCACGTTGCTTGAAGTCCAGTGTAAAGTTTCCACAGTCAGTGATGGTTTGGGGTGCCATGTCATCTGCTGGTGTTGGTCCATTGTGTTTTCTGAGGTCCAGGGTCAACGCAGCCACATACCAGGAAGTTTTAGAGCACTTCATGCTTCCTGCAGCTGACCAACTTTTTGGAGATGCAGATTTCATTTTCCAACAGGACTTGGCACCTGCACACAGTGCCAAAGCTACCAGTACCTGGTTGAAGGACCATGGTATCCCTGTTCTTAATTGGCCAGCAAACTCTCCTGACCTTAACCCCATAGAAAATCTATGGGGTTTTGTGAAGAAGAAGATGCAATACACCAGACCCAACAATTCAGAAGAGCTAAAAGCCACTATTAGAGCAACCTGGGCTATCATAACACCTGAGCAGTGCCACAGACTGATCGACTCCATGCCACGCCGCATTGCTGCAGTAATACAGGCCAAAGGAGGCCCAACTAAATACTGAGTGCTGTACATGCTCATACTTTTCCTGTTCATACTTTTCAGTTGGCCAACATTTCTATAAATCCTTTGTTTTTATTGGTCTTCAGTAATATTCTAATTTTCTGATATGATGAATTTGAGATTTTCATTTGTTGTCATTTGTAATCATCAAAATTAAACAAAATAAACATCTGAAATATATGAGTTTGTATGTAATGTATGAATATAATATACAAGTTTCACTTTTTAAATGGAATTACTGAAATCAATCTACTTTTTCATGATATTCTAATTTTATGACCAGCACCTGTATATATAAGTTCCTTGCCTGTGTCGAAAAAGTTAAGGCTCCAGCATGAAATTCTAATACCCAATGTCAGTTTTAACTAGGGCTGCAACAACGAATCGATAAAATCGATAAAAAATCGATTGTTAAAAGCGTTGGCAACGAATTTCATCATCGATTAGTTGTGTCGCGCGATTAATGTGTCATCTGCCGCCGTCGGCAGCTGCTGCCGTGGGAAGCCTCCCCCATCCCAACCCCGTTCAACCCAGCAGGAGTCCCTCTCAGCGCTGCAGTCAGAGCAGCAGGATTTTTACCCTCAGCGTCCAGACTTCAAATGAAGCGCGCATGCACCGGGATTGACGGCGCAAATTGATCACAATAATTAAAATAGCCTGCACTTTGTAAAGGGAAAAAAAGTCGTAACATGCAACTTTTGTAAAAACAAATGAACATGGCACAGAACCACCACTGTTATGATGCAGCACCTGATAAGAAAACACGTTGGAGCCTTCGATGGCAGTGAAGAGAGCTGATCAGCAGGATGAGCGGCCATGTTTGTTTCGTTTTAAAGTGGGGAAACGTAACGTTAGTTTCTCAGGTAGCTCATCTGATGCTTTCCTTACCGTGTTAGTAGGTTACAGACAGTGATAAGGTTGGCTACTTATTTTACTTTTAATTTCATTTGAATTAGCTTAAGCAGCGTTTATATTTACTTTATAAATAAACTAACTTGCAAATTATGAGGGCAAGGCTTTTAAAGTTTAAATCTTCTGGCAAAGATAAAGTAAAGATGATCCTGCAATTTATGGAAGTAAAGCAGAATAAAATCCAGCAAGATCAGTAATATGTCAATTAATTATCTGCCACATTCCCATGTAAATATCTGTCTTTGGAGGATGTGTTTTTTAGCACCCCTAGTTCTCTCATTTTTATTCCAAATACAATTTATAATTTGAATCGCAGGGCTATTTTTATCTCTATGGTTCAGTATTTTCTCAAGTAGCAACTTTAACTGCTGTACTTTCCTGTCTTAAAAGGCAGAACTCTTCTAGTCTAAAAAACCTCATTTGTTGAAATGGGGGGGCCTATTGTTTGAACCCCTTAGAGGCTTTTAAAAACAAAAATGTCTTTTTTTGCGCTTTAAGAAACAAAGTACCCTATATTTTGTGGATGTACAGCTACATTTCTCATGTAAGTTTGCGTAGTTTTAACACAAACATTTATTTTTCATATTGCACCAGTACAGTTAATGAGCAACCTGTACTTGTGTGCTTGTTTGTTCTGTCTAAAATGTTTATTTTGGAATAAAGAGGTTAATATAAAAAAATATTTTTTGTCCGATTCATCGATTAATCGAAAAAATAATCGGCCGATTCATCCATTTTTAAAATAATCGTTAGTTGCAGCCCTAGTTTTAACCAGTGGAGATTAAAAATATTAACAACGAAATAACAACTGTTCTACCAAACAGTCTGTTATCTGTACACTTAAATGATCTTATAAAAGAAAAGAAAACAGCATAGTGGTTAAGTTACAAATTAACTACATGGTGACTGTCGATAAACTAGACAGACCAATCCTTAAACACATTTTTTTCAACTTCCACACGAAATAGAGAATAGTTATTTTTCCTTTCCGCTTGACAAAAACAAAATAATTTGCTCATATATGTCAGTGTAATGGATTTTATTTAAAAATAGATTTTGGTTAAAATCTGGCAGCTGTAATGTGAAGCATTTTTCTAAACTTGGACAAAGTTTGCTGTTGTCCCAGTATGTTGCAGTCTACCTTCCTCACTTCATATCCAGCTGATTAGTGCTCATGAATAGTTTAAGGCAATTAGAAAATGGAGCCATTAATACTCTGAAGCAGCATGCCTGAGCAGAAATGCTGCATCTTTTCCACCTCATGTCGATGAGTATGACAGCATTGACGTTACCCAAACGCCCCAGCAGGGTGACTTCTGGATGACGCAGCAGGATGTGTAATGATCTCTGGTGCCGTGGAGTTCCAGCAGGTTAATAAAAGACTGCTACCTTTCTCTGTTTCTGCTCACTTCATCTTCAGCAACTTCATTCGAGTGTGCGGACCGGGAGTTTAGAGACGTGCCTTCGCCTCTTGTCCCTCGGCGCTCAGGCCAACTTCTTCCACCCGGTCAGGAAACAATCATCTACTTGCAACTGTAATAAATGGTTCAGTGCTAAAGTTATGCGTGTGTTTGTCTGCTGCTGATCCTGCAGGAGAAAGGCACCACCCCGCTTCATGTCGCGGCGAAGGCAGGGCAGATCCTGCAGGCGGAGCTGCTGGTCGTATACGGCGCAGATCCCGGAGCGCCCGATATCAACAGGCGCACACCGATGGACTATGCTAGGTACGGTTCTAAGCGTGGAAACTTTACTGCCTTTGCAGTCAAGTCTCAAAGAAGTCCAGCAGAAATGGCAAAGAAGAGAAACAATCAATTTTTTATTGTTTTGTTTTCCAGGCAGGCCGGCCACATCGAGCTGGCAGAGCGGCTGGTAGAGTGTCAGTATGAGCTAACGGACAGACTAGCCTTTTACCTGTGTGGCCGGCGACCAGGTAATCATTTTAATCCATAAAACCGTACAGCAGATATTAAATGAAATGCAATGAGTCATCTGAACTCCTCTAACTTTTGAGATGAATAATCTAAAAGAGTTTTCCTGCATATTATGTCAGCATTGAGACAAATTAGCTCTTTAAAAATAATCTGCATAGTGACAGCAACTGCTCTTTTTTTTTAATAATAGATGTTTGTACGAAAGAGGATTAGGGCCACTGAAAAAAAAAGTTAACTGATTTTTACATTTTATTTCAGTTTAACATGGGGAAAAAAAAGTCAGAATTCTGACTTTTTTCTCAAAATTCTGATTTTTTTCTCAGAATTCTGACTTTTTTTCTCAAAATTCTGAATTTTTTTCTCAGAATTCTGACTTTTTTTCTCAAAATTCTGATTTTTTTTCTCAGAATTCTGACTTTAATCTAAGAATTCTGACTTTAATCTAAGAATTCTGACTTTTTTCTCAAAATTCTGACTTTTTTTCTCAGAATTCTGACTTTAATCTAAGAATTCTGACTTTAATCTAAGAATTCTGACTTTTTTCTCAAAATTCTGACTTTTTTTCTCAGAATTCTGACTTTAATCTAAGAATTCTGACTTTAATCTTAGAATTCTGACTTTTTTCTCAAAATTCTGATTTTTTTCTCAAAATTCTGACTTTTTTTCTCAGAATTCTGACTTTAATCTAAGAATTCTGACTTTAATCACAGAATTCTGACTTTAATCACAGAATTCTGACTTTTTTCTCAGAATTCTGACTTTTTTTCTCAGAATTCTGACTTTTTTTCTCAAAATTCTGATTTTTTTCTCAGAATTCTGACTTTTTTCTCAGAATTGTGGATCTTAATGTAGATGGGCACCATGAAGGAAGAGATGTGGAGCCCTCAGCTTTACTGACAAAGATGTGAGTTGTTTGAGAGGGCCAGTGACACATTGGTGGAAAATGACGGAATTAGGCAACTTTTTATTTTATTTCCATTAATGAGGGGTCCCCTCATTGATGGAGGAGCAGAAGGTCATTAAAACAAGAGCGCTAGTCTCTAAAACAGGCATGGCTATGGCTTGATGCTAACATGTTTGTTAGCTGTCAGAATTCTGAGATTAGTCAGAATTCTGAGAAAAAAGTTGCAATTCTGAGAAAAAAGTCAGAAATCTGAAAAAAAGTCGGAATTCTGAGAAAAAAGTTAGAAGTCTGACTTTTTTCCCATAATAAACTGAAATAAAATTTAAAAATCAGTTAACTTTTTTTTTTTTTTCATTGGCCCTAATCCTTTTCCGTACGGTTTGGTTGTGGAAGTGTTTTTTTTGTTTTTTCCCAAAGTAAAAGTGCTGACATTTAAGGCTCGCTGACACCAAGTACCAATCCAAATACTAAATAAAAGTTTGTCACAACAGAGTTATGATCATATTCTCTGATACGCTGAGCAGATAAATCCACATATAAATAATTTGTTTTATATATTTATAACCTTTGACAAATTTCCTATTTTCCTCTTTTTTTAGATCACAAAAATGGCCACTATATCATTCCTCAAATGGCGGACAGGTATGGAAAGTGACATCATTTGTTTGTTTTAAACTGACAGATAGCATGAAGAATATCTGTAATAGTACTTAGAACTACCTAACCCACCAATGTTTTAAGTTTTAAAAAGTGCTCTTACCACATGGTGTCGCCAGAGTGCATGTATAGAATTTATTAAAACAGTTGGTACCAAATTTCTGACTATTTTTTGTTGTTGAAAACAAAACAAAAATAATAACCCAGCCAATCTTAGATGTGAGTCCTGTTTCTGAGCCGCCATCTAACCTCCTCCTGTCTGCTCTGTTCTGGTGGACGGGTTTCTCATTATAACTATTAAAGCTGTTTTGATGTGGCTTGTCTTCCCCTTCTTTCTCTCTGTTTCTTCCTTTTTCTCACTCTTCCTCTATCCTCTTCCTTTTCGCTGCGCTTGGTGGAGCCAGAGCTCGTCCTAAGTGCCCGACACAGAGGTATCTTTACTCTCCTCAACAGCTTCTTCTCCAGTCTTTCGTTTGTCTGCATTCTTCACCAGAATTAATCCTTTTAAAGTAAAAAAAAGAGACAAATTAAAACATTTCTGCTGGTTTTATAAATGAGTTATTGTTATAGAGAACCTCTAAAAAAAGACTGTACTTAGAATTCCTAATCTGGAAGACGGCACATCTATAAAATCAGTTTGTTCTTAAATTCTATAATTTTTCATGCATGACTGGTTAAAGTTTAATCACAAATCCAGCTCACCAGGAAAAAGATGAGATAAAATCTAAGCAGTTAAAAAAATCGCTAAGAAATCACTGACCTTCTTGTAAAGACAATGACTGATATGCAGATTCTCAACTTTGTTGGGAAATAGGGTTGTGAAATTTTACATATTTCTAAAGTTGTAAACTTTCTATGGGATTTTTCTGGATTAAAAATGGAAAACAGCTGAGAAGTTTAACCATAAAGATTTTGAACGTATTTGGGAGAAAATGTTTTGTTGTAATCTTTGATCCTAGACTTCATACAGGATCCACTACAGCACATCCATGTTGTTTCCATGGAGTATTTCAAAGTTTTCAAAAGTTTTTAATTTTAAAATCCAAATGTATGCATTTATTTGATTGAAGCCTTGTTTTTTGTTTTTCTTTTTTAAAAAAAGGTCTTTACACTGCAAAAACAATCTAGAGATAAGTGAAAATGTCTTAAATTAAGTGTATTTACCCTTAATTTGAGTAGGTAAATGAGATAGTTTGCCAATAGAATTGGTATTTTTACTCTTAAAATAAGATAATGAGATAATATGCACTTTTCTTATTTTAAGTGTAAATTGTTCCATTGGCAAAATGTCTCTTTTATCTCCTCAATCCAAGAACAAATGCAGCTATTTTAAGAAAAAATGACTTATCTAGATTTAGTTTTTTTCCAGTGCATTTTCTTTTGCTCATATAAAGCTACTTAAAAAGCACAATTGAAGGCTACTGAGAGCCTTCTTTTATGAAACAAATTAACAACTATTACGTGCAGTCAGCCAATCAGCTTCCAGGTTATTAACGAGGCCCCGTCACATGATGGCGACTGGGATTTTTTTGGAAAATATACACAATATACAAAATACTTGGTAAGGTGGAGTGTTGGCCTAGTGAATAGAGCGATACTCTTGTGCTCTGAGAAAGTTGTAACTACCCAGTTGGATCCCCACAGCCTCCACTCTGGGTGCCTGACTAGGGGTGTAAATAATAATCGTTCTGTATCGATGCATCGATCAAACAGCCGATGATCCGATGCATCGACACGTCCGCAAGAGAATCGATTCATGTTTTTTATCCATTTGCTCCTGGGCGTAATTCTCGCTCCCGTGCTGCGGTGGCGCTAAACCTATTTTGCCCTCCTACCTCGCTTCCTGGTTATACTCTTACAGCAGTGTGTTGCAGTGAGCTTGACACAGACATTTTAAAATTATGCTCAATATTGAAGCGTGGTCTGTGCTACACGCTGTGGGTCTAGATACGGCCGAGGCGGCGAGGAAGTGGGGCCGAGTTTAGTCCGACGACGGAGGGACATGTGGGCCAAAAAGAGCGGAGATCCAGGTGGAAAAAGGGTCCCAGCGTTCTCGCGCAGCTCGCTCATCTAGCGGGTCAAACTTCACGAGTCGTTTTCCGCAATTTCGGTCATAAAAACAAAACAAGCCGGCCTCCTGTCTGCCGTCAGCTACAATTTGGGATAGGAGCAGCGGAGAGTCTGTGGAGGGGGCGGGACGCCTGGAGCCGAGGTATTGCATCACACTCATTGCACTGATTATGTGCAGCATTTTTTGATGCAAGGCCTTCAGAATCTATAACGCTGGGGTATTATTATTTTTCAGTGAATGAGGTTTTAATAGGAATAGGTGGAGTACAACTTCTCTACTTCTGTTATTTGCTGTTGGTTCTCAAAAAAAAGCATAACGATATTACAGCGTTCATTGATTTATTTCAAATTTTAAACATTGTCTAGCTATTAAGGTGTCAAAAAAAAAATATATATATATATTTGAATCGTATCGTGGTGTATTCTTGAATATCGAAAAATAATCGAATCGTTGGGTCAGGAAATCGATACTGAATGGAATCGCCATGATGGATGTGATTTACACCCCTATTCCTGAGCAAAACCCTTAACCACACACTGCTCCACAGGCGCCACTAAATGGCAGCCCACTGCTTCCCAAAGAGATGGATTAAATGCAGAAATCAGTTTCCCCATCGTGGGACAATAAATGGATTTCCATGTATTAAAGAGAACAGTTGAAGGCTTGGTTAGAGTCTGCTCTAAACCACTGATCTGAGAGCTAAAGGATCCGGTCCTCGATGCACACTGATGCTTTCTCCTAACTTCTTACTCTCTTCTCTATTTTCATGTTGTCCTCTGAATGGCCGCTGTCTTTGTATTTCCTGTCCTCACGTGCCCGCTGTTTGACTGTTTGTTTTTGTCGTTGTTTTATTTTAATTTAGTCTTGACCTCTCTGAACTTGCCAAGGCTGCCAAGAAGAAGCTGCAAGCGGTATGTTTCAGTTACAGCTCGAACATTTACAGTTGGCTCTCTATAATTACCTTTTTAAATCATTGACATTAGATCAACAACACCTTTTTTTTCTAGATGCTACTACAACAACTGTTTCTATTTCTTAAAAAAAAAAAATAGTGCTGCAATAATATTCCTATCGATTTAGGATGGGAAAACTATCTGAAGCTCTATCCTGGTGGGTAAAAGCTGACATGTGCAAATATTTCCACACACATTGCTTACTTATAGCATTGAGCTATTTTAAGACGAGCATCTGGATTTTCACAAATTGGGTAGTTTTTTTTTTTTTTATATTCTAATTTACAAAACATCTCATGTTGGTGTTTGATGAATAGAAATAAGTTTAGTAATAGAAACTCACCTTGAAACAGAAAACGTTTCATATCCTTTGATGCCCAAATGTAAGGAAAGAACAGAATATTGCAGCTATAGGATAAAGAATCTAATCTGAAGATTAAAACGTTAAACATTTTGTTATGATGAGGCAAGTTTTTGCTTCCTTGCCAGATTGAATCTTGTCCTGTTGAGATCCATCTGTGCAGAACTGTGGTCTGCTAGTAATTCAGGCCTTCTAAAATGTTCCCTTTGGACCTTTTCTATTTTATTAGCAAATTGTTCGTCTGTGTTGCAGCTGAACAACCGGTTGTTTGAAGAACTAGCTATGGATGTGTATGATGAGGTGGATCGCAGGGAAAACGACGCAGGTGAGTGCTGTCCTTCTCTTTCAATTCAGATCAGTTGCTTTATGTAGCACCTGTGTGCAGCACACATGCAATAAGGTAGGCATCCCCAACCTCGGTCCTCGATCCCCGCTGTCCTGCAGGTTTTAGAGGTTTCCCTGCTTTAGCACAGCTGATTATAATGATTGCAGTAGAACAAAAGCCTGTTAATCAGCTTTCAATTAAAATCAGCTGTGCTGGAGCAAAGAAATCTCTAAAACCTGCAGGACAGCGGGCCTTGAGGACCGAGATTGTGGATGCCTGCTCTAAGGCACATTACAGAGCCTGTTGAGTAAAATCCCCTAGACGGATTGGTAAAGAGTTTTCATACACTGTGAGATTTTTTGCCCTTTTCAGGCTGACTTTCCAACTGTGCAAGAATTTTTCGATCAGGCCAACTTTCAGCCTGCACAACGAAAAATGCCTTCTAAAAAATAAGAAAAATATAGTGTTTTAAGTGAATAATTCCTTATTTTGAGCAAAATAATCTGCCAGTGCAGCAAGCAAATGAGACTCGGTAAGATTTCTTAAAACAAGAACATAATATCCAAGTAGTAAGCATCCAAAAAAACTTAAATCAAGTAGAAAAATCTATTTTTTCTTTTACTCGTTAAGATTTTTTCTCTTATTGTAAGCAATTTATTCTCATTTATTAGTCATTATTGCTTAGAATTAAATAACTTCTAACAAATTATTGCTCAAAACAAGCATCCAACAGGCTTAAAAACAAGGCAAATGTACTTGATACCAGTTAATTTAAAGGCTTAAAACTAGTCTGTTTCTTAGCTAGAATTAATTTCATTATTTAGGTGTAGTGAATGTATGGGAAAAATACACTTGACAAAAACTTCAAAACGTTTTTTTATGAATATTTTAGCAAAAATGTCACAAAATTAAGCGAACCTGGTGAGGTTCAGAATCTCAAAGCTAAATCATGAATGACAATCTGAATAACCCTTTCAATTTGAATGCAATCACAGTTGATTAGCTGGAATATCTTAATGAGATGGGGTTAGTTCTTAAAACAGGTTAATATGGATTGTCTTATTGTCTTGAAACAAGTAAACATGTACTCACAGTCTAAATTTTAACGCTACTCAGTCGACAATGTGTGCTATTTTAAGAAAAAAGCTGCTCAGAATTAGTCTTATTATCTAGTTGGGATGAAAAAAATGAATTTTCTTAAAACAAGTCAAATAATCTTAACAATATTTAGTCTTACTAAGAAAATACATTGAGGACAAGTGTAATAAGACCAAAATGCTTAATTCAAGTTTATTACACTTGTATAGATTTTCCTTTTTTGCAGTTTGATCGTGCGTCATGTAGTGTACAGGGGGTAACGAGGGGCGATCAGCCTCTAATGACCGCCTCCCGATCAGGAATCGTAAGGTCGGGAGACAATCAATTGTGTTTGAAATTCAGTCGGCCGTTGTGGGCAAATCGATCAGAGCGCAAACAAGAATTCTTCTTGTTCTTCCTCTCAGATGAAAACACAGAATTATTATGATGGAGGTGCAATGAGTGAAATGGCCGTAGTATCCACGTTTGTTAATGTTTTTATCCAAATATGTTGTCGCCTTTTAGTAACCTGACTCTGCCAGATGGATTTGCTCCGCATATCCATCTGGAAACCTTCCGTTGAAGTAATTTTGGGAAGGGGCGAAAATACTGGTTAGCTGATTGGCCTAAGTTGGTGATAGACGGGCCAAATAAACCCATCAGATCAACGAAGCATATGACGTACTAACAGAGCGACGACGAAAACACAACCACAAGCCAGGCTACTCTTGCCGAAACCAGTCGGGAGAAGAGCAAAAACATCTTTTCCTCTGAGAAAAGCCTCCAGAGCAGTGTTTTGCTCTTCTTTCAGTGAAGAAATCGGTCTTTGTCAGACACGTGACTGACACGCCCCCTAGCGCCATTTTTGTGGTGAGCGGAAGAAAAACAAAACAGCAGAAAACAAGAGGAGAGCGCTGCCAGCAGTGAGGATTATCAGTTAAATGGAAAAGAACAAGAAAACTGAACGGATACCCTACCCAGACAAACTTTCTAAAGCTGCTAGGGAACGATATTATATATTATTATTACAGTGACAAGGCGGATGTTGTGGGCAGTTGCACAGATAGCTGCAGTTATTAGAGCAGTTTGTGCTGCTCATCAGACTGAACGAAAAAACTTGTCATAATTTTTGCACATTGATAAGTTGCACACTGTATTTGCTGTTCACTTTACCCAGGCCGGTTTTCACTGGGATCTGCAGTCTTCTTCACAGATATCACCTGTTAGGTCATATCTCTAAGGAAGACCACAGTGAAAACAAGTCCAGGAAAAATGAAAATCTTCTAATTTAATCTAAAGAGCAATCTGCTATATACGAGGGAGAAAGAAAAAGTAAAACATTTGAGGCTTTGCACTGTTCTGCATTATTTATGTATTTGAGATTTTGTATTGCATTTTCATAAATTCTCTGCTTGATTGAAAAGATAATAACAACACTTGTTTCAAATTTCAAATCCACTCTTTATTGTACACACATTTTTACAACTTAAGAAACATAGTTAATATTTGAAGTGATGGTGAAACTTATATTTGTTTTGCTGTTATTTTTCAAAAGTAACTTTAAAAAAAGCAAAATTCTATTTGTGTGAAAAGAAGAATAAAAAAAGAAGAATAAAGTTGAAACAGTACTTGATCTTGCATTCATTTATTAGCTGGTTTCTCTGTGAAAATTTCAAAACAGTCAATAATCACTGTGACTCTATGTCCAAAGGCATCCACAAACTGATGAGGCATAATTTTGTGCAAGGTGTCTCTATCTGGCCACACAAATGCACGCTTTAGATTTGCATATAAAAATGACAGCATTTCATTGAATGTTCTGTACACTGTCTTTGGTGAAACACGGAAGAGATAAGCAAGGTGTTGTGAGGGCAGATCCAATCTCAGACGCATGAAGGTTAACAGAAGCATTTGAAATGGACTGAGAATTTTATTTTGAGCAGACATGAGAGGCAGCAGAAAATTAAACAAAGCCATAAAGGTTGCCAAGTTTGGTAGACCCGTATAGTACTTGACTTTTTCATTACTGTCTCCAAAGAAGCAATCAGAGATCCGCAGCTCATCAAGTTCACGCCGCAGCTCTCTGTTTTCTTCCAAAAGACGGTTCATCTCTGCACACCTGAGCACACACAGGTTACATTCTGTCTGTCCTTCCTGACGACCACCTTCTGTGTCATCCTTGGTGTTTGGCCGGCCAACGTTTTCAGCAGCCTTCTGCGTGTCAGTCTGTTTCTGGTTAGGGTTCTCTGTCGCCTCATGTGTAACTTCATCCTGTCGCTGAAGGATTTCATCAGCCTGATGGAGCCCCGTTTCAGTTGCTTGCAGGGCATTCTTTTTCAGCTGTTCCCGATAACCACGTCTTAAAGAGCGGTCTGTGTCTGTTGGTCTGATGTCAGTGTGGCCCAGATGCAGGGATGGAGCCCAGTCTGGGTCAGTTTCCATCATCTCATATGCGGGTTGACCTGCAAAGTAGATGAAAGGTTGAGTGTTTTACACATCTATTCAAAACACTATATAAAGCACCTTAATAACAGAGCCCATTAGATTAGATGAGTTATAAAATAAGATATGCTTATGTTTCCCACAGTGGGGAAATTTGCTATACCGAAACAGCACAAGTACATCGGATTAGTAAGGCCAGAGGTAAATAAATAAACTGAAAAGCTTACAGACGAACAAAGGATTATAATAAATAAACTTAAGTAGATTGCACAGGATGAATAAATGCACTGAGTTGGCTGACGAGTGGGTATGTACAGTGTTTTTATATGTACAGTGTTTTTATATGTACAGTGTATTTATATATATTTATTCATAAAAAAAAATATATTTGTATTGCAGATTGTGTAAATGATTATATACAGATAATGCATTATTTATTAAATTTTAGCGGTCTAAAAAAGAAATAAAACAAACATCACTTTCCGCTTCTCTTCCACAGCATGTTTCAGTAGGTTTACACGAACTCCTGCAACTTTATAAGCAAACCATTTCAGCGTGTTGATTTCTATTAGTGTATATTTATAAGGACTTACCTTTGTGAAAATGCCGAGAGCAAACACGAACATGAGGAGATATTTTATGCAACATGATGTCTTTCCTTCTTACAGCAGCGACCCACGGAGCCCGACGCCTCTTTGTTAAGTCCTCTGTCTGCGGTCCGTATTTTTTTTCCAAGTGGGGAATACGAAAAACCGTAAGGCCCCATCTGCTGTTTTCTGTTTAGAATTACTATTGCATCCTTTGACGCAGCACCAGTGTCCCATTATTTCCAAAGAAGCAACTAGAACACGTCTGCTCTCTGTTAGTTTTCTTTTGTTTGTTGCTGCTGTCTCTTCACCACAGAAATGGCGCTAACTACCCTAAATTAATTGCGCTTTTGCGGAAGTGACGTACACTGTCACAGACCGATACTCTGTAATTCCGATAAAACTTGCTCGATGGCCACGCTAACGCTAGTTTCATCGGCTGAAGCCGCCATGTTCTTTAGACTGAACTGTCGCGCTTCTCGTTGCGTCACACCTCAACCCGCCTCAAAGCCAACGCTGATTGGACGTTCGTTTGGTGAACGGCTCCAAATTTTCTTTAACGGAGAGTCTCCAGACTGATCTACGAGTGAAACCTTGAAAGCTCGCGAGATCAGGATGGTCTCACGAGGCTACCCTTTTAGGGCTTTCAGCACAAAATTGCACAAATTGCCAAGGCAGCGCGTTTCACGCTAGTGAGCTTCAAATTCCCCTTCTATTTGTTTGGCTTCCGGATAGACGAGTCCGAGTAGCGCCATCTCACTGCGGAGCTGAGTCCAACGTAGTTTTTAGATGTACAGTGTGAGCAGGCAGATCGCATCCAGCCATTGACTTTGGAAGATTCGTTCTCATTGAAGAGCATGAAGAGACAGTGATTTTCAAGTGGTTCACACTTTTTTGTTTGGTATTTAAACTGCAGGTTTCCCCCACTTGAAAAGGCAGCTTGCTTCCAGAGATTTCACAGGATTTCACTCAGAACAACCAAAGTTGATTCTTTCCTTTTTTTCTCTTTTATTTGAAAGTTCAATCAACAATAGTAGTAGCAGCAGTAGTAGTAGTAGGTGAAAAACCTTTAAATATAAACAGAAAACACAATGATTAACATCCTTTAAATAACAAAATTGTTCCTGAAACAAAATATAAGATTTAAACTCAAAATCAAACATATTCAAAGAATTATTCAGTGATACATTTTAACATTCTAGTGTTAATTTACTTTCTCAAATATATTTTAAATGATTCCTCTTTCTTTTTCTTTTTTTCTTTTTACTTTTCTTAATAATTTAACATTTCAATCTAAATATTCAAATAATCTGTGGCTCACTGGCTCCTTCTCCTTGGAACAAACTTTCCTGCAGTGCATTCACCCAGGCACCCTCATAGTGCTCATTGCTGCTTAGTGACTGAACATCTCCCAACTGATCGCTTAATTATCTTCACCTGTCTCCAGGTTGGGAGACACTCTCCCCTATACTCAGAGGAGGGCGGGGCATGAATTCAGCTCAACAGTGATGTTTGCCCACATTGTCATTGATTTGAAAGCAAACGCTCACACCAAGCATGCATGCAGCGACCGTGGAGAGGAAAACTCCCTTATAACGGGAAGAAACCTCCAGCAGAATCAGGCTGAGTGTGAGCGGCCGTCTGCCGAGGCCGACTGGGGTTTAATGGGATGGAAGAAGAGATATAAGAGAAAGAGGCACTGCTCTATAAATACTTTCTATGTTAGAAAGAGTAATAGTAACTGAACTCCACATGTGGCTCTGTCTGGGAAAGAAACAGTTAAGCAGCTCAGAGCCATTTTTTATGTCAAAGGGATGAAAGAGAGCATTTCCAGTTACAGTAGTCTCAGGAAAAGCTGAGCCTGTCGCCACGTCTAGGAGAGAAATGGGACTAAGCACTGAAAAACGGACCCAACTCTTTCAGGTGTTGACAGCTGCAGCACAGGTGATATTTCTCTCCAGGATTGAGTCACAGTCAAACAGGAACAGACCAGATGAAGCTACTATGATGAGAAAAAGCGGAAAGAACAACTTAGAGGCGATGATGTCCTCCAGCAGTCTAAGCCTATAGCAGCATTACTACGGAGATTGCTCAGGATAACCTGAACCATTCTAACTAGAAACTTTATTAAAAAGGAAACTTTTAAGCAAAGTCTTAAGAGCAGACACAGTGTCTGCTTTACAGGTTGAAATATTAACATTTTTGATTACAGGTGGGAAGATTGTGTCGCAAAATTGAAGTTGAGAATAAGTCTGTACTGATATAGGCCAGCTAACCGGCAGTGCGCAGAAACAGCTGGGGAGGAACAGTTGGTGCTGAAGCTGAGGGAAACTTCTTTTCCTTCAGTTCTTTTCTCTTTTTTCCCACAAAACAAAAATTGTCGCACTGGTGAGTAGGGATGGGCGATATGGACTAAAAAAATGTATCACGATAATTTCTCTTATTTATCACTGTAACGATAAGCGACGATAAAAACCACCAGCAAAATATTTTGTATTATAAATCTGTCATTAAATTCTGTCTTGAAAGCCCTACAAAATACTAGAAACCACTAAACTATATCAACTAGGGATGCACGATATTGGGATTTTGGCCGATATCCGATATGCCGATATTTTAAAACTCATGTAGCCGATAACCGATACTGATGTTAAAGCTGGAAAAAAATAAGTAGTCATTGAAAATAGCAGTTTTGTTATCCATTTCTGACACTTTGAAAAATAATATACTCAAATATATTTTCATATGCTGATATCAAATAGATTTTTAAAAACGCGGTATCGATCTATTTTACTTTCAAAATCTCGTGAAATTTCATCGTTTTGTTACAAACTCTCGTGATATTTTGCAAATTCTTGTGAGATTTTGTTAGTAAAATAGATCGATACCGCGTCAATATATCAACATATAGAAATATGGCAAAATTTCGTGAATTTTCGGGGGATTTCGTAGCATAACGATGACATATAGCAATATTTCATTAGTAAAAGAGATTGATATGGTGTTTTTAAATGGCAATATATCAGCATATGAAGATATTAGGATATTTTAATGTATCAATATATTTTTTCCCTCGTATTTAGAAGTTTTGTAAAGAAGAGGAAGAAGAAGAATTAGTACTTCTTTTGTTTTTTTAAACTTTAGAAACTCAGAAGCTGATCAAATATCGGGTTAAATATCGGTGGGGTGGCCGATGTCTGATATTCAGTTTTAAGGCCGATACCGATAGGGGGCCAATTATATCGTGCATCCCTAATATCAATTAAGTTCAAGTACTGTAAAACTGTAGTGATGCCAATCAAATAAGTCTGAAATATGAGACACCAAATTCCAAATTAATTCAAACGATGCAAACAGCAAAACTAACTTGGCTTATTAAAAAAAAACAAAGTGGTGCAACTGCAAACACAACTTGATAAGTAGTCATCTCATGATAAAAACGATAAATTCAAATTGTTATTGTGGGGAATTTCTTTGACGATGTATCGCACACGATAGAATATCACCCATCCATACTGGTGAGAATGAGAATATGTTTTATTTTATAATTCCTGACCGACACGTGGCTAGCTAAAAGTCTGAAATGCCTCTAGTCAATCAACTTGGATATAAAATCAGTTTTTGTGGGGAGGGGTTGCTGAAAATGAGGCTTAATGCAGCAGGGAGGGATTATAGGACGGACTGAGGGAGAAAGAAAAGCTCTTGTTGGAGAGGAAGGCCAAATGTGGTGAGGGCAGGAGGAGAGTAGGAGCACGGAAGTGCAGCACAGATTCCTCGTCTTTCCTCCTCCTCCGCTCTTTTTCTTCTTTGGGTTTCTTCTCTCAGTAACAGCAATAAAATGTTCAGGCAGAAAAGCTGCAGGTAAGTGGCTCAGAGACATCCACACACTTCATCTTCTCGCCGAAACGTCAAACTGAGATTTTAAATGTACTGAAGAGTTTTTCTTGAACTGTTTCTGCCTCCGTGTGGGTGGCTGGACTGTGAGTTGGATGTGGGTGGCTGAGCATGCGCCAGCTTAGTTGACCTTGTTGCTTTAACACACACGCATGTAATTGATTGTTTTGTTTTCTGCAGTGTGGTTGACGACACAGAACCACAGCACTCTGGTAACGGAGCGGAGCGCCGTCCCGTTCCTGCCGGTCAATCCTGAATACTCTGCCACACGGAACCAGGTACAGAAACGGCACATCATCAAAGATTCAGGAAAAGGAAACTGTGCAAAAAAACTGTGTTACGTGAGCCTTGTTAGATCTTAGCAGAATAAATGACCTTCCTTTGTGACCTGGTGCTGTTTCTTTCTCCATCAGACTCTATCTTAGCTCTACTGGGACACATTACTTTAAACTGTCCTCTTTTTTTTTGTCTCCTGCAAATACCGGCAAGCTCTACGTAATTGCAGGGTTTATGTGCTTTAGCGCATAATTGTTTCTCTGGAAGCCCAGTGTCTTGTATTACCGGGTTTTTCCACGACACATGGTAGCTGACCACAGGAGTCACTCTGAAACGGGGCCTGCAAACAGATGCGTGCAGGTTTGAGTGAAGGTCAGGAGGCTGCGGCAGTGTGTGAAGGTCCTTAACGATCAGTTTGGACTTTTTCCTCCCTCAGGGCCGTCAGAAGCTGGCCCGTTTCAACGCCCGGGAGTTTGCCACGCTCATCATTGACATCCTGAGCGACGCCAAGCGGAGACAGCAGGGGAAAGGACTCAGCAGCCCTACTGGTAAGACTGAGAGGAAAGGTTACCATGGATTAGCCTTTAGAAAGGAGGAGGCTTATAAGATGGAAGGAGAAAAAAGGGGAAACAAAAATGATAATGATAACTAAAGTCACACAATTCTCAAATAAAAAAACAAACAAACATTTTTATAAGAAATCAAATTAAACATCAATAGATACCGAATGGTGAAGGCAGCAATGCATCTCCAGGCTGCTGAATGCACTGATGCAGAGGTTTCTAAACTTCTCCTTTAGTTTACCACAAAGTTTTTGAAAAAAGTCTCTAAATCTGCTCCTAGTAATGAAAAGTCAACAGCAGTAGAATAAATATTGAAATAAAATCAACTTAAATCCACTTTAAATTTCTAAACACACAACCTAAAAATTGCTATTATTTTATGTTTAGCTATTTATGCTACTGTGTAACAGAATTAAACATTACAGAGTTTCCGTGAGTCATTAAAAAAAATCATTAAATAATTTTTTTAATTAAGGCTTTAATTGGCTTTAAAATTCATTAAAATGTGATTATTGTGGCATTTAAAAAGCTTTATAAAAAAAAAAATACACCTATAAAAACAATTTCCTCCGGTTTATCAAATATAACTGACACCACGTGTCAGAACTGCTTCCGGTTGATCTCAAAGCCATATGTTCGGAAAAGAAGCTCGAGGTTAGGAAAAATCCATAGAAAATTTATATTTCAACAAAAGTGGTTGGAAAACAAGAAATTCAGGACACGGTTGCAGCCTGTCGAATGCAAAGATGACGAAGGATTTTGCCGTGTTTGTTCATTTTTGTATATATATCAATGAAACATGTTTTTTTATGTTTTTTGTAATTCAGTATTTTTTAAGTTTCCAAGTTCCTGGTATGTATCTGCATGTGTCAGATAATGAACTCAAGCCTACATTACCGTGTTAACATGCTTTTCAATCCTTCCTGCACATTCTTTTCAAACTAAACTTTGCTTTAAACTGTTGTGTGCTTGGAAAAATATAAATTGTAATGTTAAAAATCTAAAAAATGCTTGACAGGTTAAAAAACTTAAGATAAAACACAAGATAAAAGTCAATGTCCCAATGAATAACTTTTATCTTAGAGTCACAGTATGTTTATACAAGATAATACTATTAATATAATGTGACTTTTCTAGAGAATCATTATCCATAGTTATTTTATTCAGGGTTTCCACAGTCTGACATCATTTCAGAATTCCCTGACTTTTAACTGACTCAGGATCAGTTTTCTCTGACAAAATAAATGCAGCAACAAGACAATAATAATAACATAACAGGTCACCAATCTAACATGTTTAGCTCTATAACATTTAAATGCACCTCTCCAATGTCTGAAAGAAAAAAAATGAATGAAAATTTTTTAATGTATGACCTTCATCACTGTACAGAAGACTGCCATATGATAGCGCTTTCTGGCTTGTTTGTCGTCTTGGTAACTACATCAAAATTAACGCTAGGGGGACAAAAATCACCCGGCTTTTTCAAATCACGCGAGAATGTATACAAAAAAGCAAAAATGTTGCCAGCAAAGCTTTTGGGTCGTTTTCGTCGAATGTCAGTGATTTTAAAGTAATTTTGAGTGATAATTTTTTTTTGCGATCATTGAAATTTGTACTCTCCCGACAATAAAAACTACTTGCCCCGGGAGATCGGGCAATGGTTGAGCCCTGATATATATATATATGCAATTACTCTGCACCACCCCTAGGAGGCACACCCAAAAGATTCAGGAACTGCTGCGATCACTGAATCGGCCAAATATTGACTGATCTTTTTTTTTTAATTCAGACATATAAATACGTATCATTTCATCACTGTTTATCATAACATGGTGATTTTTTTTAATTTCAGGTTATACTGTCAGAATTTTATTTCCCTTTTTCATACTGGTGTTATTTAAAACTTTCTCAAGGAAGATTAAACTGCTTTGAATGTTTGGTTAAAATCTTTAGGAATCGTCCTCTTTTCTCTTTTCTTCAGACCCACTGGATCTGGGGATTGATGATGACGAGCACGACTACGACAACGTAGCCTCTGATGAGGACACGGACAGCGAGCTGACCACGCAGAACAACAACAACACGAAGCGCAGTAACCGAGCAAAGGTGAGGCGGTGAGAACCTACGCGCTGGCTTGCTCTGTTTGGGGGGTAAAGTTTGTGCCACCATTGGTTTAACAGATACATTGCCAAACAGTTCAGCTCTTTGAACTTCCATCTTCTAATACTGATTATTAACTCCTTATGGTGAAGCTAAACGGTTTAGGTCTAAATGCAGCCAACATGCATTGTAAAAACGATCTAGAAAAAAGTACAAATTCTGAAAGTTGTAGGGAATTTTTGACATTTTCAATTGAAAAAGCTTCCTGGGTGGGAAGCGAAATGTCTTCAAACTTGGAAACAAAGTCCAGTGGATTGTTTTTTAACCTTTTTTAAATGACTATGACTAGTTTTAGGCTGATGCCATTTTATGGCCCTGATACCTGGCTGTGAAGTATTGGCCGATACGATACCATCTGTTTAAAATTGATGTTAGTGTGTATATATGAAGAACTGCATACTACTTGGATGTAAAATAATCACCAGCATGGCTTTTTCAAGCTGCTGCCTACTTTTGTGAAGCAGGAAAAAGACAAAAACAAAGTGAATCCAGTAGAACTTTTTGTTGCCTACCTGGAATGGGTGACAATAGTTGAAATAACTTTTGGCTTTCAAAATGGTTTCGGTGCCCTATTTGTTGGTAATCGCCGATACCAATACCACCATTTTAGTGCTGGATCGGGGCCCCGCCCGATACTGGTATCGGTGCAAAACGAACTATGACCTGGATGACTGAGAATCTACACCAGCAATCAGCTGTCGCCAAAAGTGTCACCACAGCAACTGCAGGGTTCCCACGGGTCCTTAAAAATTCTTAAAAGGCATTGAATTCTTCAAAATAAAACTAAGGCCTTAATTGGTTTTAAGATGTCTTAAATCAGTCTTTCGTACGTCTTAATTTTTAAAACATCATAAATAGGATTATTTTTATTGCGATTTATTTTTGTAATCTAAATAAAACATTAAAATTGACAAAAAAAATTTATTATTTAAAAAATCAATAACGGCTCGCCATTATTGGTTCGGTCCCGATAGCGGAACCAATAAAAGCGTTGTTGCAGCCGGGACATTTGGGAGATGCGCCATTAACTTTTTTCTGGAAAATATGAGCAAGTGTAAAAGTAACGAAAATTGTCTCCAGCCAAGAGTTTTCTCCATGGCTAAAACCAGGGAACATACATGAGGCTCAGTGGATTTAGTGCAAGAAGTCATTTAAGCTCAGAACGATGGGAATTAAGGCAGTGGAGTCGCACATGCGAAGCACGAATCACAAAGCGTCAAAATGGAGTTACGGAGAAACAGCCGGTATTTCTCAGTTTAGTTCCACCCTTGTCTCTGCAACGCCTCCACTTATCACCAAATCAAACATACTAAGAAAACCATACAAAGAAAAATAGCTGCAAAAAAGACTTAGCACTGGTTATGTTGTGGCTTAAAAACTGATTTGTTTTGTTCCCTGCTAAAACAAAGTTTGTGAATTCAGTTAAATAATTGTTAAAATATATCTGTCATTTGTGTGTTTTTAGCTTTCTTCCTGTATGGGAAGCTTTTCAAAATTTGAAACATTAGTGCAGTGGTTTATGTTAAAATAAACCTTTGGGTTAAGTTCTCGCAAGCAGGTTTTTCTGGTGTTTCTTGTGAATTTGGTCTTAAATTTTTATTTCAAGTGGCATTAAAAAGTCTTGAATTGAACTTGCCTTATGCTGTAGGAACCCTGAACTATGTCCCACGTGATACAAACACATGCTCACTTATCATTATGGCTCCTACATTAAGTTTGCCAAAGCTATTTTTAAATTTGATGCAAAGCCAGCGCGATGTAACGCAACTCTATAAAAGTGAGTCACTAAAGAAGCGGACAGCTGAAAACACCACGCCTGTCCTGCTTCCTAGGTTTCCACAAGTTTAAGATCTTATCGCCCTTTAACTTACCCATATACCACTGATTAAATTAATTCTCCAAGCTCCTTTTCGATAAATCGATTCGGATCGATATCGGATAGCAAAAGGTTCCATAAAGAAGAATTTTTACTAAATTAAACGAAGTGAAACTAAAACTTTTCCACTTGAGGAGTCCTGGATGAAGCAGATTGACAGATGAAGTTTTTTTTTTTTTTTTTTTTTATCATAAATGCTAAATATTTAAATGGTTTAAATGGTTTTGGTATCGTTACTGCTCTTAGTGGGTTAGCTACAGGCATGTTTTAGAGTATTTCTACTGATGATTAATCGATTACAAAATTAGTCAGCTATTATTTTAATAATCGATCAATCCGCTTAATTGTTCAGCTGTATTCTTCTTAAAAATTCAACATTGTGAGTTGTTTTGACGATCCCAAGAATGTTTTCCTTTATTAGATGTCTGGATCCCTGAAAGCAAGATGGAGCATCTAGTGTAGGATGTCCATTCGAGGGTGTGTCATAGCTCCTGGGTGACATCATCAGCTATTCTGGGTCGATCTCAGTGGAGCATTGTTCATGCACTGTATTAGTTTAAACCGCAGGGCTGGACAGGAGAAGGCAGAGAGGAAGATGGAGAAAGAAAAATGATGGGGGGGTCAGTAGATAGCAGGGCTGGTGTCCATAAAAAGAGCTTTGGAAGTTAGAACTGCTTTAGTGGAGTAAAGCCGACTGTGGGTCTGCTTCAGGCCACAGGAAGTGGGAGGGTGGAGTACAGAGAGCGAGAACTAAGGCTCTACTGTCTGATGGGACGGCTGCTCGGCCCTCCTCTGCTCTCCCCACACAGCTGTACGCTTCATTTACACACAGCTTAACCCTCACCACCCGCCTGGTTTTACTTTATGCACTAAAGTCAGAGCCAAATGGCATTTAAAAGATGTGCATCTAATATCCTACAGCGCTGCATTTTAAACATTTTAAAGAGAAAGTCTTCTAATTTTTGGTGATAAATGTCAAAAAAGTGTAACCATTTATTTAAACCAAAACATGTCAAATGTGTTTTTTTTATTTCTCTGTCTTTGGAGGGTTGCCACTGGTTGGGCATACATCACAGAAAAGCCAATCAAAAAAGAAGTAAAATTTTCCTAAAATGAGTGTATTTGCCCTTAAATTGAGGCCTTAATTGGCATTCAAATTCATAAAATGTGATTACCATGTCATTTAAAATGCTTTATGTTTAAAAAACAGTTTCATTAGATATATTATATTGCAATATATTTGGATGTGAAACGCAGAGAATTGGAAAATCCAAATTTCAGCAAAAGTGGCTGGAAAACGAGGGGTTTTCGGTACATATATATATATATATATATATATATATATATATATATATATATATATATATATATATATATATATATATATATATATATATATATATATATATATATATATATTGTTTCATTTCAAAAGAAGATCAACAACTTCAAACTTTCTTGTAAGATGCAACACAATTTTTTCTTCTATTCTCAGTTTTAATGAGTTTTAATGAGGAGTAGATTTGGGTCCATTTGGGAATAATGGCTAAATAAAGCGAGAGCGAGGCTGAAGCTGTCCAAACATCTCCCTGAAAAACGTTCCATTTTTTACCAAATTAACATTTGGACCCCATTTGCTTAAAGAGACATTATTGAAGGGGTCATAGAATTATTCTATAGGGTATGAATAGGTCTCTGAATAGGGTGTGTAACATTGGTTGGGCTGAAAATGACATATTTGCTGTTCTATGAGCCCTAATGCAGCCTGGTTAAAAGCCCTAGAATGAAACAACAAGTTTTCTTCCTGTTATGGTATGATGATGAATATTTAGATGAGCTGTGCTCTGATTGGTTGGTTTACAACGAGCAAAGCTGCTGAGCAAAGACGCATCATAGCAACAAGCACTCACTCACTGAAACATCAAATTGTTGATATGGTAGGGTGACCAGACGTCCTCTTTTTCCTGGACATGTCCTACTTTTCATACCAAAAAAAAGTATCCGGGGGGGATTTCAAAATCGTCTGGGATTTTGGTCGACTAAAGTGTCGGGTCAGGTTCGGTCGCTCAGTGCCCCGCTGGCTCCCTGCCCCCCATCGCCTCATTCTGGCTTATTTTCAATAGAGAAACTGCCTCCTTGGTAATTTTTGTAGAAGTAAACCCAACTGTTGGCTAAACAGCTAAACGGGTGTCTTCCATCTACCTCTATTCATGTTCTTGGGCCGTGAACCAGTGGGCGGGTCTGTATGTCAGTTTGGGGGCGTGACAAAAGTACAGGCCAGAACCAAATAAGGCAACATCCCCGAATTGACGTCAACTCGGTGCTTCGTTTGGATTCGCCCGTTTTATGGTGGAAGATTAGAATTGTGAGATTTGCAGAGAAAGGAGGCGTTGATGGGGTTGGAACTTCTCTGCGCGTCCATTTCACCCAAAGAACTATCATCAGTGACCATGTAAACTGGGTTTTGCATTCTATGACCCCTTTTAATAATGATTCTATCATTTAACCCTTTAAAGCCCGATCCAAGAATAAAACAAAACAGAAAATTACTTTTTTTTGGTTTGAAGTCCTTATTTGGCCTTTTAACAAAATATGTAAAAAGAAAAAACAGAAATACATTTTTGATATTAATAATTTATTGCTATGCGATAAGTCAAGATTATTTTTTGTGTAGTCTTCTGCCCTCTGTTATCAGGTATATCTGATTGTGTACAATAGGATTTTGCAAAAGGTGTCAGATGCAAAACATTTCAGAAACCGTATGTATCAAATACGATACATTTGGCATTACAGGGTTAATAAATAAAAATAGCAAATTATTTTTTTCATTTTATCCTCTTCGTCCTCTGTCTCTCCCCACCTCTTCTTCCCAGAGTATGGACTCGTCCGACCTGTCCGATGGTCCCATCACGCTGCAGGAGTATCTGGAGGTAAAGAAGGCCCTGGCCTCATCAGAAGCCAAAGTTCAGCAGCTGATGAAAGTCAACAACAACCTGAGTGAGGAGGTCCGGCGGCTGCAGAAGGAGGTACGGAGAAACGAGGAGAAATCAGCGAGATGCATTAAAAGGATGGAGCAGATTTTATAAAGGGATGTTTTTACCAGGAGGAGTTCCCTCTCCTGATTCACAGAGACGTCCTGCTGCAGATAAGCTTGTAGAAAAGTGAAGAAGCTCTGGTTTAGGATTACATTTTTATTCTTGGTTGGAAACTTTTCCAGCTCCCAGCTCTAAGGCAGGTGTTTGTTTAGACCTGATCCATGTTTGTGTGTTTTTCACCCCTCCCCCCATGAGAAGCTTATTATTTCACGTGTCATTATGGATGCCTGTTTTTTTTTTGACCATTCAGTTTAAACCCTTCCCCATGTTCCTCCCTTCCATCCTCTCTCATCCTCCTCCCTTCCCGCTCTCCCATAGATCACCCGGATGCAGACGGAGAACAGTGCGTTACGGGGGGGCCAGCAGGCTGGGGGGGCAGCCGGCCATGGGTTTGGGGGCCCCGGTGGAGGAGGGGGAGGTCACTGGGGGAGCGGTGTGGTTTCTGGCGGCGGTTTTAGTTCAGGAGCCGACTCCTCTGGGCTCTCTACGCCCGCTGCGGCCAACCCTCACCCCCACCTCTACCGGAGGGAACGCCAAGCCATCTCAATGTATGAGCCGGGGGCGGCCCCTGGGCCCACAGCCCATGGCCCCCCAGCCCTGGACTCCCTGGCAGCCCGCCTGCAGCCCCTCAACACACCCAGCGTAAGTTAGAAACCCCCGTAAACCACTTCCCGTCGTTGGGTGGAAGTCCAGTCCTGTGTATTTTTCACCCCTCTTTATCTCTTGCATCTTATTAACCGATCTTTCTCCTTAAAAGATCCATTTTTGATCGATAATCAGTACATTTTTCTTATCACATTTATCAAATGTTTGGGATATTAAGGAGAAAGATGTAGAAGCTGGAACGTCTCAGTTCTTCTCTTGCCTGGCAGATCCTCCGCTCTCTATGCCTGCACCCCTTTCCCACCCTGAATAACCTCCCTGGTAGCTCAGCTGCAGCTGCTGGATCTGGAAGCATGAACACACACTTTAACATCTCTGGTAGAAACATTTTTGGGTATCGGACCAGTCAGTTCTGCCCTCGGCCTCAGTTAGCCCCTCCTTTCCCTCCTGCTGTCCAGGTCACCAGCTCCTTCCAGCCAGTTTTTCATGTCTGTGTTTTTCCTTCTGTCTCTTCACCGTCGTTCCCTCCATCACCGCGGTGCAGCCACCTCTCATCTGGATGTAAGCGTTCTGTCTGTCTGTGTTTTTCATCTTCACTGTAGCAGTTTCACATCTAGAATACCGTCAGATGTTTATGTTTATATTTTACATCGTGATTTTGAGGAGTTTTCAAGCTATTAGTTGGGTTTACAGATAATTTCAGTATCAGGGCGAGCACGCTGCTTTCCTCTGCTTTTCCTTTTTTTTCTGCTCATCAGTGGATCTTAAATGTTCTTTTGCCTTTTCTTAACTGGTCTTATCCCTCCCTCTCTCTTCTTCTCTCCATACGGGTGTCGCTCTTTGTTTTGCAGGTGAGGAAGGGGGGTATAAGTGGTCCGGCGCCGTATGGAGTCCAACATATGTCGGGATCTACAGAGATGGGTAGATACATGGTGAGAAAATACCTTGCAGCTTCTATTCAGGGTTAAAAAAAATTAACTAAAAAGCACCAAGCTATTAACCTCTTACACCCTCAGGGGGTATAAATAAATTTCTGCCTGACAAAAACACACAAAAGTAAATAACTTATAGCCTCAAAGCTATTAGATTTAAGAAGAAACTTTTGGTACCTCTGTAAAGGTAAGATGTCATAGAATGGTTTTCTGGTGTCAGCACCATTGTAGCTTTGACCCTGCCTGAAATATTAGGGACAAAATACAAAATATTTTGCATTTTTTTAACCTCGCCAAACTTTTCTTTGAAATGAACATTGCAAAACACTACCAAAATATTATTTATAGCACAAAAAAGTAGTACAGACTTTTAAATCTAAATGTTGTGTAAAAATATACCAAATTTGGACTCAATCAGATGAATCATATTTATTTTAGAATGGTATTAGTGAGAAATTTCTTAGGCGGAGAGGCCATTTTGTCACATTTATCCATAAATGTCACCAAACTGTGCCAAATATGTTTTTTACATCAATACTGGGGGTTTGTTAAAATTACGAGGTCACGTAGCAGCTGGACCCACCGGTGGGTCCGTAGGGTTCTAGGGGTTAAAGCTGTGATAGCTCCCATCTTTCATAAATCTATGCCCTGCAGATTTGGATTTTATATCATCCTGAATTCTGTTTGGGCTGGTTTGACAAATATGACCCTTTTTTACCTCCAGGTGTTTTTTTTTCCTAGTAGTTTTGCAGAATTCAATTTCAGTTCTGTTCAGTTTATTTCTATTGCACCAATTCACAACACATGCTCTGAGTTCCTTGGAGATCGTAGAGGGCATGCGCCAGATGATTAAATTCAAAGCAGCAAAACATGCTGCTTTGAATTCATTTATTTAATAATCCAGGGTTTCCACGGATCATTAAAAATAATTACAATTCATTAATTTTTTAGGATTTTTTCATTAATTTCATTAATTTTTATGGGATTTCGGTGTAACAATCAACATAACCGAACCGAAAACCATGACCACGAAACCGTGAACCGAACCGTGGATTTTGTGAACTGTTCCATCCCTAAAATATATATATATATATATATATATATATATATATATATATATATATTCAAAGTAGACATCTAACAGTATGTTTCCTTTATTTTATTTACATCTATATTAATTCTTTCTCAGTTAAGGTTGTGTAGAGTACATTTATATACATGTTTAAGAAAGAATGATTGGAAATTTTAAAAATGACTTCCCTACCTCTTTAACCAATTTATAAGGTTTACTCGGAGCTCAACTGGTAAAAACAGGGTCAGCAACATTGAGTCACGTCTCTGTTACTTTGTCCAGGTGTCCAAACCAGAGAAGCACGGCAGTGGCACAGACAGCGACTATGACAACACACACGATCATTTACAAAGGTCAGCACCATCAAGCTAACCATGACATTTCTCTGAAACACTCCAGCAGATCTTTAATCTGGCTTCCCTTCCCAGTGTTGGCCGGAGCAGCGAAGAAGAGGGTCGGGGTGAGTCCGAGGAGGGAGGCGGGGAGGCCCGCGAGCCGGATCCCACCCTGCCGTGCACGGAGGACGTCATACTGAAGACGGAGCAGGTGACAAAGAACATCCAGGAGCTGCTGAGGGCCGCCCAGGAGTTTAAACACGACAGGTAAAGGAAGAGACGCTTTGAGAGGTGGAGTTCGGGAATCTGGAAGCCTTAAAGTTCCTGACTGAGTGATATCTGTTCTGTGTCGACTCTTTTTCATCAGCTTTGTTCCATGTTCTGAGAAGATCCACTCTGCTGTCACTGAGATGGCGTCTCTCTTCCCCAAAGTAAGGCTCCTCCTCTGATTTCTACTGATTTTATTTTTTAGATCAGTATGGCGTCAATTTTCTGCCAAAATAAAAACACGCAATAAATACTCCTGTGAGCAGCTTTACTTCATACAGATGCTCATAAACTACTCCTCACATGCATGTTTAACATGTAAAGGCTGATTTATGCTCAGAAACCAGGACGTCTGCGTGTGTCGCAGTTAGGGGTATAAATAATAATCGTTTTGTATCGATGCATCGATCCAACAGCCGACGATCCGATGCATCGATACGTCCGCAAAAGTATCGATTCATTTCTTTTTTTTTTCCTCCGGTCTATTTTTATCCATTTGCTCCTGGGCGTAATTCTCCCTCCCTTGCTGCGGTGGCGCTAAACCTATTTTGCCCTCCTACCTCGCTTCCTGGTTATACTCTTACAGCAGTGTGTTGCAGTGAGCTTGACACAGACATTTTTAAATTATGCACAATATTGAAGCGTGGTCTGTGCTACACGCTGTGGGTCTAGATACGGCCGAGGCGGCGAGGAAGTGGGGGCGAGTTTATTCCGACGACGGAGGGACATGAGGGCCAAAAAGAGCGGAGATCCAGGTGGAAAAAGGGTCAGCGTTCTCGTGCACCTCGCTCTTCTAGCGGGTCAAACTTCACGAGTTGTTTTCCGCAATTTCGGTCATAAAAACAAAACAAGCCGGCCTCTTGTCTGCAGCACTGTTTACGGCCGTCCGTCCGTTTCAATTTGCATGTTCTCAAAGCAAAAACAAGGCTTTGCTGGGCTACTGTATAAAGCCTAGAACTCAACGCTATTTCTGCAAAATGGTTTCAAAATTTGTACTTTACTTGAAACCTCTGCTACAGCCAATCAGAATCCAGTATTCATCCAGACCATGTTATACCTAATAATGGCTTTGCTTACCATCTCTTGAAGAAAAGCTGTTAGCCCGAAGTCGCTTTGCTAGCAGAATGAAGAGTAGAGCTTCAAGAGGCGGGACTACCTGAAAAGTAGCCAATCAAAGGCGGGTCCCTTTGCCTAGTGAGTAACGCCTTCAAAGTGACCAGAGTTGACAGGAGCGAGCAGAAACAGGTCCAGACGCAAGGAGGAGAGAATCTATAAACGCATAAAAGTCAAACCTTAAGCAGAGCAAAGGAGCATCCATTCTGGAGCCTCAGAGCGTGAAGTCTGCTCTCATAGAACATTCAAAATGTCAATGCAGAGTAGTTTACATGCATGTGTTTTGAATAAATGGTCATACGAGTATTTATTGCACATGTGGATGTTTGGCAGAATTGTGACGCAATAGATCAGCGTTTTAATTGTGGATGTGTCTCTACAGCGGCCGGCTCTGGACGCCGTCCACTGCTCCCTGCGCCTGCTGGCTTCCAGCGCCTCGCGGCTGCAGGTGGAGTGTCGCAAGGCGGCGCCCTTGGAGCCCGGGGCCCCGGCAGTGGACTATCAGCTGCTTACCCAGCAGGTCATCCAGTGCGCTTACGACATCGCCAAGGCCGCCAAGCAACTCGTCACTATAACGACACGTGAGAAGAAGCAGTGAGCGAACAAACGCACGGATGGACGGGAGAGAGAGAGAGAGAGAGAGAGAGAGGGAGATGACAGGCCGATGCATGGCGGGGGGGGCTTTCAGGGGAAAGGAGAAAGAGCGGCGATCCGATCAGACTACAGGTGGAGGAAGAAAAGGAAGGTCTGGAAGATGAGCGAGAAGCAAAGATTGTCCGAAGGCGCCGGCGTGGGAGCGAAAGTAGGAGGATCTGAGACGGGAATAAAAGTGAACCGCTGAAACTGTGAGGAGCAAACATGAAACCTGATGTTGGGAGATGTACAGAGAAACCGGATCCTGAAACGTTACTGCTTTATTTATTTTGTCCGACGTCCGTCCCTCTGTGCTTCGACCGAGGCGAGATTGACGACACCACAGAGAGAGAGAGAGGTGGACGGAGCCGCCTCTTCCCCCTTTCTTCTTCTTCTTCTCCCCTCCGTCTCTCCTTTCACCGCCGCCCTGGGGCAGGTCACTTTGAGGAGGAGGGGCCCTCAGACTTTCCAGCTTCCGACCCGTGGCTGTCTTGTTGTTGGTACACAGCATGATCCGGCATGTTTTCATTTATTTTCTTTCAAACCGCAGATCAGATCGGTTTGCAGCTCTAACGACCTCTTTTTTTTTTTTTTTTTTTACTGACTTAAACACTTACACTGGAATAATGATGATTTGTTATCATATCGTTTTTCTAATGACAATTTAACTGACTGTCCTTTTTGATTTAACTTTTATTTGTATGTTTATTGTGTTGATATGAGATCTGATTCAGCAGGGAGACAGCTGGGAGCCTAGGCCCCGCCCTCTGACTGGGAGACTCGTCGGAGGGTCCCCAGCATTTCTAAGCACTCTGTTCTTTCTGTTTTCTTCCTACCTTACGTCGTGGTTCAAGGGGTTTTCAAACAGTTGCCAAAGGAGAGAGCAGTTAGTTTTCTGCCCCTTCGCCACATCCCAGACAGAACTGGATCCTCTTGTCTTTTTTGTGTTTCATTTCTCTTAAAAACAAGAAAAAAAAACAGAAAAAGGTTCTGCCTCTTTTCTACAGAGCCAGTGGAATCATCTCAGAATCATTTGCAGTGCCAAGCGGGATAATATAAAAAAAAAGAATACTTGGTCCAATTTGTTTACAAGGAAGAGCCTGGCAGCCATCAACCTGCGTGCATGCTAGCAAACAAAACACTACGTCCTGATTCCAATTTCTGCAGAAAGCGCCACATCTGGCGACCTGGAAAGTAGAAAACGTTCTGATTTTATGTCCTCTGTTTATGAGGGAGTACTTGATCCGCTTTGCCATGTGTTGTTTTGTCTTTTTTTTATTACTTTCAGGACCGTCTGGCAAGCACAATCAGGCGCACGAGCTGTTCTCCAGCTCAGACGGTGAGCCGATCTGGGCCGCAGATGTCGTGTTTGTTCCTGAACTCTGCCAACAGGAGACAACATTGGGAACAATTGTAGTGTGTTTTTTTTTTGTGCACTTTTCCCCTTACTGAGGGGGTCCAGCTCGCCGTAGTGTGCCGAACAAATTTGCTTGTTTCTCTAAGGATGGATGCTGATGAGATCCTTTCCACAACTCGCTTCTAGCTTGGCCGTCAGTAAGGTGATCAAACAGCCGTGCATCTAAACATTTGTCTCAAACTGCTGCCTTTTAGCAGGACGGCGTATTTAGCTGCACTGCGTTGTCCGGTGACTGAACACTCTTTTGGGGAAGGGGGGGATTGCTGAATCTCGTCCGGCTCGTTCATCATGTACGGTTGGATGTCGAATGCCTTTGCACATCATCTTCATTATCTCCTATTTGACTGAATGAGTTTAAATTTTTTTTTTTTTTTACTTAACAGACAGAAATGGGGAGGTTGTATAAGAAAAGCAAGTTCCTTCAATCATCAGTGCCCATGTTTTAGACTAGAGCCATATATAAATATATATAAATATTAAAAATAACATATATTTTCATGCTATTTTCTATTAAGCTCCATGTTAGGGTTACGTTTGTGGGATATTTATGTTTATTTGTCGGCCTAAAGGCTTCAGGCTGCCACGTCTTCTCTCGGCGTGAATTGATCTCGATGTTTGAGGCGTTTGGTTACGCCGCGGTTTCGCTCGCTCTATATGTTTAGGATCCACAGACAGAGGGAGGAACCGCAGATTGATCTCGGTGTGAGTTGCACTATTTTCAAACAGCAGCTGGTTGAAGTCGGATTGATGTCCTGCGCTCTCCCAAAGGTCTTAGCATGCATCAGGTGCAGGATCCGTTTGGTAGGAAAGGCGCTTTGGCCAAACGCTACAGTCATCTCACCGTGCGGCGGGGAACGGGTCTGAAATGCACGCGGCCCGGTCCTCCTAACACTGGGTAGACACTACTTAGGGTGCCTCTAGTTTGAATGTTAAATGCTTCCATTTCGCTTAAACTTTTTACACTGTTTTTGTCCAGAGAGTGGGGATGTCAGTTGGACCAATCCGCGCACAGAGTCGTTCGGTTTGCAGGTTTTTGTTCTTAACCACAGCGGCGCGCTGCGGCCTGGCCCGTTTTCTCTCTCGGCTTTTCTTTAACCTGCACCACGCTTTCTTTCAGAGATGGGAGAGATTAGTTTGAACGGAGGGCGATGACTGTATAAAGAAAAACGGTGACTTATGGAGAAAAAAAACAAAGGTCAATCATAATGGAAACTCATAAGCTGTACATTTGTAATAAAATAAACAATTTAATTGCCCTTCCTAACACTTGTGTGTTCTTTTACTGATTGAACTTAGTTTTGGAAGAAACTGAAAAAAGGGTGAGAGAAAAAGCTTCCAATAGAAAAATAAACGTGCTCCCAGAAATGCAACAATTTAAGTTTTATTTTATACAGTTCTTCATAAATCGTCTTTAAATTCATGTTTATTTTAGGAATTTGATTTGTTTGTGTGTATGTGTGTCCCTGTGGATGTAGCATTAGCATTTCTGACTTTAATCTCAGAATTCTTTTTTCTCAGAATTCTGACTTTAATCTCAGAATTCTGAGATTAAAGTCAGAATTCGGACTGTTTTTTTCCTCGGAATTCAGACTTTTTTCTCAGAATTCTGACTTTAATCTTAGAATTCAGATTTTTTTTCTCGGAATTCTGACAGCTAACAGACATGTTAGCATCCAGCCATAGCCATGTCTGTTTTAGAGACTAGCTCTCTTATTTTAATGACCTTCTGCTCCTCTATTAATGAGGGGGTCCCTCGGGCACGTTAAAAGTTGCCTAATTCCGTCATTTTCCACCAATGTGTCACTGGCCCTCTCAAACAACTCACATCTTTATCAGTGAAGCTAAGTGCTCCACATCTCCTCCTTCATGGTGCCCATCTACATTAAGATCCAAAATTCTGAGATTAAAGTCAGAATTCTGACTTTTTTTCCCATGTTAAACTGAAATCAAATTTAAAAAGCAGTTAACTTTTGTTTTTTTTCAGTGTTCCTAATCCTCTTGTGTAAATTTAATATTTGCCTTTAAAATGTAAAAGCTTTTTAGAAGTACCGGCCAACTTTGAGCTTTAACTGTATTAAAATGAGCTCAGTTATCTGTTAAATCAGGCGTCTGCAGCCGTGACTCTGTGGTTAACTGTATGCAAAACAATTGTCCCATTTTTTGGTTTGCCCTGTGGTTGTTCCCCTAAGATTCCCTTTTTAAACATCAATCTTTGTACTAAAATATTCTTTCTGTCATGATTTGTGGACATTAAGATCTAAAGAGAAGCGCCATCTCCTGGTCAGACCCTGTAATTCGGTGAAAGGGTGGGAAAAAAAAGGACCTGTTGAATGGCTGCTACTCTAGAACCACCATCAATTTCTAGATAAGAATCAAACATTTCTTGAGCAAAAACCTTTACACATTGAATTGTAAACAAACAAACACACCTTTGATACTTTTATTTTTTATTTTTTCCTAAAAACACAATTCCTTCCAAATCACATGTATGTGCATCCCTGTCTTGGTCCATCGCAAAAAAAATTCTTCATACGATGAAACCATTTCTGTTAATACCACAGAACTAGATAGAACAGAACCTTCACATCGCCCAGGTGAAATGGATCAAATAGATGCCACATCCCATGTAGAAACGGATCAGTCCAGCTGCAAACATGTCAACACGCTGTGGGAAGCGCTGCTTACAACAGCAACGTACATTTCAAGGGTTTACAGGCCAAAGAAAAATCTATTTCTAAAGAGTACAGAAAAAAAAGCTCCTAAAAATCACTTTCTTCTGTCTTTTCAACAAAGATCTCTAAATTAAATTATTCATCATCCGGTTAGTTTGGAAAATAAGCAGATTTTTGGGTAAAAACCATTTTGCCAACAAAGCTAAGAAGTGGACAAAAAGGCGAGCAGATGATATCTAACAGCTGAATCATAAACGTCACAGTAGATCAGTAAGTGCTGAAAATACGTACGAAACAAACAAAACTATCATATAAAAATAATTAGACCAGATTTATGAACATCTGATCCAAACAACTTCAAAAAGCCAAATTTGTAAATATTAAATATTTTTAGCAGCCATTCTGCACTGTAGGTGCTGAAGGGACAGCGTCAGAACAATCCAGGACGGTTTTTAAAAACATGCTGATTGGTTGGGTCCAGTCGTCACTTCCTGAAAACACTGGGATGTTTTTTTATGGAGAAGTTTCTGATCTTTATGGGTTTTCGTCGGAGCTGGAGGAGCTGGGCAGGAGGACGCACTCCTTCCTTCGGCCTCTCTTGCGCCTCTTCTTGGCGATCCTCAGCCTCCTGCGTATCACGTCTAGAAGAAAAGCACATCACAGTAACTGAGGGCTCTCTCACAGCTTGCTGATTTAGCCAGCCTATGCCTGACGTCCTAGAATCTTCTAAAACAGAGCGAGTCCAGAACTTATGTCCAACGACAGCCTAACTTATGCATAACGCACGGCAGCGTAATGCTCATGAAATGATGCACAAGCATCATTTCATGAGCATTGCCAGTTAAAGCTGCTCCCCGGGGGCACCTGGTCTGCATAAAAAGATTTCTTTGATTGCGGTATTAATCTAGCTGCTGTTTACTGTCTGCCAGAAAAAAAAAAGGGATAAATAAAAAGAAAGAAGGTTTGCAGTCGCAGCAGAATCAGGTCGTGAACGCAGGGAGGATCCATCACTCTCACCTTCTGGCTCACCCTATGATGGGGATGACGTCTGGAGGAGAACTGAGGGTTTCCTCCTGTGAACCCCCTTTATACCAAAAAGCTTGACCAGCTAGAAGAGCGAGGTGCGTGAGAACGCTGGGACCCTTTTTCCACCTGGATCCCTGCACTTTATCGCCCTAGCGTCTGCTCTGCCGATAATGCAAGCGTAGAAGAAGAAATGTGCTGTTTACCTGTGCAAAGAAAGAAACAACGAAAGAAAAATGTCTGAGGACTTCAGTGTTGAGGAAGAGCATGAGTTCTTTGCCGAGATGAATGCGCACTTTCGTCTGGTTTGGTCTGCCACGGTTTCCATAGACTCGTGAACGCGCTTTTAGGAAATCCTATACACTACTGTTTATGCTCTAAAAACATTCTAAATGACTTCGTTTCGAGTAAATTATGGACGCTACCCACTCAGGACACTTGGAATACATTGGACGAGCAGTATGGAGGAATATTGACACGTTTTTTGTGGACTTTTATGGACCTTTCTGCCTCGGGCGCCATAGACCTCCATTATTTGAATGTCAGCAGACAGCAAGAAGCCTCCCAGATCTCCAGATGCATTTGAGATATCAAAAAAGTACTCCAGAGTGTTGTTCAGCATGGGGGTGAGTAGAAAATGAAGACCAATCATGTTTTGGGTGTACTATTTATTTAACATGGCGCAGACCAAGCTTCAATATTAGGAATAAATCACAAATATCTGCGACAAGCTCACTGCGACACACTGCTGCGGGACGATAACCAGCCCTTAAATGGTCTCGGTGGGACAGGGGTTTAAAGTAAAGGCTCAACACTGGAGTCTGATTGGGCTGCAGGCCACCTACCAGCGACGCTGTCGTAGTCCTGATGCGGGTTGTGCCAGTAGAGGCTGGGCGAGGTCCTCCAGTGGCGGTACAGCCGGGTGTGAAGAACGGACAGCGTTAGCAGAACCAGCAGGAAGCCCAGCGCTGCCGCCGCCCACACCGCTTCGTCCGTCCTGGGGGTCCGCTGCAAAGCGACGTTCAGCGCAGCGGCCCGACTCCCTGCTCCAGATTTAACGCAGGCGGAACAGTTCTGACGGGTCTCCGCCTGGGACTCAGAAGCTGAGCCAGATTTAGTATTTCTGTGAGGGGGGGGCTCATCACCGGGCGCCGGGGCCCGCTCTGCTTCCCTTTCTTCCACATCAACCACCTCTTTCTGCTTCGTTTTGCCCTGAACCCTGAGCCCCTCGCTGTCGCTCCGCTCCTCCACGCCGCCTCTGACGGAGTCTGTACCTTCATGTTGGGGGGAATCGATCTCAGATCCAGGACGAGAGGTGGGCGCTGATGTGGAAGCCTGCTGCTTCCTGACCTCAGATGGAGGAGTCCGGTTTGGATCCGAGAGTCCTGGAAGTGAATGTGATGCTGTTCCAGAGGAGCCGCTGTGATTCTGAGCCGCTTCAGCCGCACCGATTCTGTCGATCTGGTCGGCGTTATTAGCCGTTTCATTAGCTCTATTAATGAGGTTCTGCTTTTCTCCGATTGCTGCTCGGATTTCCCTGTTTTTCCTTCCCTCTTTAAACCGTTTCCAGGAACCCGGCTTCATAGCAGGCTCTGCCCCGGTGGTTCCGCTCAGCAGAGCAGAAATGACCCGCTGGCAGCACTGCCTCACAGAATCCTATGGATGTAAGGTAGCAGTTAACGCTACTTCTGTGACACCAAACACTAAAACTGATTTTCTTTAGTTTAATTTTTTCATCATTTTTAAAGGAATTAACAGACATTTCTCCAGATGTTCTGACCTCGGTTCCTGCTGATGGTTCCAGACGCTGCAGGCCTGCTGACCGGGTCAACAGGAGGTTGTACACCGCACTCGGCGTCCTGCCATCAACGTTTTTAAGGCTCTGTGTCGTCTGCAGCCAGTCGCACACGTCTGAAGAAGCCACGGTGCTCGGCTCTAAAGTTCGACCCCAGGAGACCAGAGCTACAGGCTGAGGAGAGCCGCCGCCGTTCAGAGAGTCAAACACAGCAGAAGATCCGGATCTAAAGCCAGAAACAAAGCAGAGCGCCACCTACCGTGTCTCTGCTCAGCTGTGGGTGAGGAGTGACGATGTGGAACGGCAGACAGGAGCGGGCCAATCCGGAAAGGAGGCGTCGCTCACGGAGCGACGAGCAGGGATGGTAGAGCAGGACGAAGGCGCCGTGCTGGAAACACACATCATCATCATCATCCTCACATTGATCTTAGATCGAAACAACTGTGAGCAAAACAGCGACGCCGGGATGCAGTTCTACAGGTTTTCAGACCCAGTTTGCCTTAAAGCAGCTCAGACCTGTAGCATCTTCATGTTGTTTATTTTTTCAGATCTCCCGTGTGTTCACCTTTCTTCATATGCAGAGTTCTGTATTCTGATTGGCTAAAAAATTGGGTTTTTAGCCAATCAGCTTGTCCAGCTTATGATTCAACAGAGCGCTAGCTTCCTCTAACCTCCGGCCACTCGATCTACAGCCTCCTGCAGTATACGGGTCCTACCCTAAGCACAGTAAGGCAAAAAAGGAATAAAAATGATTGTGCCCCATCTGGCTGAAGTAGTAGAACAATTTGACATAGATTTAGAGTCAGTGGGTCACATGACCTGGAAGCTATTGAAGAAAGTCCCAACTTTTTTCTTTAAAAATATCTTAAAATTGCATAAAAGCAAGTCTGCCTTACATATGTTATCTACTGGCATGGTTTTATATTAGTTTTGTATCAGCTGGTAATAAGATAAGGAATTTATTGATTTTTGTTTCTCAAGAGTGTTAGGTTCAAAGATTTGTTGACTGTCCTTAACTGCACCATGTTGGTGCATCAGGGTTCCCGTGGGTCCTTAAAAAGTCTTAAAAGGCATTGAATTCTTCAAAATAAAACTAAGGCCTTAATTGGTATTAAAATGTCTTAAATCAGTCTTTCGTAGGTCTTTATTTTTAAAACATCATAAATAGGATCATTTTTATTAATTAATTACATTAAAATTGAAATTTTTCTTTTATATAAAAAAAAAAAGTAACGGCTCGCCATTATTGGTTCCGTCTCGATAGTGGAACCAATAAAAGCGTTGTTGCGGCCGGGACATTTGGGAGATGCACCATTAACTTTTTGTCTGGAAAATATGAGCAAGTGTAAATGTAACGAAAATTGTCTCCAGCCAAGAGTTTCCTCCATGGCTAAAACCAGGGAACATACATGAGGCTCAGTGGATTTAGTGCAAGAAGTCATTCAAGCTCAGAACGATGGGAATTAAGGCAGTGGAGTCGCACATGCGAAACGCGAAACACAAAGCGTCAAAATGGAGTTACAGAGAAACAGCCGGTATTTCTCAGTTTAGTTCCACCCTTGTCTCTGCAACGCCTCCACTTATCACCGAATCAAACATATTAAGAAAACCATACAAAGAAAAATAGCTGCAAAAAAGACTTAGCACTGGTTATGTTGTGGCTTTAAAACTGATTTGTTTTGTTCTCTGCTAAAACAAAGTTTGTGAATTCAGTTAAATAATTGTTAAAATATATCTGTCATTTGTTTGTTTTTAGCTTTCTTCCTGTATGGGAAGCTTTTCAAAATTTGAAACATTAGTGCAGTGGTTTATGTTAAAATAAACCTTTGGGTTCAGTTGTCGCAAGCAGGTTTTTCTTGTGAATTTGGTCTTAAATTTTTATTTCAAGTGGCATTAAAAAGTCTTAAAAAGTCTTGAATTTAACTTGCCTTATGCTGTAGGAACCCTGTGCATGTTGGCTTCTGCATGTTGGATGTATTTCCTCCTGCAGATGTAATTGCCACTTTGCAATAATTGCAAAGCGCCTTGTTGCCACCTTTCTCTTCCTTAAAATGAAGCCAAACTTTCGATCGGTTTGACTGCTTTTGTTTTGCTTTCCTTGTCTTACGCCTGGTCACATCGTACTTGCTTACTGAATGCCGCGTGCGTAACTTGAGTAAAAAATGTGATGCAAGTCGTGCTGCCCACCGTTAAGAGAATCGTTACGTGAGCTGCCAAACGGTGCCATGGAATTGGAACACACGAAACCAGATCTGAACAGGAACCAGGTTTCGATTCCCATCATTATCAGAGAGAGAATTTTTTATCTTAGGATCTGATGGTCTTTCATCACAACCTGTGGTCACCTTATACTGAGGCTGAAAATGTGAAGATAAAGCAACATTTATCCAGAAACAAACACCGTTAATGCACCCGAATCACGCGGACCTCGGCTTACTTTGGTTATTAGACAGAACTGCAACTGAAGCTCTCAGCTGCAGCTCCTGTGAGATTCAGGATGAACATCAGGGATAATAATGTTGCATTTGGACACTTACATGTAAATTATTAAGCCAGCGCTGAGGAGGACAATACAGGTACTCTCCACTTTCTGCCATGACTGGCCTGAACGCTCCGCTGGAAACACAACAAAAAGACACCATGTCAGTTTATTTCCTGCTAGCTCTTTGCATAAAGATTTAAATTACCCGAATGATTCAGACTATTTAAGAAAGAACTGAAGTTGGAAGTGAGGCAGGCATTTTTTTCCCCCCTACAGAGCTCTATGGGACGTTCAAAGCTTGAGATGTTGTTCTACAGTTTAAACCTGCTTTAAACATCTCAACGACATTTTTTCTGCTGCCGTTTCTTTATAAGTTGGAGTTATTCACCCAAAGCTGCAATACATTAACATATACGCTTACTTCTGGTGGTTGGATTGGATTTTATTTATTAAATGGGTTGATGGAAATACGTGCCACACTTAATATATTAGTACTTTGGAGAGAAAGAGGTGATAGTGACCTGAAAAACATTTGGAAAGATGCCAAACCTGTTAGGAATGCTGTGGTTGTAGAGGATGGGGTTATCCATGCATACTGGCCTGGCGGGCTACGACAATAAAAAGATCAAACACAAATTTCATTTTAAATGCTACGTTTACTATTAGATGTTTTTTTTTTTACATTGGACCCTTGATTTTTATTCCATCATGTTCTACTCACCCATATGAGTTTTGTGTCATTTGGAGCCGTTCTGAAGATATTCCGTTATTTTATATCCAAGTAACGTCTTCCTATGGGCAACGACTTGAAGGCACAAACTAAACTGTTTATAATTTATTCTTTATGGTACGCCAGCATTCAGAACATGTAGGCGAATCACTGTCCCCCAGACATCCGTGGTTATATTTTTAATATTCATATCTTTTAAAAACAAAGCGGAGTGTCATCCGAGCGCCAGACTGGAGTCGTAACATGCAGCCCGGGCCACAGCCGGCTACGCTCTACCGCTTCTATTCATTCTAGTTAACCTGAATCGTTCAATTCCATTTGGAGAGCGAGATCATCTGTGGTAGCAGCACTAGACATCTTCCAGGCATGTGAGGAAAACTTAGCCTGACGTAGTCCTACTCAATTCTAGTCAGAATATGAGTCTGATACTGCTCCATAGAGCTGTGATTATGGGGCGTGTTTCGAACGAACCAGGAAAAAAAATGCCTCTGCACTCAATTGGATAGACCTACAACCAATAAGAGCAACGGAGTGCGTGACGTATGTTAAGCGACGCATAGTTGTTGTCAACAAAAATCAAAGCGTGCAGTTGCACGCCTAGAATAAGAAGATGAGCCTTGATCGCGTTTCTCTGTTCCTCTTTTAAAATTAATTTCCTGTCGATATCTTCAAGAACAGACCTAATAGCAGAATCTACACACCTCAGCTCTCCAGCGGCAGCCATTGTTGTTGTCACCCAAGCGCGCTTTGGTGACGTGGTTGATTACGTTACTGTTGATCATCTGTCCATCATCGTATAAAGCCCGCCCTGACAATTTGATTGGATCGCCAGAGAGTGGGCAATCATACTCGCGCTACTATGGAGCAATGCCAGACCGAACTTCCCAACCTCAAACCTTGTGGGCGGGACTAAGTTCGGAATGGCACCCAGGCTAAGGAAAACTAGCAGCAGTTCAGCGGACATGATGAATGAATGGTAGCCGGCACATGCGGATGATGTCATACACTCGCTGCTTTGTTTTTAAAACATAAATCTAAAAAATATATATTAAACATGTATAAAAAAAATATAACGGAATATCTTCAGAACAGCTCCAAATGACACAAAGCTCATATGGGTGAGTAGAACATGTAGCCTCGTGAGACCATCCTGATCTCGCGAGCTTTCAAGGTTTCACTCGCAGATCAGTCTGGCTACTTTCCGTTAAAGAAAATTTGGAGCCGTTCACCAAACGAACGTCCAATCAGCGTTGGCTTTGAGGCGGGTTGAGGTGTGACGCAACGAGAAGCGCGACAGTTCAGTCTAAAGAACATGGCGGCTTCAGCCGATGAAACTAGCGTTAGCGTGGCTATCGAGCAAGTTTTATCGGAATTACAGAGTATTTCTTCACTGAAAGAAGAGCAAAACACTGCTCTGGAGGCTTTTCTCAGAGGAAAAGATGTTTTTGCTCTTCTCCTGACTGGTTTCGGCAAGAGTTTGATCTATCAATTGGCTCCTCTTCGTTGTCGCTCTGTTAGTACGTCATATGCTTCGTTGATCTGATTGGTTTATTTGGCCCGTCTATCACCAACATAGGCCAATCAGCTAACCAGTATTTTTGCTCATTCCCAAAATTACTTCAACAGAAGGTTTCCAGATGGATATGCGGAGCAAATCCATCTGGCGGAGTCAGGTTATAGAACATGATGTAATGACGTAAAATCAAGGGCCCAATGTAAAAAAAATAAATAATTGTGTTCCCCTTTAAGTTTTTTTGTTGTTTTTTTTTTGGCCACATAAACTGCAGAAGGAAAGTGTTTAGTAACTGTTTACTCACCTCTGGGTCATACTGGGTGTCGATACTCGGAAATCTCTGTAGATAGAAATAAGAACAAACCTATTTTACAGCAGCGTCTAATCTGACACATGCATTATTATTATTATATTATTATGGGATGACAGAGGTTATCACAGCTGCTTTCCAGTGTTTGTTTTCACTTCCTGACAATTGCCTGCAGAGATAAGGAACAACAAGGATGATAGCAGGGAGGTCTGCTGTTTCCATGGTTACCTGAACAGACTCCGACCAGGAAGTGGTTGAACATCTGAAAGAAGCAGCATCTGCAGGCAGGTCTCTGTCCAAATGCAGCTAAAACACAGAAAAAAATACATTAACGTTTGAATTTAACTTTTATTCAGTAAATAAGAAACACATGGAGATGAACCCAGAGTGATTCAGACCTTTCCGTTGTCACATCCCGGTCCCAGAGATCCGGAGGCAAAGAGCCGACCCAAGGCGAGCCACAGCGCCGCCAGCAGGAGCGCTGCCAGCGACGGGCAGCTCGCTGGACTCCGCATGCTGAGCTCCGCTCATTCAACTTGATCTGGTTACACCTTCATCTGTCTCCTTCAACAAGAGCGGTTGACAAAGTAACAAATAAAAAAATAAACCTTGGACCTTTCCTTATCTCCAACAGACATGTCCCAAACAGAGCGCTATAACAAAGGTTAGCCGTTAATGTCGGCAGAAGGGAAGCTAACAGCTCCTTCCAGTCGCTCCGCTGTTTCCCTACTTCACTGAACTTTCATCGGTTGTTTCTAATTCAGAGTAAACTTAACAGGAACCAAATTAACTACACTTACAAGCGCAGAACAGGAAAGTGTAAACACCTCCATGATAAATCCCAGAGGGACGAAACAAGCTAGCAAGGTCGCTTCAGCTGCAACTTCCGTCTACACTTCAAAATAAAAGCCGGGTTTGTCCACCCAGTCACGCTTGAAAGAAAAAATACAGAAGAACCCTTTCTTATCGCCTTAATAATTAATTTAATATAATTCAGTTTATTCATGTAGTGGTAATTCAATACAATTGTCATCCCAAATGCATTTTATAGGGACAGTTCAGTCAGACTATAAGTTCAGATTGGTTAAAGGAAAAATTCAAACTTCTGAAAGTACTTTAAATATGAAAGTATTATGTTTTTTTTTTTTTTTTTTTTTATTGAGCATCAGTGGTACATTATATAATTTCCATTACAAGAGGCATGATACTCATATTTATATTTTACCCCCCATCCCCCCATCCCAAGAACCGTTTGGACACCAATCCAGCAGGAGTAGATAATTAAAAGTAATACAAAAATTGGAAATAGCTAAAAAATAAATAAATAGGAGATATATACATATATATACACATGTATACATATATACTTATACATACCCATACATTTCCCTTTTGGGGAAACCCTGTTGGAAAAAATAGAACTAAAAAAAATAAAATACAAATAAATCGATGTACAAAATTAAAGAATGGCATTTAAAAAAAACATACAACCAATGTAACAGTTTGTATTTTGTTTCCCTTTTTATCCAAATCTTGACATTGATTTGACTAAATGAGTCCCTTCTCATACACAAACATAAAGCACGCTCTTATTTGGTAGTTTAAGTCTCATTTCCTGTATTCCCATGTCTCGCAGCTTTACAACTTTTTTTAAAATCTTGTGGTCTACAGAAGCAGGGGCGGTTCTAGACCAAATATTCCAGGGCGGCCAGCGTGTTTTCATGGGGGCCCAGAAAAGCATGAAATAATAAACAGGGCAAGGGATACAAATATATGAAGATCACTGCATGAAGTGAAATTCCTATTCGTTTAGGTTTAATTAAAATTCTATGTCTTATAAGGTCAATACTCATTCATATTTTTGACTTAATTTAAGTTAAAATTATAGTTTTCTATAAAATCTGAATTAGAACTCAAGAACAACTGATAAATTCAGCTGCAATTTTTTTTTAATTTTTTATATTTTTAACTATGTATGCTGTTTTTATTGTACGGTTTTGTTTTAACTATGAATTTTGTAGCCCTTTGAGATTTTTTTTAAATGTAAAGTGCAATACAAATAAAATGTATTATTATTATTATTTTATTTTGATAAAAACATTTAGCAGATGAAAACTCGGATCCTATCTTAATCCTACTGAAGCTATCACCTTCTTGTTTTTAAATAATGAGTAAAACAGAAATCTTAAAGAGAAATAAAAAAGGAAATGGATCAAAAAGGAGCTATCAGTAACCATGTATGTTCCATGACATATCATTACAATTTCTTTGAGTATTATGTCTTCAGGTCATAACAGGGACCAGGACATGATCTACAGGGGCACTGGCCCCCCGTTGGCTCCTTTCTAGAACCGCCCACGTACGGAAGCCTTAAAGCAAAAAAGCAAACTAAAATTCCCTTTTTACTATGTATCAATCATCCTTTGGGAGGCCATGACTTAAAAAAATAAAAATTAAACATAACGCCGTAATTTAACGCTTTATCATTTCTCCAGTCTCTGTTTTATGATTTTGTCAAAAAAAAATAATAAAAAAATTAACAGAGAGTAAGAAACAATTGGCCCTGATTTCCTTGTTTGATGCAATCGGCGTGGATCCCGCCTCTGGCCGCAGAGGAACCGGTATTACCAGTTGGCTCAGCCCAGTTTGCTCCCCACCTGTGAAAGGCCCACAAAGTAAACAATGCTGCTGTCACCATGTAAACGATGACTCTGTCAAAACACCACCTCATCAGATACAGGTGAGAATGAAATCAAGAGTTATGTTAGAGAGCGGATATTTCTACCAGAACCACCTGATTCTGCAAACAGGAGGCTTTGACAGAGGCAGACATTTCCTCCTCAGTATCGCTTTACTCTGAAACCTGTTTGCGGAAGAGTCCTCTTTTTTTTTTTCCAGTACACACCCACTTTACCTCCCCACCCACAAACTTTTAAGAGAGGCACACCTTTCCTCCCAGGTGAGTCTGTCAGCAGAGACCTGGCCCTCCTGGAAGGAGGAGAAGCTCAGACTGAGATGGATTCCTCGCTCTCCACAGGTTTGCACTCCATGCTAATAGTTTGCAAATACATTGATAAGTTGTATCAAAGGACAAGGCATACTTATGCTGTCATTTATTTTAATGTACATAAACCTTCTTGCATTGCTTTAGATAACCAAATGAGGTATATTTAATCTTGTTTGAACGAGTTAACTCTGTTTTGAGGAAGTCAGATTGTACTAAAGTACATCCACATAAAACGCCTCATTTGCTTTGTTGGAACAGTAAGATTTTCTTATGTTTCTATTCCTGTTCACCAGGTGGAGCAGAGCCTGCAGCCGATGCAGATCTAAGCGGCAGGCAGCAGACAGAGGGGCAGCTTGGACAGCCCAAAGCAATCCAAGATGATCCCGTAAGTTTGAGGGACACACCCACCTTCAAATAAGGCATCATGCATCTGGTTAATCTGATAAAACGCACAATATAAAATTAGATATGCAAATTCAGAGGTGTTGGAAAGTAACCGGTCTGTGTCATACACTAAACATGCCCTTTATGAGGACTTCTGTTTATTATAGGAAGTTAATATTTACTTCTTTTTTTGTTTTCAGGAGATGTATACCATGGACAGCTCTACAGACAGTGATGATGAGGCTATCGACAAGAAAACAAAGAAGAAAAAGAAGCTGAAGAAAAAGAAGAAGAAGAAGGTAGGTGCAGAAGCCGCAGCACTGGAATGGCAGCAGTTTGAGAAATGATGAAACGTTGACACTCATCCTGCGGTCAGTTTAGGGTGTGGCCTCAGCTGGGAGACACAGAAGGGGAATCGTGCTGTCAATCCTGCCGGCTAAAGCCGCTTGTGGGAGATAGCTGATGGAAAATTTTTACTGAACTCTGTGAATCAACCGCTGCGTCTGATTTTAGCATATTTGCAGGAGGTGTGAGTAACTTTCCTTTGTGTGCAGCTGAGTGTTTGTAGAGCTCCACCCTGCCATTACATTCCTCCACCCGTCTGCAGCTCAGCCTCATTCCACTCTGTAAACTGACTCCTTCATTTGGGATGTAGGAAGATTTTTAACTATCAGCGATTTGTAAACCATCTGACTTCAGCTATGGTTTGGCAGAAATCAACCAATTACCTGAGTGCAACTAAATGTGAACAAAACAGACCCTGGAGACAAAAATCATGTAATTGGGTAACATCTTACTTTTCTGTGAACCATCTTTTCAAATCGAAAACTTGATTCTATTTTTTGATAGTTCCTAATCCTTAAGTATGGGGTAAGATACCCATCAATAACAATGTGTGCGGTGTTATCTAAAAAATATATGAATTTAAGTCAATATATGTAATTACATTTAAGATCAGTCTATTCGTCAAATATAAGATCAGATTATTCATTGGTGAGAAAACGAGTTTAGAAGTTACAAATCTGCAAACGCACAAGTATAAATGACAAAGATAAAAGTAGAATTTTATAAGCAAAGATGAAGCTTTCACACTCCTAACCAGTTGGAAGCAAGTTTGCACCTGAAGGTCGTTTGCCCTCAAATGAGAAAAGCAGACGAAGATGAAGATAAAACCTATTGATTGTTGCAAAGATTGATTCGTTTCTGTCGGGTTCATAAAATGTAGGTTTTTGCTTAAGAAGAACTGAAATAAACAATTTATGGATACAATTTCTGCAGAAAGGAGAGACAGTTGAACCCCAGACTCAAACACACTGTCTCCCACTGGACCTCCTCTGCAGAGCGTTTATTAACAGAACTTGACGCATGGTTACAAACAGAGTATTGTTCTGACAGAACAATTGATCAGTTCATGAAGACAGAATGCTCCACTAGAATGACGAGGCAGGATGGTCTCCTGACTGAATCATGACACAGGAGTGGAGCATCCCCTTGAAAAAATGTTTAATAAGCACACATTAACTTTAGAATCACCATTGAATAAACCTAACAGTTTCCACACTGCAGAGATATTGGAATCTGAGCTTAAATATCAGCCAAACCCATTTACACAGGAACAGATAAAACCTTTCAATAAACCAAACATTACCCGCCACACATCTGACTCGATAACCATTTAAAACAGGCATCCCCAAAGTCGGTCCTGGAGGGCCGCAGTCCTGCGGGTTTTAGAGGTTTCTCTGCTTTAGTACAGCTGATTCTGATCATTGCAGTGAAACAAAAGCCTGTTAATCAACTATTGATGTAAATCAGCTGCGCTGGAGCAAAGAAAACTCTAAAACCTGCAGCACAGCGGCCCTCCAGGACCGACTTTGGGGATACCTGAATTAAAACAATTATTTTCATTCATTTCAGACAGAACTAATCACATACTTGTATTATACTTCACCGCTCTTACAATATTCACCACTGTTAGGAGCCATTTCCCTTTTTCCTCTGAGCATGGAGCAGCCGGCTTGCTTGGACTTGCAATGAATCATGGGATACCCAAGGCTACGTAGGATTTGGTTCAAATGGAGCACAAATGTAGAGTCTTCCAATCTGAACAGACCTCGGCGCCACGCTATGACGTAATCGGCCGACGAATCTGGCCTTCGGAGGACGCAGCCGCTGAATTGGAACTTGGCGTAGTATATGTAATATCTTTCTTTTTGTCTTCTTCCACTTCTTGTTTGAAGATTTTTTATAACAACTTTCAGCTGGATTACTGCCACCAAGTGGTAGAAAGTGACACAGCTTCATTAGGTGTCGATATGTACCTTGAGTTGACAACAAGGAACAAATACAAATCTTTAATCTATTAACAATACTTACATTGGCAAATCCAGACATCCATGCATGTGTTTATTGGCTGTTATCTTACCCCATTTAATTACCATTTTAACTTCCTCGGTAGATTTTCTTTAAACTGCTTGCAGACATTTCAGAATGAAGCAGCAGAACTCCAAAAGAACAGAGAAATTATCTCTATTTCAGCCTCCCTGCACAATAAAGGATAAATGTTAAAGTTTAGAACCTTACATTCAGGGAACCACATAGCCAAGCTCTGGAATGCGTGAATAGCTTATTGATGCCATATTGTTCCCCTCGGACTCTAAGATCAGCTGGTCGGACGTGGCTGATAGGACTACAGGCCGATTCTAAAACTGAAGGAGACCAGGCTCTGCAGGCAGTGGCCCCAAAACTCTAAAATTCGAATCCCTTTGTTGCTGTGCAGCATAAACTCTAATGACTCGTTTCAGAAACAATTAAAGACTTAAACTCAACTGCACATGTATTTGTTGTATTCTTGTGTTCCTGTTTTAATTATTTGTGACTCTGCTCACTGTGAAAGCTGCTCTACAAATATATTTGATCAAAAAAAAAAAATTAAAAGAAGTAACTTCCTTGCACCTTTCTCAACAGGACTCCAGTTCATCATCTTCATCATCATCCTCGTCATCATCGTCGTCGTCTTCTTCTTCTTCCTCCTCCTCCTCTTCATCTTCTTCTTCCTCCTCCAGTAGCTCCTCAGACAGTGATAGTGAGGTAAGGTGTTTTACGTATTTAATTACTGTTTATATGAAAAGTAGACTTTTGATAATTTTGATGCCCAAAAAAAAAGGAACTACAAAAAACTGAAACTTTATTACAAAGTCTAAATATAGGAAACACCCAAACAAACAAACCAAAAAAAACCAAACTTCAATAGTCGGTTTCTTTTTTCTACATCCTGAACACATCACCACAGGAAATACTTCTCCAGTGAAGCCCTTTCTTCTTAGACGTGAAAGTATGACATGGAGTCACCTCAGCGTCTTTGAGTGTCTGAGGGGTAAAACATGGAGAACATACATCATTTCATAGCAAATACAAATGACCCTGCATACTCAAAGTCTAGCAAACCCACAAAATGGGACTAAAACACCAACCTAAAAAACACGCATGCAAAAAAAAAAAATGCAAAGGACAACAGCTGAAGGCATAGAAAATAGAGAAAAGTAAAGTAAAAACATTCGGCATTACAAAACCCAAATACAAAAAGATTCTAACATATAAAACACACTTCAAGATTTAAAAAAAAAAGCTGCAAAGTCGTGCTGCATAATAGAAGCATTCCAGACCACTAGAGGGCGACAGTCATACCTGCGGCAAGCTCACTGCGACAAACTCCTGCGGGAGTATAACCAGCCCTTAAGTCCCAATATCAACCCCCCCCCATGCTCTTCCCCTTCACTATCAAGTGTCACTCCAAAAGAAGTCAAACTTGCCCCTGTGGAGGGCACTTCGTTTAAAGTTTAAGGGTTTAAATGAGAATGGGACGCCCTCTTCCCTCCACCGAGACAACTATGTTTGTTTCCCATTTGTTATGGCAACGCAGAGACGCCACCTGGACGTAGCTGGTGCTCTGTGGCGCAGGTTGTAAGTCGCAAAGATTTGACAGACTCTTCTAACTTTCCGTTACTTGTTTAATATTAACTTCCTAAATCTTGCAACTGTATGAGTATGTATGGAACAGACTTGAGTTGGTAATTCTAATAGAAATACTCCATGAGAAACTAATAGAAATGTCAAACTTGTTGCAATTCTCCTCTACTTCAAAGGGAGTGTTTCTTTCTTGAAAATACAGTTTACAGTCAAATAAAGCTTATTTCAAAGAAGACCTTTCTTTTTGGAATTATTGATGTCCTTTTTTAGTAACTTGTGATTTTCTGTCAGTGTGAAAAAGACGCAACAAATCAGTGGAACTCCATTAGGTCGTCTTTAAACCCGCTGCCAAATTCCAGCAAATCTGCACTGATGCTGACTCTTGATTAGGGGCTGAACGGTCAACTCCCCCTACCCGCTACTTGGTTTGGGACGGCCCTTAAAGGCATACTATGCAACATTTTTCAGTTAATTAATGTGTTCCATAACGTTTTGGATGATTAAATGAGTCATTTCAGGTCGAACAAAGGTTTTCTCGGCCGCCCTGGTGGTCTGTGGGGGAAATACCGTACTTGCAGTTGCAGGAGCCCTCGGCCCGCACCCACAGGCTCAGAAGTCTCGCGAGAGTCTGTCTTGCTTTACGGCGAGAACTGCTACACGCCCCCAGTGAAAGGCATGCTCGTTGCTAGCACAGTGGCGATATTTGTGCAGTTATCATGGCAAAACCAGCGAGAAAACAGCGAAAGCCCATGTCGGAGCAGGCAAGAAAGAGGAAAAGGGCTCTTGACAGAGAGAGGAGTCGTACACGGGTGAACATCGGGCAAGCTTTTTCCGAATGGCGAGAGCTAAAAGAAAAAGAAGGCTGCAAGGCTGACGCGGACCTCGCATTTCTGCTGGCTTGACGGAGAAACCAGCTGAGCATATTTACAACAGTGCACTTTTACTTTCGCCCCCTGGGGGAGCCTCGCAGGAAAATCAACACCGGTTGCATAGTATACGTTTAATGTGTCAGAGATTGTGTAGAAACACAAACTAGGGCTACGTTCAAATTGCAGCCTTAAGTGACCCAAATCCGATTTTTTTTTTTGCCCATATGCCACCAGGATCTGATCTCCTCAGGCCTGTCTGAACAACACAGATCCGATATTTTTCAATCCAACCCAGGCCACTTGGCTATGTGGTCCTGAATCCGATACGAATTTGATCTTTTCAAATGTGAACTGTGTGTAAACGGCTAGGTCGGATTCATCCGACCTGAACGTCATTAATACCCGACAAAGGTCGCTATTCTGCGTCTTGCTATGCTGAAGCGGCAAGAAAAACAACAACCATGGCAGATGATGATGCGGAGAGCAGTATTTATGTTTAACCATGTGAAAAGATTGAGTTTTTTTGGTTGGAAAACCGCTAGATGCGCGCCGGCACTACCATCCATGTTTACTTCCGTAAACACAGAGCCCGCTGGCCTGTGACGTCATTGCGTCCTCTACTGCGCATGCGGGACACTTGCGTTGTATGACTGCAGTTCACACGGGAGATCACATACAAGTCGCATATATTTGGAAATATGAACAGCAACGCAAAAAAAATCGGATTTCACAAAAAAAAATCGGAATTGAGCATCAAGGCCTGCAGTGTGAACATGTTATTGCTTAGGGTTAATGTTAAGGGGTTGATTTCTGATTGGAACTTAGAGTTTAAAAAAGTTTTTGCTAAGGTTCTTGTCCATAGATACAAATTCATAATAGTTTGATGATCGTTTCCCCTTAGTGGTCCGGAGGACTTCCATTATGCGTCGCTAGTTTGAAGCTTTTTCTAACTAACCGATGTTTTTAACTACTTTCAGCATTTTCCTTTCATTAGTTTGTGTGTTAGTCTGACTGTTGTGTTTGCTGTGAAATCCTGTATTTAAATTGTATTTGCATCCCTCAGCCAGCATGCTTAATGTTTGCCTTGATGAAATGTGGATTTGTTTGACGTTATGCAAACACAGTGGCTCTCAAAGCGGTACACACCCCTGGCAAAAAACTAGTTTTCTGTGATCATAAGGAACATGACATAAAACAAACATAATTATTTGTTCTATTGTGAATGTTAGGTGTATATTAGGCAATTCAGTGGAAAAAATTTTCTATTATAAAAAGTATGTTGTTTTCCCATATCTATGAAAATGCTTTCCCCCTCCCCCCTGGAGAACTTCACCCTGATTCACACTTGATCCCTAAGGCAGAGACATCCAAACCGTAACAACTCCACCCCCATGCCACCAAGCTTAAGGTGTGATTAGCACATGGAAAACAACTTACTTTAGCCCAAACCTTTAACCTATTTGTCTCTGTGAGGACATCTTTCCAACCATCCAGCTCAGCAGCTTATAGTCTCCGGTTCAGAGGCATAGCTTTGCATAAATGTTCAGTTGAAGATGAAATGCAGATCAATTTATATCTTTATATCAAACGTACGAAGACTTTAAAATCAAACAATCTAACTGCTGACTTGATTCTGCAGTAATTGATGATTATGAGCTTTGTGGTGGAAGATCTTGTACAGAATCAATTTTGATTATAAAAAAGTTCCTGCCAGACCTCCTTTTTTATATTTTCTTTTTCTAAATGCTTAAAGATTGATTGTTTGCATCCACCGAACACTTAGTCCAGCAAGTTCACTGACACTTCTCTCTTCTTTATGATTTCGTAAGCACAGCTCAGGCTTCGCGTTGCTGATTGATGTGTCTGACTTTCTCTTCTGGTTGTGGAAACACCAAACTGATGTCATATGTTGCTGTTACACATTTGTAACAGAGGCCCTTTCAAAGAGGACACCATGTCTCCAAGATGAACAGAAGAGTAAAAAGTTAAATACAAGGAAGAGCAAAACTCCTTCCTTGTAATTCCTGTCTTGCTCTGACATGTCGCAACTACACGTTGTCTCTGCATACTTGTCAATACCTCAGGGCTGAGTTCTGACAGCAGTGGTTCCACTGAGTGTAGGCTGACATTTTGGGCTTGATTACGAAACATGCTGTACGTCCAGAGCTTCTTTTATATGGCTAGTTCTGTTTTGAGCAACTCTTAGGATTCCTTCCATCAATAAAGTAAACCTAAGGTTTCTGAGGGCGAAAAATACAATTAGCAACCGTTAGAGAGCAGGTAAAGTTCCTCTTTAAGGCATTAGGAGAAAGGTTATTTCTTTGGAATGCAAACGTGTCGAATTTGGTTCGATTTATAGCCTCATCAGGACACGTTTTGGTTTAGGGAAATAAATTTGCAGCACGCCAGCTCCGTCATCAGTTCAGCTTTTTAAAGGAGAAGTCCGGTCACATTCAGAATACAACCTTCTAGGGGTGTAAATCACACCCATCATGGCGATTCGATTCAGTATCGATTTCCTGACCCAACGATTCGATTATTTTCGATACTCAAGAATACACCACGATACGATTCGATTCGAATAATTAGTTCATTGATTTTTATTTTTTATTTTTATACCTTACAGGCTAGACAATGTTTCAAATTTGAAATAAATCAATGAAAGCTGTTATATTGGTATGGCTGTTTTTTTTTTTAGAAACAACAGCAAATAACAGAAGTAGAAAAGTTGTATCAAAAAATACTGCACATAATCAGTGCAATGAGTGCAATGCAATACCTCGGCTCCAGACGTCCCCGCCTCCTCCACATGACGCTCCGCTGCACCTCTCCCACATTGTAGCTGACCGCAGACAGTGCAGCAGACAGGAGGCCGGCTAGCATTTTTTAAATGACCATAATTGTGGAAAACAACTCGTGAAGTTTGACCCGCTAGAAGAGCGAGGTGCGCGAGAACGCTGGGACCCTTTTTCCAGCTGGATCTCCGCTCTTTCTGGCCCTCATGTCCCTCCGTCGTCGGACTAAACTCGCCCCCACTTCCTCGCCGCCTCGGCCGTATCTAGACCCACAGCGTGTAGCACAGACCACGCTTCAATATTGAGCATAATTTAAAAATGTCTGTGTCAAGCTCACTGCAACACACTGCTGTAAGAGTATAACCAGGAAGCGAGGTAGGAGGGCAAAATAGGTTTAGCGCCACCGCAGCACGGGAGGAGATTAAATGGATTAAAACAGAACGGAGGGAAAAAAAAGTATGTATCGATGTATCAGATCGTCGGCTGTTGGATTGATGCATCGATACAAAACGATTATTATTTACACCCCTACAACCTTCTCAGTATGTATGACATTATTACATACTTTTCAATAAATAATCAGTGTTTTCATTTAAAAGTAAATTTCATGTGACTGTGCTTTACTGGAGGCATCCATGTTTGTCAAAGAACACTACTGCCACCTACTGGTTTGTGACGTCACGGTGCGGTATCGGCTGTTAATCAAGTCCCAGTGCTGTATCTGGTGTTTGTCACGACACGCTATTATCCAATAAGGGTGATGACCAGTGCACTATGAGAAACGGATGAATGAGGTGTTTTTTCTCCGGCCAGAAGTTCGATGGTAAATCCTTCTTCGTCGCGTTGGCAATCCAACGACGAGGAGGAATCAGAAAGTTGAAATAACAAATTGTTTTTCACTTTTACCCGAAGAATTCCAACATCCAGCTGCCATGCAGGTGGGCATTGTCAGTTTCACCATAGCTCTGGTGAATTTTAATGGTGAAGTTCTCTGGAAATCTTTAATAATTGTTCTTGATTGCAGATGTGTCTAGTAGTTCCCATTGATTTAGCTTGTAAAGCGGGGAGAATGGCGCTAGGCTTACCGGACCATGTTTGAGTAAAAGTTACTCAAGTTGAAGGATATTTGGTCCCAGAGTAAAACAAAAATTTTTTGAAAGGAATTATTTTAAAAGGGAATTTTCCTCCGAGTTGAATAATTTAAGGTCACTTATTTATGCCTCCTCTACAATCCAGCTCTTAATAGCAAGCAGACAGGAAATGGGTTTAAGAGTAACAAAAAGATACAGGACAAAGGTCAATGGGCCTGTGACGTTGAGAACTGGAGCCACAATGCACGCCTTTTCCTCTGTGCCAGCGCTACACCTCATCCACAGTTTTAAAATTTTATCAGCACAGCATTCATGACCAGAAACCTCAGTATGGTGGAGAACACAGGGCCTTTTTACTTAGGCTCAGCCCACTGTAGTACTTGCACCTAAAATTTACTATTACTCCAAATTTCGTTCTATTAACTCAAAGTGGAAACAAAAAAACTATTCAAAGGCTGTGAACCCTGTTTAACCTAAGAGAGAACCTGTGATTTTTGTTTGCTTTTTCCACTCACGCAGCTTTTATCAAAAGATGAGAGGTTGGGTTGTCTTTCCCTGGAAAGTGGGTGGAAGGCCAGCACCATCTGGAAAATCCAGAACCACTTGCTGAACGTTTTGATTTTCCTTTTGTTTGCAACAAGCGGAGCACGCCTCAGTTCACTTCCAAGAAGTGAACTTTCGAGTTTTAGGGCGTGTGGAGGGCCGTGTTTCACCTTAAGCAATACTTTGATTCAGAGCACGACCACACCCAGTTACAGGCTTCTAAGAACTTTTCTCCTATCCACTGGATTTCAATAAAAGGCATTTTCACAAAAATTAAATCGACTAGCTAAAATACCAATGAGAGACGCTCGCCTGATGCGGATCTGTACAGTTTGCCAGCTGGGAGCCAGATTGATCAATGCTATTGCCTTAGCAAACATTTAACCGGAAACCTCTGTGCAGCCTCTGATCCACTTTGGTTCCTTAAAGGAATAGTACACCCAAAACATGATTAGCCTTCATTTTCTACTCACCCCCATGCTGAACAACACTCTGGAGTACTTTTTTGATATCTCAAATGCATCTGGAGATCTGGGAGGCTTCTTGCTGTCTGCTGACATTCAAATAATGGAGGTCTATGGCGCCCGAGGCAGAAAGGTCCGTAAAAGTCCACAAAAAACGTGTCAATATTCCTCCATACTGCTCGTCCAATGTATTCCAAGTGTCCTGAGTGGGTAGCGTCCATAATTTACTCGAAACGAAGTCATTTAGAATGTTTTTAGAGCATAAACAGTAGTGTATAGGATTTCCTAAAAGTGCGTTCACGAGCCTACGGAAACCGCGGCAGACCAAACCAGACGAAAGTGCGCATTCAGCGTCTGCTCTTGATAATGCAAGCGTAGAATAAGAAATGTGCTGTTTACCTGTGCAAAGAAAGAAACAACGAAAGAAAAATGTCTGAGGACTTCAGTGTTGAGGAAGAGCATGAGTTCTTTGCTGAGCTGAATGCGCACTTTTATCTGGTTTGGTCTGCCGCGGTTTCCATAGACTCGTGAACGCGCTTTTAGGAAATCCTATACACTACTGTTTATGCTCTAAAAACATTCTAAATGACTTCGTTTCGAGTAAATTATGGACGCTACCCACTCAGGACACTTGGAATACATTGGACGAGCAGTATGGAGGAATATTGACACGTTTTTTGTGGACTTTTATGGACCTTTCTGCCTCGGGCGCCATAGACCTCCATTATTTGAATGTCAGCAGACAGCAAGAAGCCTCCCAGTTCTCCAGATGCATTTGAGATATCAAAAAAGTACTCCAGAGTGTTGTTCAGCATGGGGGTGAGTAGAAAATGAAGGCTAATCATGTTTTGGGTGTACTATTCCTTTAAGTTAAGCCTGACTGACATTCATCCATGATTTGCTTTTTTTTTTTTTTTTTAAAGCTTTTGACTGAGACCTGAGAAACGTTTCTCAATTACTCAATTACTCAAGCTCAATTACAGACCTACTACAACCTGGCAACGCCTGGGCTCCATCTCATATGACTTCAACCTACTTTTCCTTTTGGTGCAGAATCCTTTCATTTCGGATGTCCAAATTTATAAAACAATTATTTAATACATTTTTTAAAATTACAATTAACATTTTTCTTCCATACCACCCTGGATGCTCTTTGGTTGTATTATTAAAAACAAAGATTGTTGCTACGACGTTTGAAAAAATAAATGTGTGAAAGATCAAGGAGTATCTCGCCCTGCCTGTTTGATGGCAGCGTTACTCAAATGGGAACGGCCTGTTTCATTAATGATTTGCGTTCAATCTCTAGATGGTTTTCTATAAACGAATGAATTATAAATGACTTCATTTCAAAAATGATTGTTTACATAAGTTGAGGCTGATGTTTACAGTCTCAGGCTTCCCCCCATGGTAACGGACGTTCTGGTATTAGTCAGGCAATAAAACGATCATCATAAAACATGCCATGTTCCCCATTTGGCTGCAGGATGACAAGAAGAAAAAGAAGAAGAAGAAGCAGGAAAAGAAGAAAAAGGATGAGATGAAAAACTATGTCTGGGACAGCGTTGTCGTCTGTCAGGAAGGTAAGTTTTCAACCTTTCTCCTTTGCCTATTCTCTTCAGTTCAAATGTAATTTTGTATAATTAAAAACTGTTGTTTAGATTGAATTTAAGCTGTTCTCCAAAGTATAAATGCTGCTGCTTTGTGGCAAAAAAAAAACTGGTTATATTTGAACTGGAGTTTGGAACCATATGTGTTTTTACTGAGGCGTATCTTCATATAAAATATAATTAACAGTCGTTTATTAATAACCTGGATCATATTTTTTGCTGGTTTTAGGTCCTGAGGGCCTGGAGGAGGAGCTTGACATAGAAGCCATGAAGATACAAGTGGTGAGAAATCAATATTAGTCAATATTCGTCTTTGACGTGTTTCTTTTTAAAAATATATTTAATGCTTCATGTATTGCGTAATCAGGAATACGACTCATCAGATGAGGAGCATGAAAAGAAGAAGGAGAAAAAGAAGAAGAAGAAAAAGGACAAGAAAAAGAAAAAAAAGAAGAAGAAGGTATTTATAATCATCAAAAAGCTGATATTTTTGTGATTACTGTATGTCACAAAAGGTTTGGTTGTTTTTTAATTTAAACAAATCCTGAACTCAGATCATATAAAGTAAGATTTTATTAAAAACCTTTTCTATTGCAGGATTCCTCTTCCTCCTCATCTGACAGCTCATCAGACAGCGAAGATGATAAGAAAAAGAAAAAGAAAAAGAAGAAGAAGACAAAGAAAAAGAAGAAGAAGAAGGCAGGATTTGCATATGTTTACCCCAAACGTTCAGCCGGCTAAAATAAAAAAATTAAAAATAGTAAAACACTAAGAAGAAGGTTTAACGTCGAAATGTGTCAGATCTTTTCATTTTATCCCGGTTAAGGTGTGATTGTGACTCATTTGCTTCTCCTTGCTTATAGGACTCCAGTTCTTCTGATAGCTCCTCTTCTTCCTCTGACAGTGATGATGACAAGAAAAAGAAGAAGAAGAAGAAAAAGGACAAGAAGAAGAAGAAAAAAAAGGACAAGAAAAAGGTTGATGTGCTTTTAATTTGTAGAAATGCAGAATTTCCTCATTATTTACTTTAAAACCTGGATGTTCAGGAGTGGTACTTTACCTGGATTAACGCAGAGATAAGTAAAACCTTTCTGAGCATGTTTTCATTCAAATGACTGCCGCCATTAATGCGGTTAATCCCAAAATATTTCACAAACCCGCTTTTTTTGTGCTTTTATTTTTGTGCTGCACATCCAACTGTTTTGTTGCTTTTAAAATCGTAGGGAAATCATATTTAAATGTCACATCTTTCTGGCTTAAACATGTATATAAATGTACTCTTTATTAGATGGTTTTGTTCTAAAATTTAGAAAATTTCTGTTTTAGAAGAATAATTCTGTCTGAAAATATTGATTTTTTTCATTATCTTATCCAGCTCCAGTTAGTTCTACGTCAGCCTGAACACCTAAATTCGACCAATCATATATCAACGGTCATCTGTCAATCAAATATTTTCGGTCATAACATCTTGATTTATATGTCGCAGCTAATATGTGCAACAGTTGAAATAGGAAATGAGAATAATTTCCTTTCCCATTGAGTTGCGTCCCAGTGTTCACGGGGATGGACGTTTGTGTCTTCGGCAGGCGTAGAGCTAACAGAACTGGCAGCGTTGCGAGGCAAGGGCTCAAACATGTACGGCTGGAAGGCTTCTACACCAAACCAAGCTTCTGCCGCCCTGGCGTCCTCTTCCACAACATCTTTGCCCCCGCTTTCCTCCTCTAAATAAAAAATGGATGACAGAGGAGATTCATCCACGACCTCCGACACTAAACTCTCCTCTTGCATGTTTCCGCTGTCCATAGCGTTCCTTGACAGCGTCGTTTCTAAGTCACCAATTTAGTGCTACTTGGTCCCAATGGAATTTTCCATTGGGAACCTACTAGCACTAAGTTGCTAACTGGCTAGCAAGATGCTTCCAACAAACCGGCCACAATCAAACTTGATTGTGAACCTTCCACCACAACAATCCCGCCCCCTTGATTAACGACCAATCACATTCACTTTAATCACTCGTGTAAAGTCGTGCACTACTGGGGAGAATTCGTAAATTCAACGGTTGGAACAGCCGCTTCACTACGACTTTAAGTGATCAAATCATACCTTAAGAAACTTATGCCAATATTTCCAGCTATAATACTGATAAAGTACAGATACTTTTGTTACATTAACTGTACTAATGTATGTAATAATAAAGTACTAAAGTATGTTTTTGATCATGTAGGATTCCAGCTCTTCATCTTCATCTTCTGATAGTGAAAAAGACAAGAAGAAAAAGAAGAAGAAGAAAAAGGATAAGAAAAAGGTGAGCCCCTTTTTTAATGAAAAATGTCTAAATTATAAACCAAAGTATTCACTATGCAGACTAGCTGCCATTAGCAATGTGAACATCACAAACCCTGAAGGTTTGTCATCTTTCCTCTGCTGTAGGATTAATTATGGGTAAAAAGTCAAAGTTTCCGTTTTAGCTGAATCTCTCTTTTGTTTTACTTTCCACCAACTCAATTACAGACGTTTCTGTGGAACACAGTGTATTTTCATAGCCCCACAGGTGTACACAAGTGTCGTTCATACACCGGGCCTTCATGTCCCCTCTGGAACATAGATTTTAACAACACTTTATTTACACAATTCATTCAATTATTCATGTAAAACAAAGTCAGTTAAAAATCACTATTAATTTAAAAAAAAATTAAATGAGGAGCTTGTTATAGTGTCAATCTCAATACATAAAGTTTTGTTAAAACCCTACAACAGAATAAATCCTCCATGTTCTGTGTGGCTCAGTGGAAGTCAAACTCCAGCGTTATTCTGGCTTTAACGTTGCACATCCATAGAGCCACAGCATCAAGGTGAGCTCCCTCCTGCAGTCTGCTAACCTGACTCCGCCAGATGGATTTGCTCCACATATCCATCTGGAAACCTTCCATAGAAGTAATTTTGGGAAGGGGCGAAAATACTGGTTAGCTGATTGGCCTATGTTGGTGATAGACGGGCCAAATAAACCAATCAGATCAACGAAGCATATGACGTACTAACTTAGCGACGACGAAGAGGAGCCAATTGATAGATCAAACTCTTGTCGAACAAGTCGGGAGAAGAGCAAAAACATCTTTTCCTCTGAGAAAAGCCTCCAGAGCAGTGTTTTGCTCTTCTTTCAGTGAAGAAATACTCTGTAATTCCGATAAAACTTGCACAATAGCCACGCTAACGCTAGTTTCATCGGCTGAAGCCGCCATGTTCTTTAGACTGAACTGTCCCGCTTCTCGTTACGTCACACCTCCAAAACGCCTCAAAGCCAACACTGATTGGACGTTCGTTTGGTGAACTGCTCCAAATTTTCTTTAACGGAAAATAGCCAGACTGATCTGCGAGTTAAACCTTGAAAGCTTGCGAGATCAGGATGGTCTCACAAGGCTAGTGAAGACCATGACTGTTGTTTCAAGGAATTGCATGAAATTTTATTATCTTCGCACAATTTCAGCGACTGCGGATAATGACGTCCTTGAATCTGTCATGCTGGCTAAAAAGCTAATTGACTCTTACGAAGAAGAGCCAATTGATAGATCAAACTCTTGCCGAACCAGTCGGGAGAAGAGCAAAAACATCTTTTCCTCTGAGAAAAGCCTCCAGAGCAGTGTTTTGCTCTTCTTTCAGTGAAGAAATACTCTGTAATTCCGATAAAACTTGCTCAATAGCCACGCAAACGCTAGTTTCATCGGCTGAAGCTGCCATGTTCTTTAGACTGAACTGTCGCGCTTCTCGTTGCGTCACACCTCAACCCGCCTCAAAGCCAACGCTGATTGGACGTTCGTTTGGTGAACGGCTCCAAATTTTCTTTAACGGAGAGTCTCCAGACTGATTAGCGAGTGAAACCTTGAAAGCTCGCGAGATCAGGATGGTCTCACGAGGCTAGCAGTCTGTCTGTACAGAACATGTAAACGGCCATCTTTGCTTCATTGATTCAAAAATTTCAAAGTTCAAAGTTGGGCCTATGGCTTATTTTTCCTATTCTGGCAAACTCCTCCTTTAAAAAAGCATTTGTAAAACCCATCCCAAAATGACTAAAAACTTTAATTGAAAGGCTAAAAATGGTCTTTAGTGTTGTGCATTCCATAAAAACGTTGAACACACTTTCAGACAGACCGCAGAAAGGACACTCGTCTGAAACAAACTGATTAATAACTGATAAAAAATGAGTTTGTGGCGTTGGCGCAGTGTTAAAGTCTTCATTGGAGATCCTAGTTCATTGTTTGATGGGAGGCTTGTGTAAAGTCCTCCACTGGGGTGCTTTTTTCTGAAGTTTTTCTGTCCAGGTGCAGACCGGCTTCAAAAAATGTTTGTTCCGTCCCAAAACGTCGGTTCTAGACCAACTTTTCCGGTGGGTTGGGGGGCAGAATAGGGCCTGTGCTTTTTCATGGGACTCTAAAGAAAAGAGTAAAACTAAAAAACATGGCAATAATTGAATAGTTTGAAATATTGAGTAAAAGAGCGTTGGAAACCTGAGATAAAGTAGATTGAAATTCTGTTTGAAAATGACAGAAGCTAAATGTGTAACTACCGTATTTTTCAATCATCAGAATTAAACTGTAAAAATAAAAAAAAACTTTGTCCAGGAAACCAATCACGTAATGGATTCTGTGCCAATGCATATCACCATTAGAAATGTACTTATTGTTTTGAAGTTATGAAGCTTAAGCATCAATTCAATCTGGAAGACTCTTATCAGCTTCATCTGAACCACCTTTTCTGAAGCCAATCATCTTTCAAGATCCCTTTCATTTAGCTCCTGGCCTAGCTTCTCTCTTCTGCACACAAGTGAGCTTTCACCCACCTCTACCCCCAGATTATTCCCAGTCCCACTCATCCTCTAGCTTATTCTACCACCAACGTCCGGGGCCCCAGGGGGAGACTACTGTAATCCTTTTCAAGTTTAACCATCCAAGTGAATGTTGATTCACAGCACCAAAGTCTTCAGCCGGGGTCAGAGCGCCAGAGAACTTATTTCATTTATGTCTTTATCTGCTTCTGTCTCCTTGAACCCCAGTCGGCCTCAGCAGATGGCCGCTCACACTGAGCCTGGTTCTGCTGGAGGTTTCTTCCTGTTAAAAGGGAGTTTTCCTCTCCACTGTCGCTACATGCATGCTTGGTGTGAGGAATTGCATTTGAGTCAATGAGTCGATGCAATCGACTGGTTTTCCTTGGATAGAAAACTTTGAATTAATCTGACTGGATGATCTGGTTGAATTGTAAAGCGTCTTAAGATGACATGTGTTGTGAATTGGCGCTATAGAAATAGACTAAATTTAATTAAGTCCAAAATCAAAAAACTGTCCCACCATATTCCTACGACCAGAGGGTTCTTGTGCCACTCAGACAAGATTTTTTTTTTTTGTGTGCAAAATTTAAGAAAAGATCTAAAAAAAAAAACTTCTGCAGGATCTTTTAAAAGTAAGTCTGGATACGTTTAGCTGTTTCTCTCTCTCTGTGGTAGGCTCAGTACCTTGGTGCGACTTACACCATGTTTGTACAATCTTATAGAATAAACCAAAGTGTGTTTTAGATCTTATAGCAAAGACCCAATGATAACATTAATTAATCCAATCAGGATACACTCACCTCAGGATGTTGGATACTTGAAATTTTCGGTAAAACAGAAAGCTTGATCTACTTCCTGATTAGACTTTCTGACAGGGGTCTTCAGTGTTGTCCTATGCCTTTTCAAATAACTCAAAGATAATGTCCAACGTCTTTTAAAATTTAGATTGATGAAACGACCAAATGCATTGTCTAATTTAAAATAATATGATGGGAGCAAACAGCTCTAAAACAGCTTTTGTTTCTTTAAACACTTGCTCTTATATTCTGGCTGAGTAAGATTAAGTTTAATCAAACATCCTTGAGCTGAATGATGCTTTTCTTTCTCAGGATGACGAGCAGAAGGAGCCAGCTAGTTCTCTCTCAGCTGATGGTGAGAAATTAACACAAAAAACAAATAACTGACCTGGTTTGGTAGCATCAGCGTGTTCAAACATCTTATGCCTCATCGTTCAGGATGTGAGACAGGAGCAGCGAGTGCTGATGGAGATGGAGATGCTGCCAAGGTGAAAAACCAAGTTCACTCCTGCACTTTGTTCCAAAAGCTGAATATTCAGAGAAAATCATCACTATGTGCTGTTTCTGTTTTTCTTTTATCTGGCAGGCCAAAGAGTTTAAAGCCGCAGAAGAGAGCAAGCTCTCTACCACACAAGCTGGTAAGTGTGCAACTCTTTTAGATTAACATGCATTAAAGGAAAAGTCTGGTCAGCAAGGAATAATCAATGGATCATTATCTGTACCTAAAACTAATACGTTCGCGGTGATTTAATGAAATTAGTGTTAATCAGTAAAAAAAATAATAATTTTCATCGCGATCACTGAGTCTGGGAGCGGCCATTTTTGCCCGAATCTAGTAGCCCCTCCCTCCTGCCATCTTCCAGCAGTGACGTCACGGTGTGGTAAGCCTAGCGCCATTCTCCCCGCTTTACAAGCTAAATCAATGGGAACTACTAGACACATCTGCAATCAACAACAATTATTGAAGATTTCCAGAGGACTTAACCATTGAAATTCACCAGAGCTATAGTGAAACTGACAGTGTTGGGAAAGTTCTCTTTCTACGTGAACTAGTTCAAAGTTCAGTTCACACATTTTAAAATGAACTAGTTCAGTTCATAGTTCATAAATCAAAATTTTGAACTAAGTTCACAGTTCCAAAAAATGAACTAGTTCAGTTCTTTTTTTTTTTTTCATATATTGCTCAATTACATCATAGCCTACTGTAGAACCACAGACAGCAATTATTTTATCAGTTGTAACTCTGAAACTGTGCGTCAGATTTCATCTATCCAGTTTTGAATCCTTATCCAACCAGGGTTTACATTAGCATTGAGGGGTCATCATTTCCCCATTGTTGCTTTAACGCTTTGTTGCTGTCCATTCACTTCACACTAGTAGCAGCTGCAGCTTTCACCCCTACAGTATATTCTCAAAAACATCAGGAAAAATGTGCTGCTTGAATGGTCTTTTTTATGAGGAATTATTAAAAGAAAAACAGGAAAGTAGTCTTTAAGGTGCAAATGTTTTTTTAATTGTAATATTTTTTTCAAATTGAAATTCCATTTCAGTACATACTAAAAAGGAATCCTGGAAAATTATACCAGGCAGGTTTAACAAACAAGTTACACGAATAGTAAAACCCTCAAGAACATTTTACTAACACAAACTGAGGGACCAGGCTGAGGTAGGAATTTAAGGTTACTAAAGTGCGGATTTTTTTACTGAAAGCCGGCGGGCAAAGTTAGTAGAGAAATGTAAGATTGTTGCCATCATCCTCACCGACCACCTGGTCATAAAACTGTTTTAAGTGATCATACTGCTGCTTTTTAGCATCCACGGTCGCCTTCATGCTGCTATGGCTTCCACGCTGCATTTTGTTTTGATGACGCACGCGGCTGTAGGCTACGACACTGGTAGCTGGTGTTGCCAGATTGGGTGTTTTTCCCGCTACATATGAAGGCCTGTTTACGGTGTGATTTAGCCGGGGTTCGCTTTTAGGGCTCTATAGAAATCTGGCAACCTATTGAACGGAGTTGAACTGAGAGAGCGTGCCGTTCACAGACACCAGAATGAACGAGTTCACAATAACGTTCATCAGGCAGTTATGCAGTACGTTCAGTTCACGTTCGCCCAAAATATGAACGAGTTCATGAACTTTCGTTCAATGAACGCGTTCAGGCACAACACTGGAAACTGACAATGCCCACATGCATGGCAGCTGGATGCTGGAATACATCGGGTAAAAGTGAAAAAAAAATTAGTTATTTCAGTTTTCCGATTCCTGATCCTCCACGGACGGGTTGGTCGTTGGATCGCCAACTTGAAGATGGAGGATTTGCCATCGAACTTCTGGCCAGAGAAAAAACCCGTAATATGTAGCCAACATTTGGAAGAAGAATGTTTTCAAGATGACTTGGATAATAGCGCGTTGTGACAAACACCAGATACAGCACTGGGACTTGATAAACAGCCGATACCGCACCGTGACATCACAAACCAGTAGGTGGCAGTAGTGTTCTTTGACAAACATGGATTCCCTACAGCAGGGGTCTTCAACGTTTTCCAGGCCAAGGACCCCCAAACTGATGGCGAGCTGAAGCGGGGACCCCCTAATTATCTATATTGTATGAAATAGTGTTCTATCAAACTGGTCCTACAGTCACTCTATTACAGATGGAGTAATGTAACGAAAGTAATTTCTCCCTGAGATTATTAAAGTATTTCTGATTCTGATTCCTGGTTGATGGGACAGGTGTTGTGAATGAAACGGTGCCCAGCTTGAAAGAACTCCTGTGTTTCGCTGAATGTGTGCGTTGATGACTGAAAGACATCCTCTGCCTCCATTTATCTGTTTACTACAGTCTGTTGAATTCATGTTAATGTGGATTTAAAGACATTTCAATAAGTCGAAAAAATTACAAAATTATAAAAAAAAATGTCTAATCAACCACAACTTTTGCGACCCCCATGCAGTAGCACCGTGGACCCCCTAGGGGTCGCGGACCCCCTGTTGAAGACCTCTGTCCTACAGTAAAGCACATTCAGATGAAAATTACTCTTAATTTAAAAAACAACGTATTTATTGAACAGTATGTAATAACTTCATATTTCAAGTACTTTCAGAAGTTTGAATTCTGAATATAACCTGACTCTATATTTAATCACCTTATCAGCGGTTTGTGAGTTCAAAAATTTTTTTTTTTTTACTGAAGTAAATTTTGTTCTAGTATTGTTCAAAGCAAAGCAATTATTTGTAAATAACATTTTTAAAAGCAAAATGGAATCCTGAAATTTAAATTGGAAAAACTTTTTAATAAAAAAAAAAAGGTTTAAATGTTTTAGATCAGAATTCTTCAAATTATATATATATATATTTTCTAAATGAAAAAAATTGACAAAAAGGAAAAACTCCTAATTAAAAAAAACATATCATTTATTGAACAGTATGTCATAATTACATATTTAAAGTACTTTCAGAAGTTTGAATTCTGAATATTACTGGACTTATCCTTTAAAGTGGTGCCCTGTGTTGCTATGATGATTTGCTTCCAGCAGGGGGAGCACAGCTGGTTCATGATGGCATTGAGGATGGCCACCTGAGTGATGATGAGGGAGAAGGAGATAAGGAGAAGGATAAAAAGAAGAAATTGAAGAAGAAAAAGAAGAAAAAGGTGAATTAGTTTTCTAAAATGGGGGATGATGTCTGAAAGAACCAGAAGCTACAACAAGCTAAATGTTTCTGTGAGACATTCGGTAAAAACATTTGGATTCTCAGTAGAGTTTGACCTTTTATTTTTGCACACAGGATTCATCAAGTGCTTCAGACAGCGAAGATGAGAAGAAGAAAAAGAAGAAGAAGAAAGACAAGGTTTGTATTTTATCACCCCTGTTTGCTTATCCATGAGATGCTAAGCTACAATGTTTATTTAATTGGTTTTCCTCATTTGCAGGATTCAAGCTCCTCTTCCTCATCATCCTCTGATAGCGAAGATGAAAAGAAAAAGAAGAAGAAAAAGAAGAAGGACAAGAAGAAGAAGAAGGATAAGGTTTGTGACAGAGGGTGTTGCTGTTTGCTGCCTGAAAGGTTCTGCTCCACATTTTACTCCTGGTGTTTCTTTTTTACAGGATTCCAGCTCTTCTGACAGTGAAGACGACAAGAAGAAGAAGAAGAAGAAAAAGGGAAAAAAGAAGAAGGATAAGGTCTGAGGACATTTATAGAACACGTTTTTGAGTTTATTTTAAAAGTAGGATCAAATAATCCCTTTTTTTTTCTTTCCAGGATTCAAGCTCATCCTCTTCATCATCTTCGTCCTCGTCTTCGGATAGCGAGGATGACAAGAAAAAAAAGAAGAAGAAGAAGACAAAGAAGCTGTCTTTTGTCCTCGAGCTCACTCAGGTGGCCAAACTTTAACATCTTTAGTCATTATCCTTCAGTCATTGCTCCACATTTGCTAAAACTAATGTATCCTCATACTGTATGTTTCCAAGTTTATAAACCTGTAAGTTTTCTCTATTCTCATAAGAGTTAATTATCAGCTCCACTACTCTATCATGCCATTAATCTCTGCTTCTGTCTCCTTGAACCTCAGTCGGCCTCAGCACTTTCTCATCAATGAACATGTCCAATCCTGTTGTTTCCATCAAATGTTTTCTAAATCTAACCATGCTTCTCCTATCATTCCCAGCCACCAAGCTCCTCTGATGAGAGTTCATCCTCTTCCTCTGATAGCGACGGTGACAAGGTATGAAGCACAGCTATATAGAATAGAATAGTAGTGTTGTGCCATATGAGATTGTTTAATTTATTTTCCCTCTTTGCAGAAAAAGAAGAAAAAGAAAAAGGACAAGAAGAAGAAGAAAAAGAAGGTGGTTGAAGGATCATTTTAAGCATCTCGTTGACTTCTTTATAAAATTGACTCATTCTTTATCCTTGATTTTGTCCTTCCAGGATTCTTCTTCTTCCTCCTCTTCCTCCAGTGATTCTTCTAGTGATGGCGAAAAGAAAAAGAAGAAGAAGAAAAAGGACAAGAAGAAGAAGAAAAAGAAAGATAAGAAAAAGGTTTGTGTTTAGAAACCAAAGCCTGCTGTGGTACTATGTGACACAGGTGCAATTTATAAAATCCTGTATTCTCATTCAAGGACTCAGACTCCTCTGGCAGCGATGATGACAAGAAGAAGAAAAAGAAGAAGAAAGACAAAAAGAAGAAGAAGGTATTCTCTCTGCTTCTGTCTCCTTGAACCCCAGTCGGCCTCAGCAGATGGCCGCTCACTCTGAGCCTGGTTCTGATGGAGGTTTCTTCCTGTTAAAAGGGAGTTTTTCCTCTCCACTGTCGCTACAAGCATGCTTAGTGTGAGGGATTGCATTCGAGACAATAAGTCGATGCAATCAGCTGGTTTCTCTTACATAGAAAACTTTGAATCAATTTGACTGGATGATCTGGTGCATTGAGACTTATTGAATTGACTTATTCCATGTGTGTGTGTGTGTGTGGGGGGGGGGGGGGGGGGGGGGTATGGCTTTATTTTATCTGAAATCTAGATGATTGAGTGTTGATCTGTTTGAGCAGGACTCCAGCTCATCGGACAGCGACAAGGAGAATAAAGAGAAGAAGAAGAAGAAGAAGGTCGGTGAAATCCCAACATGGGATTGTTGTCTGATTATGTCAGGATTTAAGAAGACATGCTGTTTCTTCATGAGGGGGGGGGTGTCTTTTATAGGATAGCCCAGAGGGAGAGCCAAGCGGTGAGCCTAAACCAGAGGCTACAGACGTAGACAGCAGCAAACCTTCTGCCTCCAGCGGGGGTAGTTCTGTTCAGAGCGGCGCCGGCTCCTCATCCTTTGTGTCTGCGTCCTCCACCGTGAAGACAGACCCTCCGAATCCTTCAACCACCTACAAGTCGCCTACTTCCTCCAGCGGAGGTAGCTCTGTTCAGAGCGGCGCCGGCTCCTCATCCTTTGTGTCTCCGTCCTCCACCGTGAAGACAGACCCTCCAAATCCTTCAACCACCTACAAGTCGCCTACTTCCTCCAGCGGAGGTAGCTCTGTTCAGAGCGGCGCCGGTCCCTCACCCTCTGTGTCTCTGTCCTCCACCGTGAAGACAGACCCTCCGAATCCTTCAACCACCTATAAGTCATCCTACACCAGCTCAAACTGGAGCGCAGGAGACAGGGCTGCAGCTCAAAGGCCCAAAAGCGCCATGGAGTCCTTGATGGGGAATCCCAGGAGATATGGAGATGGAACAACGAGAACCTCCACCACTCTGTCCTCAAGTGACCTCCTGAAAGGCCCCAAACCTTACCAACCGTGACACCATACGACAGAATGTAAACGTTACTGATACAAAATAAAAAAAATAAAAAAAATATGGCTGACGTTCGCAGACGAGTGAAACTAGATTGATGCTAAAGATTCTACTGATTGCTTTTTAGTTCTGGATTCAAACATGATGATTGACCATGCAAATAAATAAAACTGTTTCTGTTATGTTGGCTTGTTTAGAGTTAGCAAAATTCAGAGATTGTTTCTTTTTGGGTTTCTTGAGTGTCAAAATGGGGGAAAAGGCCAAATTGTGCAGCAAATTTGTCAAAGGGATTAAACAACTGCAAATGTTTGCTTTGAGTAATAAAACTGTGATGACATTATTGTGTTTTTACTGTCCATTGCTGGAATCTGCTTAATCTTAACATTTATAGATATGGGGCACTGAATTAAATTTAGCAAAGCAGTTTTTATTTTACATTTGTTATCCAACACACTCTGCAAATTAATGTTGTTTTTTTAACATTAAGTAAAAAAATGGTATATATAATATATTAAATCTAATCCAATATAGTGTATTTATATCTACGTCTGTAATTTACATCTAAAACATGTATCTATATCTAAATCTATATTCTATCTCTAAATGTTAAATCAAAATATGTCTTTAAAGGGGTCATAGAATGATTCTAGAGGGTATTTGGTTCTGCTCCTTAATGTCTCTGAATATATTTGCTGTTCTATGAGCCTTAATGCAGCCTGGTTAAAAGAGCTAGAATGAAGCAACAGGTTTTTCTTCCTGTTATGGTTTGTTCATGAATATTTAGATGAGCTGTGTGCTGATTGGTTGGTTTACAGCGAGCGAAGCTAGTGAGCAAAGACGCATCATAGCAACAAGCACTCAGTCACTGAAACATCAAATTGTTGATGTGGTAGGGTGACCAGACTTCCTCTTTTTCCCGGACATGTCCTATTTTTCATACCTAAATAAATGTCCGGGGGGAATTTCAAAATCATCCGGGATTTTGGTCGACTAAAGTGCAAAAATCCCATCCCACCACCACCTCACCTGGTACGGCCCAGTTCAGTTGCGTTCCGTTTACACCTTTACAGTTATGTTGGTTATCGTGCTCGGACCGCTCTCGGCACGCTTTTAAAAGGGTAGCATAAATGGGGACACTGTCCTCCAGCAGTCTAAGCCTATAGCAGCATTGCTGTAGCTCAGGACAACCGGAGCCACTCTAACTACAAGCTTTATGAAAAAGGAAAATTTTAGGCCTGTCTCACTAGAGGCTGGTTACAGAAGAGGATTAGGGCCACTGAAAAAAAAAAAAAGTTAACTGATTTTTAAATTTTATGGGAAAAAAGTAAGAATTCTGACTTAAATCTCAGAATTCTGACTTTTTACTTTTTTCTCAGAATTCTGACTTTAATCTCAGAAGTCTGCCTTTTTTTAGAATTCTGATTTTCTTCTCAGAATTCTGACAGTTAACAAACATATTAGCATCAAGCCATAGCCATGTCTGTTTTAGAGACTAGCTCTCTTGTTTTAGGCCCCGTCCACGCGAAGTCAAACCCTGGCCTAAACGCACAAATTTTTCACCAAACCAGCCTCTCATCCATACGAAGCCGGCGTTTCGGGGGTCTGTAAACGATCTTTTTTTTATTCAGCCTTCAGAGTGGCAACATTTCGAAACGCCGTTTCCGCGTTTCCATCTTTAAGCTCTAACCGCATATTTTTTTTTACACGCATGCGTCATAGCGTCGCCTCTAAACACGCATGCGCGACACAGTATCACAACAACAATGGCGCCGTTGCTGCTAATGCTACTCACCCTGCTGTCGGGCTTACAACAGAATCTTCTTCTTCTGGAATATCTCCAGGAAGAACAGAGCAATATCGACGACATAGTTCAGCACCTGAATTTGACTGAACCACGAAAATGGACCCGCAGGGCAACCATGTATAAATATTAGTGCGCATGCCCAACATTTCGTCGCCTATTTTTGCTTTGGCACCACAGCGCATCTTACAGGCCTGGCATACATTTTGCAGCGTTTTCATGCATTCGTGTGGACGCTCACATTTATTTTACGTCTCCGTCTTTACGGCAAACGTTCTGTAAAATATCAGCGTTTCGTGTTCGTTTTGACTTCGTGTGGACGGGGCCTAAATTACCTTCTGCTCCTCCATTAATGAGGGGGTCCCTCGGGCACGTAAAAAGTTGCCTAATTGCGTCATTTTCCACCAATGTGTCACTGGCCACCTCAAACAACTCACATCTTTGTCATTGAAGCTGAGTGCTCCACATCTCTTCCTTCATGGTGCCCATCTACATTAAGATCCACAATTCTGAGATTAAAGTCAGAATTCTGAGAAAAAAGTCAGAATTCTGACTTTTTTTCAATACTAAATTGAAATAAAATTTTAAACTCAGTAAACTTTTCTTTTTTTTTTTCCAGTGGCCCTAATCCTCTTCCGTAGCTGGTTCCACAGGAGAAGAGCCAACTTTTGTGGGGGGCACGTCTGATCATTGTCCTACAACACAGTTGTGGAGCTCTTCAGCTCCTCAGGCTTTAAAATTACTTATTATTTAAAAAGCAAAAAAAATAAGCAACAAATATGAAAAAAACCCAATGCTGCTTTGTCAGATATAAAGTCAAAAGAAAAAATATGTTAAAATCGGCTATTTTTGTTCAATGGAGTATTAGGGCCAAACGAAGAGAGAGATAAAAAGACAAAGTGTAAGATTGCGACTTTATCTCTGCAATATTACCAGAAATAGTCACAATATTATGGGTTTAAAGAAGTAATATTATGACTTTATTCTCATAATTGTCCTTTCAGAAAAGAAATCTTCGACCTATATCTGACCAGTACAGCCAAACTACCAAACAGCAATCTGAGCTCAGCTTGTAAACATAATAATAATCATATAAGATGAGGGGCTAAAATATCTAACCTTTTCCTTATTTGTAAAGCCAATTCAAAGCTAGGCTGAAATTATAGCCTATAACTTCACAAGAATCTCAACCTTCCTTATTTCAGGATGACAGCGCCAGAATTCTCATTAAATAATATTGACATTATTCGCCTAATATTGCAACTTTACAATACTATCTCATTATTTTTGTAACTTCGTAATATTACAACCTGTCAAAAACAGAATTCTCGTTTGTCTGGCCCTAATACTCCATCATAGTTTTGTATCATTTTCCCACTAACGTAATGTTCTGGTGTTTTCATTCACTATGTGCTGGTATGTTAAACATTGTGTGTCACCATGCTCTCCAAAAGTGTCCTGAAGTCTTTGGAGGGAGAAACATGCACACAGCATCATACAGCCTCTACCTTGCAAGTAGCCTTCCCCATCTCCTGCCTTTCTTGGTCGGCCTGAGTTTGTTTTTTTTCTAAATGCAATTCCTGAACACTTAGGGTTGAAACTAAATGCTAAATGTAAAGTCATATAGAGCCTTTTGGCATTAAATACTACATAAAGCTGTTTGTAGCTAAACATCTTGGATGTTACTTTTACAGCATTAAAGGAAAAGTCCGTTCAGCGAGGAATAATCAATGGATCATTATTTATACCTAAAACTAATACGTTTGCGGTGATTTAATGAATTTAGCGTTTCCAAGATTTCCAGAGGACTTCACCATTGAAATTCACCAGAGCTATAGTGAAACTGACAATGCCCACGTGCATGGCAGCTGGATGCTGGAATACATCGGGTAAAAGTGAAAAAAAAGAGTAATTCCACCTTTCTGATTCCTGATCCTCCACGGACGGGTTGGTCGTTGGATCGTCAACTTGAAGAGGGAGGATTTGCCATCGAACTTCTGGCCAGAGAAAAAACCCGTAATCTGTAGCCAACATTTGGAAGAAGAATGTTTTCAAGATGACTTGGATAATAGCGCGTTGTGACAAACACCAGATACAGCACTGGGACTTGATCAACAGCCGATACCGCACCGTGACGTCACAAACCAGTAGGTGGCAGTAGTGTTCTTTGACAAACATGGATGCCTCCAGTAAAGCACATTCACATGAAAATTACTCTGAATTAAAAACACTTATTTATTGAACAGTATGTAATATATATATTTTTTTATTTAAAGTAAAACAGGTTTTGAAGGTGAGGGGCGTGCCCCCTAAAGGCGGGGAGGGTAATTGCTGGGGGGCGTTACTAAAATTAACTGAATAAATGAAAAATTTTTAAGATTTTTAAGAACATTTATGGAAGGAAGTTTGTTTCATTGTTGTTGCAAGAAAATAATTTGTTTGGCAAAACAAAATAAGAAAAATAAATCCAGGAATTAAACTTTGGCATTTTTTTCATAAAAAAAGGTTTTGTTTCAAACCTTTGCAGATTCTTAGATTTTTACTTTATTTGTTTAAATCATTTTTTTTTTTTTTCAGATTTAGTTTAGTGAAGATGACATTCTCTTCACTTCAATCCTAATACTAAAAAACTGCCTCTGGAAGCGCACATTGACTATTTGACAAAACGGCAACGTTTCTCTTAGAATTTTATTTTCTTTATTAATAAATTTCATTTTGTACGGAAGAGGATTAGTGCCACTGGGAAAAAAAAAAAGTTAACTGATTTTTAAATTTTATTTCAGTTAAATATGGGAAAAAAGTCAGAATTCTGACTTTTTTTTCTCAGAATTCTGAGAAAAAAGTCAGAATTCTGACCTTTCCCCATTCTATACTGAAATAATAATAATTAAAAAAAAAAGCAGTTAACTTTTTTTCCCCAGTGGCCCTAATCCTCTTCCGTAATTTTGAGTTTATTTCTGGATTAAATTTATTTTGCTAGCAAAACTTTTTTTTTTTTGCAGGAATGGAATGGAAAAAAACTTTCCCTCCACCCCTTGGTGAAATAATGAGGCGGATCCCATCAGTGCGGGCTGTTAGAGGCGTGGCTCTGCGTGGGGAAGGTGCTATAGGTGCGGCTCAAATTGTTTTCCTGGAAGTCAGAGAAGGGAAGTGTCAGTGGCTGCAACGTTTGGAGAAACACCAACAAAATGTCCTTCGATCTGTCTTCAGGTACATTTATATACAAGATCATTGGTTATTTCCAGCTTTCTCTGCTGATTTGGATCCTTCAGTGTCTGGAAGTTTAGAGAGAGTTTCACTTTGGAAATGCTTTCTCTCACGAACTGATGCAGGTTTAAAAATAATTCAACTTCTGTTTCATTTACAGCTGTGGGAGGAAAAGAGGATGAAGTGAAGAAGGAGGAAGCTCAGAAGGACGAGTTTAGCTTCCCATGGAGCAAAAAAAAGGATAAGGACAATAAGGTAGGAGGGAAGGGGATTGATTGTACACCAGTCACCTCCAGATGCACAAGTGTTTTTAATTGGAAGATCTTTTTAGGCTTGCATGAGTTTCACATGGGAGAAAAAACATTTTAATAGATGGAGGGTTTTTGATCAGTTTGGTTCTGACTGTTTATCGGGGTGAATGAGGTGCAACTTTTTCTTTTCTCAGGGAGATAAGTCTGACCACAAAGATAAGTCTGACCACAAAGATAAGTCTGATCACAAAGATAAGTCTAAGGATGGCAGTGGTGAAAAGAAGAAAAAAAAGGAGAAGAAGGGAAAGAAGGAAAAGAAAGATGGAGGCAGCTCATCATCTTCTTCCAGCAGTGATGAGGTACAGTATCCCCACTTTTTTTTTGTAACCAATGTTTGCTTTTTAATTCTATGTTTGAAGAAAACCTAGAGAATTCAATGTAATGCAGCAAAACGGGTTAACATTCCTGTTTCACCTCGGTACAAAGCCCTTTTTTTAGTTTTTGTGCAGCGTTCACAACAGGTCCAACTAGTACTACAAGTTTTACTAATGTGCCACATCCCAAAAGCTGTTTGCATGCAAAGGTTATGTACAGCACAGACCAAACGTTTGGACACACCTAAAGCATTTTCTTTACTTTCATCCATTCCTTCCATCCATCCATCTTCCTCCGCTTATCCGGGGTCGGGTCGCGGGGGCAGCAGCCTAAGAAGGGAGGCCCAGACTTCTCTCTCCCCAGCCACTTCTTCTAGCCCCTCAGGAGGAACCCCAAGGTGTTCCCAGGCCAGCAGAGAAACATAGTCTCTCCAGAGTGTCCTGGGTCGTCCCCTGGGCCTCCCCCCGGTGGGACGTGCCCGGAACACCTCACCAGGGAGGCGTCCAGGAGACATCCTAACCAGATGCCCTAGCCACCTCAATTGGCTCCTCTCGACGTGGAGGAGCAGCGGCTCTACTCCGAATCCCTCCCGGATGACCGAGGTCCTCACCCTATATCTAAGGGAGAGTCCAGCCACCCTACGGAGGAAACCCATTTCGGCCGCTTGTATCCGCGATCTCGTTCTTTCGGTCATGACCCAGAGTTCATGACCATAGATGACTGTAGGAACGTAGATCGACCGGTAAATTGAGAGCTTTGCTTTTTGACTCAGCTCTCTCTTCACCACGACGGACTGTTACAGTGCCCGCTTCAAAGCAGACGCTGAGCCAATCCGCCTGTCGATCTCCCGCTCCCTTCTTCCCTCATTCGTGACAAAGATCGCGAGATACTTAGGCCCCGTCCACACGAAGTCAAACCCTGGCCTAAACGCACAAATTTTTCCCCAAACCAGCCTCTCATCCATACCAAGCCGGCGTTTCGGGGGTCTGTAAACAATCTTTTTTTTATTAAGCCTTCAGAGTGGGAAGATTTTGAAACGCCGTTTTCGCGTTTCCATCTTTAAGCTCTAACTGCATTTTTTTTTCTTAAACGCATGCGTCATAGCGTCGCCTCTAAACACGCATGGGTGACACAGTATCACAACAACAATGGCGCCGTACTGTGTTGAATGGTTGCTGCTCATGCTACTCACCCTGCTGTCGGGCTTACAACAGAATCTTCTTCTTCTGGAATATCTTCAGGAAGAACAGAGCAATATAGACGACATAGTTCAGCACCTGAATTTGACTGAACCACGAAAATGGACCCGCAGGGCCATTTTCCGGTTTGGTTTTTGTATAAATATTACAGCTCATGCCCAACATTTCGTTGCCTGTTTTCGCCTATTTTTGCTTTGGCACCACAGCGCCACTTACAGGCCTGGCATACATTTTGCAGCGTTTTCATGCATTCGTGTGGACGATCACATTTATTTTACGTCTCCGTCTTTACGACAAACGTTCTGGAAAGTATTAGCGTTTCGTGTTCGTTTTGACTTCATGTGGACGGGGCCTTAAACTCCTCCACTTGGGGCAGGACACCCCCCCCCCTGACCCGGAGAAGGCACTCTACCCTTTTCCGGCTCAAGACCATGGCCTCGGATTTGGAGGCACTGATCCCCATCCCGGCCGCTTCACACTCGGCTGCGAACCAATGCAGCGAGAGCTGCAGTTTCATGACTATGAAAATGTAAGATTCACACTGAAGGCAAAACTACAAATTAACCCATGTGGAATTCTATACTTAAAGAAAAAGTTTGAAACGACTGAAAATATGTCTTAGGCTACGTTCACACTGCAGGCCTTGAAGCTCAATTCCAATTTTTTTGTGAAATATGATTTTTTTTGTGTTGCCGTACACATTTCCAAATGTATGCGACTTGTATGTGATCTCCTGCGTGTCCCGCATGCGCAGTAGAGGACGCAATGACATCACAGGCCAGCGTGCTCTCTGTTTACAGATTTTACCTTGGGTGGTAGTGCAGAAGCACATCTAGCGGTTTTTCCCAACCATAAAAACATAAACATAATCTTTTCAAGATGGTTAAACATAAATACTACTCTCCGCATCATCGTCCGCCATGGTTGTAGTTTTTCTTGCCGCTTCTTCAAAAACCCAGAATAGTGACCTTTGTTGGCTATTAATGGCGTTCAGGTCGGATGAATGCGACCTGGCCGTTCAGACACAGGTCGCATTTGAAAAGATCAGATTCGTATCGGATTCAGGACCACATAGCCCAGTGGCCTGGGTCGCATTGGAACAAATCGGATCTGTGTTGCTCAGACCGCCATGAACAGATCAGATACAGGTCGCATATGGGCCAAAAAAAACGGTTTGGGTCACTTCAGGCTGCAGTGTGAACGTAGCCTTATATTCTAGGTTCTTCAGAGTATTGCTTTGATTAATGCTTCCAACATTCTTGAAGGAGTTCCCAGAGATGCTTAGCACTTGTTGGCCCTTTCGCCTTCACTCTGCGGTCCAGCTCACCCTAAACCCTCTCGATTGGGTTTAGGTCCGATGATTGTGGAGGTCAGGTCATCTGGCGCAGCATCCTATCACTCTCCTTCTTGGTCAAACAGCCCTTACACAGTCTGGAGGTGTGTTTTAGGGTCATTGTCCTGTTGGAAAATAAATGAGGGTCCAACTAAACGCAAACCGGATGGAATAGCATGCCTCTGCAAGATGCTGTGGTAGCCATACTGGTTCAGTATGCCTTCAGTTAGGAATAAATCCCCAACAGTGTCTCCAGCAAAGCACCCCCACACCATCACACCTCCTCCTCCTTGCTTCACGGTGGGAACCAGGCATGTAGAGTCCATCCGTTCACCTTTTCTGCATCGCACAAAGAGATAATGGTTGGAACCAAAGATCTCAAATTTGGACTCATCAGACAAAAGCACAGATTTCCACTGATCTAATATCCATTCCTTGTGTTCTTCAGCCCAATCAAGTCTCTTCTGCTTGTTGCCTGTTTTCCTAGCTGCTATTTTACCATGAAGGCCTGATTCACATAGTCTCCCCTAGCAGTTGTTCTAGAGATGTTCCTGCTGCTAGAACTCTGTGTGGCATTGACCTGCTCTCTAATCTGAGCTGCTGTTAACCTGCCATTTCTGAGGCTGGGGACTCGGATGAACTTATCCTCTGCAGCAGAGGTGACTCTTGGTCTTCCTTTTCTGTGGCGGTCCTCATGTCAGCCAGTTTCTTTTTTGCGACTGCACTTGGGGACACTTTCAAAGTTTTGCCAAATTTTCGGACTAACTGACCTTCATTTCTTAAAGTAATGATGGCCGCTAGTTTTTCTTTACTTAGCAGTTTTTTTTCTTGCCATAATACAAATTCTAACAGTCTATTCAGTTGGACTATCAACTGTGTATCCACCTGACTTCTGCACAACACAACTGAGGGCCCCAACCCCATTTATAAGGCAAGAAATCCCCCTTATTAAACCTGACAGGGGAACCTGTGAAGTGGAAACTATGTTGGGTGACGGCCTCTAGAAGCTCATAAAGAGAATGCAAAGAGTGTGCGAAGGCGTAATCGAAGCAAAAGGCGGCTACTTTGAAGCACCTAGAACAGGGGTCTGCAACCTTTCATATCCAAAGAGCCGTTTTGCCCAGAGTCCGACTAAGTAAAAGTTGTTTAGAGCCGCAAAATGTAACATGACTTTTTCTAGAAAACCTTATTTTTTTTAATCTTGTATAGGAAATTAGTTGTTGCAATCTCAAACAATCAACAAATCATGTATTTTTAATGTTAAAACATGTAATTTTCAAGCTAATTCATAGAAAAATGTCTCTTAAAACATATTTCTGGTTCTTTTAATCTCATTCTTTTCCCACTTATAAAAAACACTAAAGCTATTGATACCGGTATATATTAAAGTAAATTATTTAACTCTTTATATACATTTTAGCCACTATTAAGAGCCACTGGAGAGGGTCCAAAGAGCCATATGTGGCTCTGGAGCCGCAGGTTGCAGATCCCTGACCTAGAATATAAGACTGATTTTGAGTTGTTCCTCTCTTTTTTTTATTAAGTATATAATTCCACGTGTTAATTCATAGTTTTGATGCCTTCAGTGTAAATCTACAATTTTCACAGTCATGAAAATAAATAACTCTGATAGTTGATGATACTTTTCTTTTGACTAACCACCAATCAGTAGGGGGAGAAGGTGGAAGTAACCACTGTAAGGGACATTTTCTGTCAGTTGTGGATCCAACCTGACCCGTCTTTATCAATAATGTTTCAGATATACAGCTTTCCTTTCCTTGCCTTTGAATCTCCTCCAGTAATATTTATGTCTCGTTCCAGGACTGATCATCTCCCACTGTGGACCTGCTCACTGTGTTCCCCACTCCAGCCCTGATTCATTTAGTTGTGTCTGTGTGGTTTATAAGTGCCAGATGATAAATATGTGACAACAAAACTGATTTCTAAAATTAAAAGTTGTGATTAAATAAAGGATTTTCCTCTTTTATTGTCTATACTCTAATCTCACCACAAGATGGCAGTGTGCACTATTTTAAGACTCAGCAGAGGTCATGAAAGTAGGAAGGTTGTTCTTTTATCAATGTAGAGTAATTCTATATCAGTTGTATATTATATTTAGATCTAAACACAGATGTAAACCAGCAGTGTTTCTAGAATCTGTCACTTCTGGATGGAAGGAAGGATGATTAAACTGAATACTGATGGACGACAAATCATTAACTTATTTACAGAGTGCTTTAAAAGCTACAGCTGAAAACAAAGTGCTGAACATGGCTAAAAATAATAAAACACGATAAAAGAACAAAATACAGCTTAGGAATATAAAGTAAGAAAAGAATAAGTTGTTTAAGCAAAATAAACATGGTCACAACAACTACTGCCAGTGTTAAAAGACGGTGAATAAAAGTAAGTTTTGAGTCGTGTTTTAAAATTTGGAAGTGAAGGAGCCTCCCTAATGTGCAGCAGGAGGCTATTCCATAAACGAGGAGCAATTTAATTCAATTCAGTTTATTTCTATTGCGCCAATTCACAACACATGTCATCTCAAGGCACTTTACAGTTCAACCAGATCATCCAGTCAAATTGATTCAAAGTTTTCTATCTAAGGAAAACCAGCTGATTGCATCGACTCATTGTTTCAAATACAATCCCTCTTACTAAGCATGCTGGTAGCGACAGTGGAGAGAAAAAACTCCCTTTTAACAGGAAGAAACCTCCAGCAGAACCAGGCTCAGTGTGAGCGGCCATCTGCTGAGGCCGACTGGGGTTCAAGGAGACAGAAGCAGAGATACAAAAAGCAGCTGTAAAAGGCGGCCCCGTCCAGGAAACACACAGCCAGGCAGACGAGCTCCGAGCCAGCTCCCATGCCAGAGGATCAAGAGAGCACATCCAGCCAGTCACAGTCAGAGAAACAGGACTACACTGAAAAACAGGCCGATCTCCAGCATCTATAAACAAAGGTGTTGATGGCAGCAGCACAGCTGATATTTCTCTACAGGATGATGTCACAGCCAAACAGGAACAGACCAGATGAAGCTACTATGAGAAAAAGCAGAGAGAGCAGAATGTTAGAGATTGAACTAACAGATTCTGCAGAGTGGGAGAATAGAGATAGAATGATGAAATGGCGGTTGCTTTGTCCTCCAGAAGTCTAAACCTATAGCAGCATAACTATAGAGATAGCTCAGGATAAGCAGCAGCGATATAACAGATGAATGTTGTGAAGGACCGCTGGCTATGATGTTGATTTTTTGTTGTATTTGGCAAAGTTTGGCAAAGTCCCTACTCGCGATCTAATGACTTCAGACTTGACATCAGACTCTCCTCCTGTAGATTCGACCGATGTAATAATATGCTAAGCAACATGCTTCACACACGGCTATGCCGAGAGAGGGCCGCTGCAGACGGGCTGCGGTTCGACCTGGCTGCGGCTAGCTTCGGAGCTCCGCTGGTGCCGCAGTCCTCTCAAGTTCTGAACATTTTCTTTTAAATTACTCATTAAATCTGTGAATGGGCCATATGGTGATGCTTAAAAGTATAAGGTTCTCGCCTCAAATGATCTTAAAACGTACTGTTATTGAACAACAGCAACAGAAAAGAGAACATTTAACTTAGTACTCTGAGCTCTGTGAGTTAAGAAGATGGGCCGCCAAGCCAACCAATGAGGAGAAGTTGACTCTCTAGGACACACCCCCTCCTCATTTGCATAATAAGACAGACATGCATACAGAAATGTAAATACGACAGGCAGAAATGTAAAAAAATATATATAAAGGACAAAAAAAAATAAATGAGGTAAATATTACAATGGCAAATAAATAAAGAAGCGAATTAAAAGAGTTATATACATTTATGTCTCACTGTATAATTTAATTTCTACTTACATTTATTTATTTATTGTATTTTTGTTGGCAATTAATTGTATGCTTATATATTTATTGAGCGTTTATTTATTTCTGTATTTATTTTTAAATATGGCACAGTTGGTCATCCATACTCACAGCCACTGATTTTCACATTAACTACGATGCCACCATGACACCGGAAGTCAAATCTTCACCACCAACTTTTGCATTTTTTCATTAAAAAAAAGGTTTTATTTCAAACCTTTGCTGTTTCTAAGATTTTTGTTTGTTTGTTTGTTTGTTTTAAATATTTTTTTTTTTCAGATTTAGTTTAGTGAAGATAACATTCCCTTCACATTCTCTTCACTTCAATCCTAATACTAAAAACTCTGGAACTCTGGAAGCGCACATTGACTTTATGACAAAACAGCAACGTTTCTCTTAGAATTTAATTTTCTTTATTAATAAACTCCAGTTTGAGTTTATTTCTGGATTACATTTATTTTGCTTGCAAAACTTTTTTTTTTTGCAAGAATGGAATGGAAAAAAACAATTTCCCTCCACCCCTTGGTGAAATAATGAGGCATAATAAGGCGGATCCCATCAGTGCGGGCTGTTAGAGGCGTGGCTCTGCGTGGGGAAGGAGCTATAGGTGCGGCTCAAACTGTTTTCCTGGAAGTCAGAGAAGTGAAGTGTCAGTGGCTGCAACGTTTGGAGAAACACCAACAAAATGTCTTCAGGTACATTTAAGATCATTGGTTATTTCCAGCTTTCTATGCTGATTTGGATCCTTCAGTGTCTGGAAGTTTAGAGAGAGTTTCACTTTGGAAATGCTTTCTCTCACGGACTGATGCAGGTTTAAAAATAATTCAACTTCTGTTTCATTTACAACTTTAGGAGGCAAAGAGGATGAAGTGAAGAAGAAGGAAGCTCAGAAGGACGAGTTTAGCCTCCCATGGAGCAAAAAAAAGGATAAGGACAAGAAGGTAGGAATGCCCGAGTGTTTTTAAATGGAAGATCTTTGTAGGCTTGTATGAGTTTCACATGGGAGAAAAGACACTTTAATAGATGGAGGATTTTTGATCAGTTTGGTTCTGAATGTTTATTGGGGTAAATGAGGTGCAACTTTTTCTTTTCTCAGGGAGATAAATCTGACCACAAAGACAAGTCTGACCACAAAGATAAGTCTAAGGATGGCAGTGATGAAAAGAAGAAAAAGAAGGAGAAGAAGGGAAAGAAGGAAAAGAAAGATGGAGGCAGCTCATCTTCCAGCAGTGATGAGGTACAGTATCTCCACTTTTTTTTTATCACTAATGTTGGCTTTTTAATTCTATGTGTGAAGAAAACCTACAGGATTCAATGTAATGCAGCAAAACGGCTTAACATTCCTGTTTCACCTCGGTACAAAGCCCTTTTTTTTTTTTTTTTTTTGTGCAGCATTCACAACAGGTCCAACTAGTACTACAAGTTTTACTAATGCGCCACATCCCAAAAGCTGTTTGCATGCAAAGGTTATGTACAGTACAGACCAAACGTTTGGACACACCTAAAGACTTTTCTTTATTTTCATGACTACGAAAATGTAAAATTCACACTGAAGGAATCAAAACTATGAATTAACCCATGTGGAATTATATACTTAAAGAAACATTTTGAAATGACTGAAAATATGTCTTAGGCTACGTTCAAACTGCAGGCCTTGAAGCTCAATTCTGATTTTTTTTGTGAAATACGATTTTTTTTGCGTTGCCGTACACATTTCCAAATGTATGCGACTTGTATGTGATCTCCTGTGTGTCCCGCATGCGCAGTAGAGGACGCAATGACATCACAGGCCAGCGTGCTCTCTGTTTACGGATTTTAACATGGGTGGTAGTGCAGAAGCACATCTAGCGACTTTTCCCAACCATAAAAACATAAACATAATCTTTTCAAGATGTTTAAACATAAGTACTACTCTCTGCATCATCGTCCGCCATGGTTGTAGTTTTTCTTGCCGCTTCTTCATAGCAAGACCCAGACTAGTGACCTTTGTTGGCTATTAATGGCGTTCAGGTCCGATGAATGCGACCTGGCCGTTCAAACACAGGTCGCATTTGAAAAGATCAGATTCGTATTGGATTCAGGACCACATAGCCCAGTGGCCTGGGTCGCATTGGAACAAATCGGATCTGTGTTGTTCAGACCGACATGAACAGATCAGATACAGGTTGCATATGGGCCAAAAAATCAGATTTGGGTCACTTCAGGCTGCAGTGTGAATGTAGCCTTATATTCTAGGTTCTTCAGAGTTTTGCTTTGATTAATGCTTCGCACACTCTTGGCATTCTCTTGATGGGCTTTAAGAGGTAGTCACCTGAAATGGTCTTCCAACATTCTTGAAGGAGTTCCCAGAGATGCTGAGCACTTGTTGGCCCTTTTGCCTTAACTCTGCGGTCCAGCTCACCCTAAACCCTCTCGATTGGGTTTAGGTCCGATGATTGTGGAGGTCAGGTCATCTGGCGCAGCATCCTATCACTCTCCTTCTTGGTCAAACAGCCCTTACACAGCCTGGAGGTGTGTTTTAGGGTCATTGTCCCGTTGGAAAATAAATGAGGGTCCAACTAAACGCAAACCGGATGGAATAGCATGCCGCTGCAAGATGCTGTGGTAGCCATACTGGTTCAGTATGCCTTCAGTTAGGAATAAATCCCCATAAGTCTCTCCAGCAAAGCACCCCCACACCATCACACCTCCTCCTCCTTGCTTCACAGTGGGAACCAGGCATGTAGAGTCCATCCGTTCACCTTTTCTGCATAGCACAAAGAGATAATGGTTGGAACCAAAGATCTCAAATTTGGACTCATCAGACAAAAGCACCGATTTCCACTGGTCTAATGTCCATTTCTTGTGTTCTTCAGCCGAAGCAAGTCTCTTCTGCTTGTTGCCTGTTTTCCTAGCTGCTATTTTACCATGAAGGCCTGATTCACACAGTCTCCTCTTAGCAGTTGTTCTAGAGATGTTTCTGCTGCTAGAACTCTGTGTGGCATTGACCTGCTCTCTAATCTGAGCTGCTATTAACCTGCCATTTCTGAGGCTGGGGACTCGGATGAACTTATCCTCTGCAGCAGAGGTGACTCTTGGTCGACAGTGTCGTTGGATGTAGGAGTTTGCCCTGAAATCGATGGGTTGACGGTTCAAGCCCCGACTCTGACTATCAGTGTCGTTGTGTCCTTGGGCAAGACACTTCACCTGCATTGTCTACTCATGGTGGTCAGAGGGCCCGGTGGCGCCAGTGTACGGCAGCCCCCTTCTGTCAGTGAGCCCCAGGGCAGCTGTGGCTACAATGTAGCTTGCCACTGTGAGTGTGTGCGTGAATGGGTGAATGAATGTAGTGTAAAGCGCTTTGGTCAAGTCTCCTAACTTGAATAAAGGCGCTATATACACTCACCGGCCACTTTATTAGGTACCCCATGCTAGTAACGGGTTGGACCCCCTTTTGCCTTCAGAACTGCCTCAATTCTCCGTGGCATAGATTCAACAAGGTGCTGGAAGCATTCCTCAGGGAGTTTGGTCTATATTGACATGATGGCATCACACAGTTGCCGCAGATTTGTCGGCTGCACATCCATGATGCGAATCTCCCGTTCCACCACATCCCAATGATGCTCTATTGGATTGAGATCTGGTGACTGTGGAGGCCATTTGAGTACAGTGAACTCATTGTCATGTTCAAGAAACCAGTCTGAGATGATTCCAGCTTTATGACATGGCGCATTATCCTGCTGAAAGTAGCCATCAGAAGTTGGGTACATTGTGGTCATAAAGGGATGGACATGGTCAGCAACAATACTCAGGTAGGCTGTGGCGTTGCAACGATGCTCAATTGGTACCAAGGGGCCCAAAGAGTGCCAAGAAAATATTCCCCACACCATGACACCACCACCACCAGCCTGAACCGTTGATACAAGGCAGGATGGATCCATGCTTTCATGTTGTAGACGCCAAATTCTGACCCTACCATCCGAATGTCGCAGCAGAAATCGAGACTCATCAGACCAGGCAACGTTTTTCCAATCTTCTATTGTCCAATTTCGATGAGCTTGTGCAAATTGTAGCCTCAGTTTCCTGTTCTTAGCTGAAAGGAGTGGCACCCGGTCTGGTCTTCTGCTGCTGTAGCCCATCTGCCTCAAAGTTCGACGTACTGTGCGTTCAGAGATGCTCTTCTGCCCACCTTGGTTGTAACGGCTGGTTATTTGAGTCACTGTTGCCCTTCTATCAGCTCCAACCAGTCTGGCCATTCTCCTCTGACCTCTGGCATCAACAAGGCATTTCCGCCCACAGAACTGCCGCTCACTGGATGTTTTTTCTTTTTCGGACCATTCTCTGTAAACCCTAGAGATAGTTGTGCGTGAAAATCCCAGTAGATCAACAGTTTCTGAAATACTCAGACCAGCCCTTCTGGCACCAACAATCATGCCACGTTCAAAGTCACTCAAATCACCTTTCTTCCCCATACTGATGCTCGGTTTGAACTGCAGGAGATTGTCTTGACCATGTCTACATGCCTAAATGCACTGAGTTGCCGCCATGTGATTGGCTGCTTAGAAATTAAGTGTTAACGAGCAGTTCAATTCAATTTCAATTCAGTTTATTTATATAGCGCCAAATTCACAACACATGTGTCTCAAGGCACTTTACAGTTCAACAAGATCATACAGTCAAATCGATACAAAGTTTTCTATCTAAGGAAAACCAGTTGATTGCATTGACTCATTGACTCAAATACAATCCCTCACACTAAGCATGCTTGTAGCGACAGTGGAGAGGAAAAACTCCCTTTTAACAGGAAGAAACCTCCAGCAGAACCAGGCTCAGTGTGAGCGGCCGTCTGCTGAGGCCGACTGGGGTTCAAGGAGACAGAAGCAGAGATACAAAAAGCAGCTGTAAAAGGCGGCCCCGTCCAGGAAACACACAGCCAGGCAGACGAGCTCCGAGCCAGCTCCCATGCCAGAGGACGAAGGGAGCACATCCACTCAGTCACGGTCAGAGAAGCAGGACCACACTGGAAAACAGGCCGATCTCCAACATCTATGAACAAGGGTGTTGATGGAAGCAGCACAGCTGATATTTCTTTCCAGGATGGAGTCACAGCCAAACAGGAACAGACGAGGCAAAGCTACTCTGAGGAAAAGCAGAGAGAGCAGAAGGTTAGAGATTGAACTAACAGATTCTGCAGAATAGGAGAATGGAGAGAGAATGAAGCAGAATGATGAAATGGGGGTCCCTATGTCCTCCAAAAGTCTAAGCCTACAGCAGCATAACTATAGAGATAGCTCAGGATAACCTGAGCCATGTCAGCCAGTTTTTTTTTCTTGCCATAATACAAATTCTAACAGTCTATTCAGTTGGACTATCAACTGTGTATCCACCTGACTTCTGCACAACACAACTGAGGGCCCCAACCCCATTTATAAGCCAAGAAATCCCCCTTATTAAACCTGACAGGGGAACCTGTGAAGTGGAAACCATGTTGGGTGATGACCTCTAGAAGCTCATAAAGAGAATGCAAAGAGTGTGCGAAGGCGAAACAAAAGGTGGCTACTTTGAAGCACCTAGAATATAAGACAGATTTTCAGTTGTTTCACTCTTTTTTTTTTTGTTAAGTATATAATTCCACGTGTTAATTCATAGTTTTGATGCCTTCACTGTGAATCTACAATTTTCACAGTCATGAAAATAAATAACTCTGATAGTTGATACTTTTCTTTTGACCAACCACGAATCAGTAGGGGGAGAAGGTGGAAGTAACCACTCTAAGGGACATTTTCTGTCAGTTGTGGATCCAACCTGACCCGTCTTTGTCAATAATGATTCAAATATACAGTTTTTATTTTCTTGCCTTTGAATCTCCTCCAGTAATATTTATGTCTCATTCCAGGACTGATCATCTCCCACTGTGGACCTGCTCACTGTGTTTCCCACTCCAGCCCTGATTCATTTAGGTGTGTCTGTGTGGTTTATAAGTGCCAGATGATAAAAATGTGACAACAAAACTGATTTCTAAAATTAAAAGTTGTGATTAAATAAATAAAGGATTTTCCTCTTTTATTGTCTATACTCTAATCTCACCACAAGATGGCAGTGTGCACTATTTTAAGACTCAGCAGAGGTCATGAAAGTAGGAAGGTTGTTCTTTTATCAATGTAGAGTAATTCTATATCAGCTGTATATTATATTTGGAACTAAACACAGATGTAAACCAGCAGTGTTTCTAGAATCTGTCACTTCTGGATGGAAGGAAGGATGATTAAACTGAATACTGATGGACGACAAATCATCAACTTTATTTACAGAGTGCTTTAAAAGCTACAGCTGAAACCAAAGTGCTGAACATGGCTAAAAATAATAAAACATGATAAAAGAATAAAATACAGCATAGGAATATAAAGTAAGAAAATAAGTTGTTTAAGCAAAATAAACAAGGTCACAACAACTACTGCCAGTGTTAAAAGACGGTGAATAAAAGTAAGTTTTGAGTCGTGTTTTAAAATTTGGAAGTGAAGGAGCCTCCCTAATACGCAGCAGGAGGCTATTCCATAAACGAGGAGCAATTTAATTCAATTCAGTTTATTTCTATAGCGCCAATTCACAACACAAGGCATCTCAAGGCACTTTACAGTTCAACCAGATAATCCAGTCAAATTGATTCAAAGTTTTCTATCTAAGGAAAACCAGTTGATTGCATTGACTCTATAGCAATCCCTCATACTAAGCATGCTTGTAGTGACAGTGGAGAGGAAAAACTCACTTTTAACAGGAAGAAACCTCCAGCAGAACCAGGCTCAGTGTGAGCGGCCATCTGCTGAGGCCGACTGGGGTTCAAGGAGACGGGTAAAAGGCACCCCCGTCCAGGAAACACACAGCCGGGCAGACGAGCTCCGAGCCAGCTCCCATGCTAGAGGATGAAGAGAGCACATGCAGCCAGTCACAGTCAGAGAAACAGGACTACACTGAAAAACAGATCGATCTCCAGCATCTATAAACAAAGGTGTTGATGGCAGCAGCACAGCTGATATTTCTCTCCAGGATGGAGTCACCGCCAAACAGGAACAGACCACATGAAGCTACTATGAGAAAAAGCAGAGAGAGCAGAACGTTAGAGATTTAACTAACAGATTCTGCAGAGTGGGAGAATAGAGACAGAATGAAGCAGAATGATGAAATGTGGGTCCCTTTGTCCTCCAGCAGTCTAAGCCTATAGCAGCATAACTATAGAGATAGCTCAGGATAAGCAGCAGCTATATAACAAATGAATAATGCTTTTCCCAGTATTATACAGACAAGATGCCTTTACTATTGGATGGATGCTAATGTTTTTAACTGAATGAGTATTCTTCCATTGGTTTTGTCCAATGTGCATAATTAGTTTTATCTGATATGTTTGTTTTGTTTTATCTCTTCAGTTTTATTCCAGTTTCATTCTGACTGCTTTCACTTTTATCACCTCTCCACTTCCACTTGCTGCTTTTTCCCCGCAATGATCTCCGTCCGACTCCTGAGCCCTTCACAGAGCAGCTGTGTTAATATAGAGACTAAACTTCTATAATATTGGCTCTGATATCTAATTAGATGGAGGTAGAGTTCCCAAAAAGTAGAGTCGAGTAAAAGTAGCAGGTCTTTAATCTAAAAATTAAAAGCAGCCTTCAGAGAAATAACTCAAGAGTAAAAAGTATTCAGTATGAAGGTAACTAATCATAGCACTTAAACTACTTTATGGAATTATGTAATCAAACAGACCAAAATATAAAGTGTTTCACAAACTATGGTGTTTAAAAAAGAAATCGAACAAATGCAAAATTAATTTCTTAATTAATAAACTGAGAGAGATTGAAACCCCCAAAACCCCAAATCTGATTTACCAACATGAAACTTATTAAACTATTACCTACAGTATGTGATACGCTGTATGTTAGAGGAGAATAAACTATCTTCAGTGACATATTGTTCTTTTTTCTGCACCCTGACCTCCACGTCTCATAGATCGCTTAGCAGATAGAATTAGAAAGCAAAGCTTGTGTACAAAAATATATATATATAAATATATATATAAAAAATATATATATATATAATAAGCATATATATATATATATATATATATATATATATATATATAATAACCACAATGTAGTAAATTCATATATGTTACATGTACATCATCCATTTAGCACTTTTGGCTCATCTGTATTAATATGCTCCATTAACACATTAATTTATAAACTTCCTTGACTTCATACTGACTTTGCAATGTGATGTGCTTATTTTTTTTTATTATAAGTTTATCTTCTGATGCTATGAAATAGCCAGTCTGTGTCAAAGTGTTTTATCTTAATTTTAAAAGTCTTAACATGAGAACATCATCGTTGTTCGATGCTGTAGCGCACTGATTTTTTACATTGCGACCGACCTAACTAGGGAGTACCAATATGGCGGCCGGTGGCTTCACTTTAACCCCTAACTATCAACGGGCAATCAGCAATCCAGTGAATAAATAGAGATCAGCTGTAGCCATCAGTTTTAAAAAGGTTGGTAACCCCTGCTTTAGCTTTAGCATTATTTGAGCAGCTGGCGAAAAGTGCGGAACAGGAGCGGATTATGAACTATTTCGATTTGAGCTATCACCTTTAAGGACTAATTTTTTAATATTTATCACTGATGTATCTGAAAGTTAATCTTGATATTAGAAATAATTGAATCCACCTTTGTAGGTCTATGTTAAGTTTAAATAGGATTTCCAGAAACACCATCACTGCTTATTTTCCTTTTAACTGTTTTTATTTTACAGAAAGATTAATAAAAGTTGCCAGAAAATAAGCTGCTTTTCTTCCTGCCTTTTACAAACATGACGGGCATAAATTATTTGGATTTCAAAGTACGAAGCAGTTCCTCAGTGAGGTGAATGCTGATTGGAAGGACCTGGACTGAGAAATTCATGAGGCCAACAATGCTGTCCCCCTCTTCCATCTGTGAACGATCTACAGAAAACTAAGGTCTAAAGATTTTGGCTCAGGTTGGACAGAGGGATTAACCGTTATCATTATTTTATGTAAGGTTTTATGCCCAAATGTCTGTAGAGTGGTAATCTCTTTTTATTCCAAATAGATGCAATAGATCTAGTTGGTAATAGAGAAAACATCATATAGAAAAAAGGAAGCTGAAATCTTGACCTGAAAACATCAATGCATCCATTGTCTGTAGCTGGAAATTTAGGACAAACGTCCAGGCAAACATATATTTTCAGCAGCCTGTTAATCCAGTAGCTCTGTTTTTGGACTGTTGGAGGAAGTTGGAGCATCCAGAGAGATCCTCACCTGCACAGGGAGAACATGCAAACAGCATAGAACCTTCTCCTGCACAAGGAGAAGGTTCTATGCTGTTTGCATCTTCTCCCTGTGCAGGTGAGGATCTTTCTGCACAGGGAGAACATGCAAAAAGCATATAACCTTCTTTTTGTGCCAAAATGCAGCTAAACCTAAATATTACAGCAGAGGCTCCCTAAATATTTTACCCCCCAAAATAGCAACATGACAGACTGGTGAATCCCCTAAAAATACATACAGGTCATTTATTTTCATTCAGAAAATTAAATTGAAATGTAAATGGTAAATAATAAAATAAATTAATAATCTACTCCTTTAATGGTAAATTCACATTTATGTATTTTGGCCTTCTATATAAAACAGGGATTACATAATACTTGTGAGAATCAGCTTGTGACTCCTAACTTGGTGTCTTGTGATCCCCCTGGGGGACCCTACCCCAACTTTGGGAACCCCTGCTTTAGCAGATAATTATTCACCAATTCATCAACACATCCAAGTGTGTATTTGATCTCTTATGTATATTTATAAAGGTGCTTTAGTTTAACGATTTATTTGATTTAAAGGAAACAAAAACTGGTATCATGTGAAAATGCCTCCTTTAATTATCAAAACGAAATGTGCAACTTGTTTAGAAACAGCGATATATTTTAAAGTTTATGTACTCAAGCATGACCTTTAGTTTAATGTTTATCTAAATTCCAGTTTATCTCGAAAAAAAAGCTTATATCAACAGTTTTCATCTGTGCTGTTTAAGTCTAGCGCTAAACTAAATGACTGCGTGCCTCAACAGAACATCTGATGGAGCTTTTTCCTTTTTTCAGCTCTTCTGCTCTTACCTTTTTTTTTCTCCAAGATTTCATGGGGATCCATCCATCCATCCATCCATCCATCCATCCATCCATCCATCCATCCATCCATCCATCCATCCATCCATCCATCCATCCATCCATCCATCCATCCATCCATCCATCCATCCATCCATCCATCCATCCATTTTCTTCCGCTTTATCCAGGGCTGGGATGCCCAGACTACCCGATCCACGCACACCTCCTCCAGCTACTCTGGGGCGACCCCGCGGCGACACCAGGCCAGCTCAGAGACATAGTCCCTCCTGTGTGTCCTGGGCCTTCCACTAGGCCTCCTCCCAATGGGACATGCCTGGAACACCTCCCGAGGAAGGCGACCGAGAGGCATCCAAAACAGATTCCCGAGCTCATTTCGACGTGGAAGAGCAACAACTCTACTCTGAGCTCCTCCTGGGTAACTGAGCTCCTCACCAGATCTCGAACAGTGCGCCCTGCCACCCTACGAAGGAAACTCCTTTTAGACGCTTGTATTCCTGATCTTGTCCTTTCGGTCATTACCCAGATCTCATGACCATAGGTGAGGGTGGGATCAGTAAATCGAGAGCTTTGCCCCTCTACTCAGCTCCTTCTTCAGTCTACAGTCTGATACAGCGACTGTATCACTGCCAACTCCGCACCGATCCGTCTATCGATCTCAAGCTCCATCCGTCCCTCACTGCTGAACAAGACCCCGAGATACTTGAACTCCTCCACTTGAGATAGGGACTCTCCACCGACCTAAAGAGGGGAGTCGTTCCTTTCTCTGGTGGAGAACCATGACACTTGGCTGCAAACCGCTGCAGACCTTAAGGTCCTAGTTTGACGAGGCCAACAGGACAACATCACCTGCAAATAGCAGAGATGATATCCTGAGGTTCCT